TATTATATTATATTTATAATTATATTATTTTTTAAAAACATAGTATTTTAGTGTAAATCTTTAACAAAAATAAAGAGCTGTTAATATTGTAGAGTTATACGTTACTAGGGAGACGCGCGCGTTGCTGACGCTTGTCGTTACGTAATGCACGCCCTTATATATATGTTAACGCCGCCCCACTAGATGGGCCACAGATACTTATTCCCTCACACTTTTCCAGTCCTCGGGAACTGTTTTTCTGCTTACGACGTCAACGCCAGACGTGACATCATTGCGGTATTGAATGCGCTGGGATAGTAACAGCCGACTTGACGACAGAAGACGACGACAGGATGGAGCAGCAGCCAGCGCGCCAACCCACCAGTGACTTTAGGGATATTGGCGAGCAGGTGCAGCTGTTCGAGAACAAACCCGCGTTGGAGGGCGGAGCACAGCTTTTGGGGAAGATGGATGAGATTCTACGAGAGACGAGACTGTTACGCACCGAAGTAACCGAGATACGCACCGAAGTAACCGAGATACGCACCGAATTAGCCGTGATGTGGGTGCGCCCGTGTATTAGTTTGGCTCATCGTTGCTGTGAGACAGTCACTGACATTCTGCATTGTGGTAGGAACAAGAATTTTACGTCGAGGTTGGGCAATGGCGTTGTCATAGCGGGGGAGATGGCGTTGCTGCCTTTATATAACGTAAGGACGGGGGAAGAAGTATCGAATTGTCCAAAGACTTTAGCGGAGCTTGAGCGGTGTGACGGTAAGTAGGTCCTGGATGGGTGACGCATGGAGCGGTTATGGACGAGAGAAGAACTAACGGATCGAACACAGCTCGGGTAGCTGCAGGGATATTGCAGGAACTTGGCGAGGCGGTACCTCGCAGCTTAGAACAGAGGATTAGGCAGTTGAAGTTGAGCTTTGGGGTTCGCACGCAAATAGTTTAGTGTAAATTGCGTGGATTAATGAGGTACTGAGAGAGAGAGAGAGAGAGAGAGAGAGAGAGAGGTGTATTTAACGCCTTCTTGGGGCTAGTCCCCGCTCCGGTCGGAGCATCAGGCGGGCTAACGCTGTGATATTTACATGTAGCCGCTTGTAGCCAAAAAAACTTTAAGAAGAAAAAAAAAGGCAGGGTTGTTCGGGCTCCCTTCTCCGTTAGCAGATAGAGGAGGATGTATTATGCTTTTTGCTACTAGTTAGGCTCTGTCTTACTTTCTTAGAGCTGCTCACCTCTACCTACTCTCTGGAAGCCGAGGAATAGAAGGGTAAGAGAGAGGCAGGAGAAAAACCCTCTAAAGAAATCAGAGGCGCTAAGCTTGCTTTCTAGGTAGAAAACCTCCTGCAACTAGCTACTATTTATTAGCAAGCTAATATAACTCTATATTGCCTTAGCTATAAAGGCAACTAGTAGTCTAGTAGGTTAATTAAATTCACAGGGATAACTTAGCATAGCAGGTAAGAATAAATAAACTCTCTATAAAGTCTATAGCAAGCAAATATTTGCTGTTACCTGTTGCTGTTAAGGCCGTATTAAGGCTACAGCGCTAAATGCCTCGTCAGTGGCCTTAAAAAGCCTGCCTTCCTAGCGGCCCCTTAACAGGTGCGGGGAAAGCAGAATTTTTCAAGGGGAGAGTTAAGGTACTAAGAGAGATAGACGAGGAGGAGCAATAGGAACAGTAACATGCCGCCCCACAACATTATTAGCTCTCTATTTTTATTATACCTACAGCTCTATTATGTCGACAGCAAAAATATAGGTACAAAAACTAAGGAAACAACTATTATATATAAATTGCCTATAAGGAAGAATTATATATTTTTATATGTAATTTTATATATAAAAGAATTTATTAATTTTCTTAGTAGCTATAATAATATCTACTTTCTAGTTCTTTAATATAAGTAAAGTTATAGTAAGTTTAAGTTAATATAAACTTAACTTTTATATAATAACTAATTATTATAAAGACTTTTAGTACTTTTAAAAGCAAAATAATAACTAAGTCTTAGTTCTAAAAAGTTACTAGTAAGTTAGTATATATTCTCTACTTTATTTTTATTTTAACTTTAACTTAGTTTATAGCTTAGTTCTACGTATAAAATTATTTATATTTTATATATTACTTAAATCTCTACTACTACTACTACTAGCTTAAAGCTAGACGAGCTCTAGGCTTATATCTGCTAGAAGATTATTAAGTTAAAGACTATATTATACTTTAACTATTATATCTATAATATTTATTAAATAATATATAAAATATTTAATAAGTTTAAAAAGAGAAAAAAAAGAAAAAAATTATAAAAGTTAATAAAGCTTTTTTAAACTTTTAAATAATTAAACTATAGCTACTTAATAGCTATTATTATTAAAAAAAGCTATATATTATAAAAGTTACTTACTAAATATCTTTATTAACTAATATTATTATTAATTTATTATAACTAAGTATATATTAATTACTTTAAATAGCTAGAAAGCTATATAATTAGTATATTTTACTTTTTATATTAAACTTAAAAAACTATTTAATAAAAAGAAAAACTATACTTACTACTATTTTTACTTCTTAAGCTAGCTCTAGCTCTATACTAGCTAGAGTCTATTTATCTTCTATATATATAAAATTATTACTAGCTTTACTAGCTGTATTTTAGAGAGGCAAACAGCTCTTATAAATTTAGCCTGCCTCTAGGTCTACGCTAAGGCTATCTCGCTTCTGCCTAGCTGTCTATTGTGTTCTTTAGTTTCTAATTATCCCTCCTCTCTAGGGACGTATATAACTAAGTATAGCTATAACTAGTAGAGAGAGTTTTATTAAAGGCTTTATACTTATTATAGTAATAAAAAGTAAATAAAATATACTTACTTTTAATTTAACTTAATATAATAATATAATAGCTACTAACTTAGCTATAAGTTAGCTACTAGTAAGTATATATATAAAGAAGAGAATTTCCTACTAAAAAAGAGAGAGGTTTAGAGATTAATATAATTATTACTACTAACTTAACTAGCTATAAAGTTATAGTAAGTTTTCTAAAAAACTTATTATCTACTCTACTTAGACCTCTATCTTAATAAGTATAATATTTATCTCTTTCTTAGAGGTAAATTAGCTTTACTTTAGCTTATTATATAACTACTATTATATATATGTAGTATTTAGCTATAATAGTATATTTTTTAGATTTATCTTACTTTTATTTTATATATAAATTACTTCTTAGCTTTATAGCTAGCTATAGTTAGTTTAGTATAGCTACTATACTTACTAAACTTAAGCTTCTATTAACTATAAAGCTAGCTAAACTCTCTTTAATTTCCTTCTTTTTTTTCTCTCTTGTTTAAGCTTATTACTTACAATATATACTACTTACTGAAGCTCGATTGTAGAACCGCAGTGTTTTGCACGAGGGAGTGAAGCTGGCGCTATTATACAGCACCGAGACAGGCCAGATGATTGAAGGTTGTCCGTTGACTTTGGAGCAGTTCGATGCTCTGGGCGGTGAGTGCTACAGAACGGGGAGTGGAAGGTGAACTGAACTACTTCAAGAGAACCAACTGCTGTAGATAGTGTCCACTCCATCGCGACGATCCGCTTCGCTGCTCTTGCTCTGTCGCTCCCGCTGTTGGCGACTCTACGGTCGGCCAGGGCTCCCTGCGTTGGCAGCTGCCGCGTCGCCTTGCTCCTTGGAGAGAGACTTGGTCGCCTAGGGCTCTGTCGAGAGACAAGCCTCAGTCGCTCCGCTGACTTTGTGGTTCCTCATATCTTTGTATGTTTGGTCTTATATGAGGGCCACGGACCACGGACCAGGCTGCCCTGTAGACTCTACGCTTCCTAATGAACTGGTGGACCTCCGTGCCAATATCTTCCAACACGGAATCAAGTGATGGAGTACCATACTTGGGTTTCTGCCGCAGGATATTGGGTCGAGTGGCGGCCTCAAGTGAGTGTGAGGAGAAAGAACCACTCAACTTTGAGTATTCCAAAGTTCATGGCGGTGGGCGTCGGAGCACACAAGAGAGCAGGTGGCAGGGCACGGTCTTGGGATCCTTCCCAGAACTTCAATGTCGAATGCCCCTACATGTGCATTCCACGTACGGTTCAATTATGTATCTAGAATCAGACTCACACCGGGTATCACTCCGTTCACTGCATTGTCCAAGCTTGCCCTCAACATGTGTCTCCCAACCCAAATCCACAGACGCCAGAAATCAGACCACGCCAGACCAAGCAACACGCATGCCCAAGTTACTCCATGACCGAAAGCTGTCTCGCAATCGACTCGCTTCTCCTCTTGGCTACCGTAGCAGCGTCCCAGGTGCCCGCGAATATGTCCTCGCACTCCTCCTCATCATCCGAGTCAAAGACGATGTCGTCGCCGCTTCGCCCTTCAGCCTTGCAAGCTTGCTGCTCCATTAACCCTAGATCCTGAACATGACAATCCTCCCAGCTGCGGTGCGACATGACGCGTTCCGTCTCGAGTATGTATTTTCCCACCTTGTATTTTTGCGACTGCTCCTTGGCATCGACATACTTCCACCCCAACTTTCGTGAACATGTCGCGCAGCAAATATCCGCAACCGCATGCCAGCCCGTAACAAGCTGCCTGTCCTCACTCCTTCCAATGCGAATGTTCAGGAGTGTCGTGTTGTCAGCCGGAGGAGGTGGCGGCGCGACCAGGAAGGCGCGGCCATAGCGACCGGTGAAGCCTTTTGAGATGATTTGCGATGCGAGAGCCAGATCCGTCGAGCAGGTCATGCAGCGAAGGGTATCTGGGGCGCTGCGAGAGAGGAAGAAACGTTCCGATGTTGGCGCGTGGTGTTTGGCGACGGGCCCAGATGCGGCTGGTGGGCTGCTGGGGGAGGCCGTGGTCAATGTCGAGGAGGCGGCGGGCGGGCCTTGTGCATCTGGACTTGATGAAGCTGTCGGCGACGAAGCGTGTGCTGATGGTCGGCGACGAAAGCCGAAGTTGAAGCTCGGCAGCAAGAAACTCGGGAAGACGGGCCGCGTTGCTGAGATGCTGGTCGTGCTGCGTCTCCGGGCCATCTTGAGTCTCGAGCGGAAGCGGAACCAAGGCCGAGCAGGGCGTAGTTAAGTCAGTCGGTGGTCCCTGTCTGGGATGTTGATCTGTGCGCACAGCGTCCAATAATGATGCACGTGCAGCTGCCCAGACCAGACGCACAGAGCCTGCCGGGTCAGTATGAATTCGTCAGCGACGCTGCATCTCTGCCAAAAACCAGCGCGGGGGGCCGCAAGACATGTGAAAGATGCAAAGTTCAAGGAAGAAGGATGGATGGGATGGATGGATGGATGGATGAGATGGAACATCGGACCACACCGGACAAGACATGTCCGCCATGCCCATGCATGTGCGCTGGTACGGAGGGCGATTTATTGGCACTAGCCCGAGGTGCCATCTGACATGCAAAACCACCCAAAACCAACCGTGGGCCCCGCACGCCAGAATAGACAGACCTGTCAAGTCACGTCTGAATGGCGCTAGACCAGCCTCGGCATGACGTCGCAGGGCACTTGCTTGGCACCCTGTGTCCGCCAGCCGGCTGCGACTCTGCCCATGCCGTGCCGTGCCATATTACCGCCGTCTCATGGTCAAGTTACGCATCCCAGTGCAAACAAACACGGCAGCATGGCACTTGGGTGCCGACGTAGTTGGTACATAAGTTACTTGGCCATGGTGGCTTACATGCTAATCACCCGTCGAGCTGTGCAGTCCACTTGATTTGTTCCTGCTCATTTGTTCAGCCCTCCCCACCCGTCTCCTACGACTGGGGCTCCTCAGCAACGTAGTGCAAGTACGCGCCCAGGAGCTTGATGCCCTCGATGTAGTTACGCTTGTCCAGCTTCTCGTTGATCGAGTGGGCACCATCGGTTGAACTTCCCATGGGAAGCAGGAGGACGTTCTTGCCCGTGGCCTCCTCAAAGGTTAGAGTAACTGGGATGCTGGGAACCAGGTTAGCTTCTCGCAAGTAGCCGCGAATGCACGCTTTTTGAAATCTGCTTACCTTCCACCCTCACGAGTGAAGTCAGGCTGAACACCCCAAACACGCTCCGTGGCCTTGGCGGCTGCGGAAAAGTTCCAGTGCTTGGGAGAGGCAGCCCACCACTTGCCGGTGTGTTGCGCATACACCTTCATGGTGTTCTTGCTCTTTAGCTTGGCAAACTGCTCTTCGACATACTGGTAGACGCACTTGTTTGTGGTGTCAATGTCCATGTTGGGGACCGTCCGGATGGAGAACTTTCCAATGACCTTGGCGGGAATGACCGTCTTGGCTCCAGGACTGGAGAAGGCACCCTCAATACCGTGGACAGACAGGGACGGGTATCTCCAACGGGCCATCAGAGTGTTCTTCTTGTCGTCATGAATCGTAGTCTTGCTACCCAGTGACTCGAAAATGGTGTCCATTGTGAAAGAAATGCCGTCGTACAGGCCTTCTTCTTCTTTGGTGACTGGAGCAACCTGCTCCATGATTCCAGGGATTTGGATCTTGCCGTTGGTGTCGACCAGCGAGCCCAAAACGCGAACCAAGTCAGTCATGGGCTCCTGGGCAGTGCCACCAAAGACACCACTGTGAAGGTCGGCCCCAGGTCCGGAGACTTCGACGGAATAGTAGTTGCAGCCTCGTAGACCGTAAGTTAGGCAAGGCTTCTCGGTACCGAGCCAGTAGTTGTCAGAAATACAGACAGCATCGGTATCGGCAAAGTACTTCTTGGCCTCGGCCTGGATGAACTCCTCCAGACCCTCTGAGCCGTATTCCTCCATACCCTCAAAGCACATCAGCAAGTTGACGGGAAAGTCGACGCCGGCCTTCTGGTGAGCCTCTATAGCATTGAGCCAGCCCAGGACCGGCCCTTTGTCATCTGTGGAACCACGCCCAAACATGCGGCCCTTGTCGTCAACGCTGAGCTGGAACGGCTCAGTAGCCCAGCCATCACTCTTCTCGGCAGGCTGAACATCATAGTGACCATACACAAGGATTGTTCGCTTGTTCTTGTCGTTTCCGTAGCGGGCGAGGACGACGGGAGGGAGTTCAAGGTGCTCCTTGTGAGGCTGTTTGCCAAGAGGTCGAAGCTCGACCTCAGCTCCCAGGCTTTTCAGCTCGTTGCCGAGCCATTCTCCCATGCGGACGACATCGGGGCGACGAGCATCCTCGGCCGAAATTGAGGGAATCGCAACAGCCTTTCGGAGACGCTCAATGAAGTGGTCGGCTGAATCGTCTACCTGTTTGAAGTAGCTATCGAGTTGAGGGGCCATCTTTTTGGCTTGACGAGCGCGGATAGAACCTGTCAGGTATGAACGACGACAAGCAATCTTCCCTGAGAATTGCCAGTTCAATGAAGAAGAGAAGAAATTGAGGGGAAGAGATCTTCTCTGACTTGCTCGAGGAACATGGCACAGGACCGACTGAAGCACGACGGTGCGGGGCATCACTATTCGCCGTGCATACTGACGTTAGCAACTACACACACCTTTTCCAGCGGGTGGGGAGATGCTCGCACAGGGAGGGGAGACTCACCGGAGAGCAAATGGACATGTGCTGACTCATGCAGGAACCTTTTGCGAGGCCGAATCCAAGGGGTGCGGCGAGGGAGGGGTTGTGTTGCACTCCGTAGTTCTTCCGAGGCGCTAGGCGCTCGGTGGAAGCGGGCGAATTGGCGGCAGGCGGACATTATATTTTTCCGACAACTTGCCTTGGCGTCGGACAATGGCAGCGTTTGGAGGCCGTTTGTCCGAAGCTAGTCATTATTAATGGACCGCCCGTCTCCCTGCTCGACTTCCAGCTTTTCTCCTCATCACCCAACCTCAACCCATCTCCCGCTCCCATCATTCATTGACATATCCATCGTCGGATCGTCAGAATTTTACGTTTCTGGCCCCTGGGAAGTTGTTTGCACTAACAGACAGCCGGCTGATGCCCACACAAACGATTTTGCGCCCCTCGTGACTTGACACGCCCGCCCGCCCTCAGCGGATCGTGCATATTATCCGCCACCCATTTCCGGACGACGACGAAGTGACTCTGCCAGCTCAAGACAAAACACAGCCACCCCATTTCAGTGTCGCGCACTTGCTTCTTGGCAAGGATATCGAAAGATCGGGCTCTTTGGCTAACTCGAGGTGTTTCTGGTGCGGTGGGTGCATTCTCGTGGTTGAATCGGTAGCGAGGTGGAACGTGTGGGCTAGCATACTCCTCAGGCATCGGCCTATTGTACTCCTTATTGTTCAACCCTCTAACCTCTATATTCGTTTGTTTTGTTTCCAAGTACAATCAGAATTGACTATTTAATTTTCAACTTACCCTGATTAGCACGCGAGTGCCAAGGAAGAAGCGAAAAAAATTAAAGGAGAGAAGCATCAAGAGAAGGAAAATCACTCGAAAAGAAATAACTGCCGTCTCTAGCACACAGAAGAAGAAAAACAGAAAAAAATTCAATTTCATTTACTGGTACATCGCTTCGCGATTGTCGTCAACGGTACTGACCTTGCTGCTGTCTGCATTCCTCGTAACAAAGGATTCGCCTGAGTCAGTCAGATCTCAAAATGGCATCATCAGTGTTTTTCAAGTTTAAGTCTCAGAAAGAACCCACCCGAGTGGAATTTGACGGAACAGGTATTTCAGTCTTCGAGTTGAAGCGTGAAATTATCAACAAGAGTGGCCTGGGAGATGGCACAGATTTCGACCTCTTCATTTACACAGATGACAACAGTGAAGGTGCGTATTTTCAGGCATGCTGCGAAACGAGGCGAGTTGCAAAGATGCTAAAAATGGTTTAGAATACGACGATGACACAACCATCATTCCCAGGTCGACAACTGTTATTGCTCGGCGCCAGCCAGCTCTGAAGCCTGGGGCAGGTAGGGCTGCGAGATATGTCTCTGGCAAGATGCCAGTGTCTGCAAAAAATGCAAGCCGAAAAGAGCAGTTATCCAAAGCGTCGTCATCAAAGCCGAGTGCCACTGCCATCAGTGAGATGAATAATGCCATGACGGAAGCGGAGAAGATGGCAGCCATGTTTGCGGCACAGACCGAGCAGTGGTCTGCCCAACAGGAAGAAATGTCCCAGTAGGTGTCTGCGACTCTACCTAGATACGTGGAAGCACCCCAGCTAACACACGGATAGCCAAGCTCCCGTTTTCAAACCCGGAGCTAAAAAGCCGGCGAATGTCCCTGATCATGATCCTCCTCAAGGCTACATCTGTTACCGTTGTGGTAACAAAGGGCACTGGATTCAGCTCTGCCCAACAAATGACGATCCTGATTTTGATAACCGACCCCGCGTGAAGAGGACTACCGGCATCCCCCGATCCTTCCTCCAGAAAGTCGACAAGTCGGTGGTATTGGCCCACACAGATGGCGACGAATCGAAACGACCATCTGGCATCATGGTCAATGCTGAGGGAGATTTTGTCATTGCAGAACCGGACAAGGCATCGTGGGAGCAATATCAGGCTAAAGCCAAGTCATCTACGGCCAACAAAGAAGCTCAAGCCGAAGATCAGGAAGTGCAAGATAGGGGTCTACAATGTTCGATTGACAAAAAGATGTTCATAGAACCAATGAAGACACCTTGCTGTAAGAAGACGTTTTGCAATGATTGCATAACCAATGCTCTCATCGAAAGCGACTTCGTCTGCCCTGCGTGTCAAACTGAGGGTGTGCTAATCGATGATCTTCAGCCTGATGACGATGCGTCAAGGAAGATACAGGAATACATCAAGGAGAAGGAAACTGCAAAGAGCACTCCGCCAGCATCTCCAAAAGCAGACGATTCCGTCTCTGAGAACGACAGCAAGAACGGCGATGCCAAGGCAGAGGACGAAACGAAAAAGCTGGGTGGAGAGCCGTCCGAGAAGCAAGAGGAGCCGAAAGCAACACCCAAGTCTCCAACGCCTCCAGAAGCCACCGTCAAGTCGCCCACAGTTGCTCCAGAGGGCGAAACGCAGATTGTCGTCAAGTCCGAGGACAAGCAAGCTCTAGACGAGTCGACTAAGCAGGTGGTCAATGTGAAGAAACGCCCGGCCGACGACTTTCTCGAAAACCCGAAAATCCCCAAGGCTCCCAAGGCCATGCAAAACCAGCAAAACAAGATGAACGCCATGAACAGTATGATGAACGGGATGCCCAACATGGCGATGCCCAACATGATGTTTAACGGCATGGGCATGATGCCACCAAACATGATGGGAATGCCGGGCATGAATATGAACATGAACATGGGGATGCCCAACATGATGGGCATGCCAATGATGGGCATGCCCAATTTTGGAAACATGAATGGAGGATTCGGGATGAATGGGAGCTGGGACATGAGCGGCATGAACGGCATGGGCAACATGGGCAACATGGGCGGCATGGCTGGCATGGCTGGCATGGGCAGCGTCATGAACGGCGTGAGCGGTATGAATGGATTGGGCGGAAGTATGGGCAACATGGGAAACATGAACGGCGTGAATGGTTTCCAAAACGGAGGGCAGACCTTTGGCCAGCAGAGCAATCAGGCTGATGATGATGCGTATTTTCGAAAGCCGGTCAACCCTCATCGCCACCAGAACAAGCAACGCAGGATCAGACCCAGCGACTACCGCGAACTGTGACCTTTTTCTTTTCTCCATGTCTCCGTCCAAGAGACGGCCGTTCCCTTCAAAGCCGGAACAACAGCATATCATCACGGCGGCCGGCAACCTGTATTCAACACAAGCACATGAGCCTCACGAATCTCCATGGACGCTGGGCCCTTTGCTTCTCTTTTTCATTCATTTATTTTTTTTTCTTGGATTGGCGTTGGGATGGGGGGGCCTTTTGCTCTGTTTTTTCCCCCGATTTTATTTCTATTCATGGCATTGAGTTGCCAGGCTTCCTTGTTTGGTTTGCAGAGCAAAGGGTGGCAATTTACCACCCATGTATTCGGCATTGCAACGGCGTAAAATGGATTAATTGGTTCCGGCGGGATCCCCCCAGATAGCACGGCCTAGGGGCACCAGGTCGTATCGTTGCTCTTTAGAGATAAGAGGGAAAAACAATTGAAAAAAACAATCTACACTGGGGTCCTTTTTCGTCGTCGAGCCAAGATTCTTGATTCAAGTGAAACCAGTTCTATATCTGTATACCATGACCAAATGTGACTGTCAGCGTACGCCCATCATGTAACCACGTCGGTGGTGTCCGTCGTGACGGAAGAAAGGGGCCCATCATCACCACTCATACTCATGCCCCTCAGCTACAACAGCAACAAGGCCCGCCTCGACCGCGCTGCATGCACGCATGCCCAATCCCTACTCGGGAGGAATATACTGCTTCATCAACAGCTCGCTAAACTTTTCCAGCTTCTCCTTGCCGCGCACCTCCTCGACCAGCAGGGGCATCTTGACGACGTTAAAGTCCTCGGCGTACAGCTCCTCATACTGGTCGAGGTACTTTTTCTGCATCTTCCTCCTGGCGTTGCACTGCTCGCACGCGCTCGCCCTCCCGGGGAACAGCAGCTGGTTGACGACGATGCAGTGCGTGTCGATGCCGTAGCTCGACAGCTCCTGGATCATGCGCTCCGTCTCGTAGAGGCTCAGGAACTCGGCGATGCAGACGCACACAAAGGTCGTCAGGTCGGCGTCCTTGAACTGCGCGTTGACCTCGGAGATGGTCTCGCGCAGCGACTCGAGCTTGTCCATCATGTCGCCGAGGCTCTGGCCGTTGGGGAGGGCGCCGCCCGAGCCGAGGACGCCGTTGAGCAGCGGCCCGTACTGCGACGACAGCTGCGACACCTTTGCGAGGGCCTTTTCGAGGACCGACGGGAACTGGAGGAAGCGCAGGGTGTGCCCGGTCGGCGCCGTGTCGAAGATGATGGTTTCGTACGAGAGCGACTTGACTTGCTTGAGGACCTCGGCGAAGGACATGGCCTCGTCGATGCCGGGGATCTGTTTTGCAGCGGCGGCGGCAGCGGCGGCGAGTTAGCCGGGACGCAGACATTGACGGATCTGCGAGACGGTCGGGTCAAGTAACGGGGGGGACGGGGGGGGACGGGGCGTGTGACTTGCAGCAAATGCCGGGTCCTGCATCATGCCGCCTATGCCGCCGGCCATGGCGTTGACGTCGTCGTCTCCCTGGCCGGCGAGGAGGTCCTGCATGCTGCCGTTGGGGTCGATCTCCATGGCGCTGAGGTTGTCGAAGCCGTCGACCAGGCGGGCCTCCTTGCCGAACTTTTGGGAAAAGGCGTCCGAGAGGTTGTGCGCCGGGTCGGTGGAAATCAGGAGCACCGAGCGGCGGACCTTGGCGAGCTGGATGGCCAGGGAGCACGACGTGGTCGTCTTGCCGACGCCGCCTTTGCCGCCGACGAATATCCAGCGGAGAGAGCGCTGGTCGAGGAGGGACTGGAGCGTGGGCTCGAGAGCGTCGTCGGCGGAGATGACGGCTGACGACATTGCTGAGATGCGCGAGGGCCTGGGCAGCTTTGTTTGTTTGTTTCTGTCGCGGCGGGAGACGTATCTTGGCAGAATTCTGCCCGGGGGCCGCGAGGGTGCGAATCGAAGACGGGACGGAGAGAGACGCGCTTTCTCGCTGCGGCACGTTTACTCCGTACGTCGATGGCGATTTCTAGAGGTTTCGAGGTCACAAGTCGAGGTGGCGGCGGAGGGGTCCAGGGTATGACAAGAATAGTAGGACGTTTTGTCTCGGATGCTGTGTGGAGCGGTGCGGGCCAATCTGGCAGTGAATTTTGTCCCCCTCGGTCAGTTCCGAGGCTCGGCGGCATCAGATGGATGATGATGGTGGCGCTGTTTTATTTATTTATTTATTTATTTTTTGGAGCGGCGGTGCCTGGCTGAGCCATAGAAGCGTATTCAATCAAGATGCAACGTTAAATGGGGTGGCCAGCCTTTTCCTTGAGCACGCAATGTGTGTTCAAATGTATTCATTACATCACTACATATGTTCTCCTCCCAGTGAGAGAGCGCAAACTACACTACCCGATACGATCAAAATGGCGAACAGAAGTGACGGAACCAACAGTGGCACTGGTCGTCATCTCCGCATCCTTGAACTCACGGACAATGGTGACAATCTTGGTGCCATCTATCGGCGTCTGCGTCTGCGTCCACTTGTTGCCGTCCTGGATCACCACGCTGCGGACCTTGGCCTGATCCTGGCGCATCTCCTCAAACTCCTTGCCCAGCTTGAATGAAAAGTCGGAACTTTCCGGCCCAGCTGTACTCCTGACGTGCCACTCATCTCCGTTCCTTTGTATCTCGATTTCTGGAGACGCGGATTTGTCCAGCTGGTGTTTTCCCCTGCCGACGCCTAGGTTGGAGTAAGTCACGATACGGACTATGACATTGGCCTGTGATGCAATCATGACGGATCTACCTAGCTCTGTGAGGAACTCGTCGAAATTAGTGCTTTCGCTCAGCTTGTATCTTCCACTGAAGACGTCCGTCATATTGATGCGTGCGTGAGCGTTTCTTGTTCTTTTTGTTCCGTGGGTTGATACGGTTCTTCGAGACGCAGTGAAAATGACGACCCCTTGGATATGGTAGGCTAACAGTTGACCCAATATGTTTTGCTTCAGGTAGTTGCCCGAGAAAGAAAAATCAAATCAGTCATGCTTGGTGACGCTAGATACACAAAAGCCGAGGCAGTTGGTTCTTTTTCAAGGTGCTGAGACTCGTTCATAACGCGTCCGTGGTGGTGGTGTGGTGGCACTGGATGTCGTCATAGCCAGTGCCAAGTTGACGGCTTGAATACCACACAATGCAAAGTTGAGCACATGGTTAATGCCACACGGCAGCCCCAAAGTCAAAGTCCGGCTGCCAAAAGGTCCTGCCTTGGGAGTCCCTTTCTATTTTGGGAGGAAAATGTCGCCTCCACGGCATTCGAATCGCACATGGCTGGGACTCGGGAGCCTGCAAGGCATACCCACAACACCATCCATCCATCCCTCGTTCATCGCATGCGATGCTCTGACACCATCACCTCGGTCTTCTTGACGATTCCTCCTTGCTGCTTCCCTAGCAGTTCATCGCTGTCGCTCCTCTGTTCGATATGTCCACTCGTCGTGTCGCTGTCTGGTTCAGGGCGACGATGGGCCATGGCCGAAACCTCCGTCTCATTCCGCCAGTAGCCCGACTCCATGTGCGATAGACCGTGCTCCTCGTTCTGCGAGGGCTGATTGACGTAGCCTCGTCTGCATTTCGTGCCGCCCGTTCTACTCGACGACGACGCATCGTGGGTGGATTGGATGTTAAAAATTTTGCGATACATGTTGACAAAGAGGGAGCGCATGGGTGGAATGCACGCGGCGATGATGATGCAGAATTGTTCAGTCCTTTTTTTACCACAAAGCATTAGACAAGATGTACTTGGGGTCGGAGGAAGGAGGTGTTTGATAAGAAATCCTTTTTCTTTTTTTTTTTAACCAGCGCCCACTCACATCATCCAAATAATCAGATCGACTGTTTCATCTGCATTGGCCAAAGGGTAAGTTTTCGGTCAGAGCGTCGTCAAAGCGCAGGGTAGGCAACGGCAAGGGCAACGGCCACGGGGTGGATTTGTTTCATACACGTATAATCGCCTCTAGAGGAGAGCGTCTCGAGTTTCATCGTCTTGATAATGGAAGCAATGCCGGCGCTTTCAACGATGATTCACGTGTCAGCGTCTTCTGCAAATCCGAAACAAAAGAAGAAGAAAAAGTCACATACAATGCTCCCAGGCCCATGTAAAACATGAGGCTCATCTTCAGTCGCCACTCCATTTGCAAGTTCCAGACCACCGTGATGGGGAAGATGGCCAGCGCAAAGTCCGAAAAGACGGAGAAGGCTGCAAAAGGACAAGATGCGAATCAGTCACACGCCGAAAAAAAGAAAGACGAGGAAAGGAAAGAGCGATGATTGTCCGTACAGGCCGTAAAGTACCCATAACCCTGTTGCACCTTTGGATCCCAACATTTGCCCTCTTTGCTCAGCCTTGGATCCCACAAAGCCGCAGCAGGCGTACACTGCGCAAAGATAAAGGACACGCACACGACGCTGATGACGAACAACATGGTCACCATGATGTACAGGAACCACATGCGCGAGTGGCCTTTGCCAATGATTTGCCGGATGAAGAGCACAATCGACATCTTGGCCACGGCCGTGCTCATAATGTGAAGCGCTTGACTGACCCAGTCGAGCTTGACCGACTGGACCTTTTGATCCTCTGACAGGAATTCGAGGTGTCTGCCTGTGCCATATTGCACTTCTGGAGTCGTGACTCCCATGAAGGCGACGGCCAGTATCTAGCACGCATGAAGATTCCCGGCGGTGAGCACATCTCCAAGCACACAGGAACAAGAAAGGGGGATAATAACTTACAAACGATGTTAAAATAAGCCAGTCATCAGCCCCAAGACCACCTCGCTTCTGGAAACGATTGTACACACGGCCGCCAATGAAGAGTGCCGTGATGCCGCACTCGATCCAGCCAACAGTCAGAATAACAAACCCTCTGTCTATATTCTGACGAACCGAACCTTCTGCGCCTGAGGCCATTGCGACAACTGCGAGCGTCGAAAAGAAAAACAGCATCAAATGTAGACAAAGAAATGAAAAGGGGGGGGATGGGAACAACAACAGGTATATACGTGCGTAGTCAAGACTTGACACTGCAGCACCCACAGGCCTCAGAGCCAGGTCACCTTGAAATATATTTAACCCCTTCAATATGACGGGCGGAATACGCTCAGGTATCGGCACAAGAGGGTTGAGATGATTTCTGCCAAGTAATTTACATGGGAGGTCCATGGAGTCGCATCGTCCACGTCTAGGTCGAAAACCAAAGGCAAGAAACAATGAATGGATCATTGCTTGCGGGCCATATTCAGTCACGTAAATGTGTAGTACCACCGCACGTCGTTGGTGCACTAAGTCGGTAGAGAGCGTACGGGGTCAACATGGGGATGGGGAACGATACACACAACGTCTTACCGGGGGGTCCGTCAAAGAAATTTGCTTGCCGCCTAGTTCAACTTGCCCACCACGGACGACACATGCGGACGAGTCGCCTAGTATGATGGCCGGCGGCTGGTACAGGGCCGGGATTGTTACAGCGACGGTTACGGAGCAGATGATATTGTTGGAAAGAGGTCCCTCTATGATATGTGATATGGGTCCTGACCCATGGGAGACTGTTTGAATGGGTAGGGATAGCGCCTGCTTGCCTGCTTGCCTGCTAGTACTCTACTTACCCGATGAGATTTTGTTGGACTGAAAAATCATGCATGTAAGGAGTAAGACACTTGCTTTCGAGTGCAGCAATGTTCTGGAAAGGCATGTTGGGGGCAGTAAGCTTACAGTACTGGCACCCAAGGAGGTGATTGATTATGTTTTGCCACGGACTTTGAGCAGCCAACAACCATCAAGCAAGCACCTGAGGGCGTACGACGGACGATGCGCGGTGGGAAATGGAGCGCAACACAACACAACCGCCCCCATGTCCAACCAATACTTGCCGATGGACTTGGACCAAAAGTCCCCCCCTCGATCTGCGTCCGTGGTCCGTGGAGAATGGATGGATTACTCGGTACGGAGGCGCGTCCCGTGCCGTTGCACAAGGGTACATGGACGGTCATGGCAAGACTCGAGAATGATTGATCCTGGGCGGCAGTGGGGTTTCGAACGGGAACATCCAAGACGCGCACAGCTCAGTCCATGGCATTAATCTATCTCGGCAACAGTCAGAGGACGCTGGTGTCGTTCAAGCTCCAGACTCAACAGCGAAGGGCTGGCGAGTTTGACACTGTGCGTGCGTACGACGACGAGGACGATGACGAGCACCAGAAGTGGTGTTACGTATGAGACGTGACAAGGACAAAGTCCGTTGTCCGTAGTCCTTCCTGATGACAAAACAAGGCCGCGAGACGGACAACTCGGAGGTCCTGCCTGATTACGACCATTTCCCCGCCACGCCTGTGCGCTTTGCCAGGGAGATTCTGTGGCAAAGTGTGATGCCACAAGATTCGGTGAACTCGAGCACCTAGATTGGCTTCCGTGAAGCGGAAGGATGCGAGCGATGAATTGTTGGGCTGCCTCCTCCGTACGTACACCTGGTTCATTGGTAGCGAGCAAGGGCTTGGGGGCTGTTACAGATCTAGGTTCGCGTCCGTACCACGGAGCAGTGATCACTGATCTGTAACTGAAACGGCATCTCTGTTCGCAAGGGCTTGTTTCTTCAACACCATGCGAGAATGTTTTGAATCGAGGTACGTAGTACGTAGCTGTCCATGGACCTTGGAGCGGAGTCAAGTCGAGCAAGGTTCAACATCAACAGGGTTGATCGCCCGTCCGACCCACGACGGACGGGAAGTCAGAATCCACCACATTCCGCTGACTCAGGGGTTCCGTACCAATCACGGAATGCTCGTACGAAGTATTAATGCTTGACATGTGGTTGATGGCGGGAGGGTTCGCGCCGGCAACAGACCAGGGAAAGTAGCAGTTGACGGCGACAGCCGAGGAAATCCGCCGCACTAGGAAGCTGGTCAGTGGATTTGCGGACAAGAGAATTTTTTCATTTTTTTTGGAGATGGCGTTGAGCGGGATGCAGTCCAGCGCAGGCAGGTTGCGAGGGAGAGGAATCGAGTTGTTTGGAGTTGGCTAGTTGCGTGAAACAAAAAAAAAAAAAAAAAAAAAGGAGGAAAATAGTCCCCGTTTCCGCGGTGATGATCGTGCTCGGTAATATTATACGTACCTGCCTACCCACACTCGCGACGTATTCCGAGCCAAGTGTCGAATTTTGCCCACTCGTCCCTTTGATGTACGCGGGCCATTCATTACAGAGCGTCGGCCAGCTTGTCCCCAGGGCAGCTCTCGGCTCTCTGTTGGTCATCAATCAATCAATCATCTTCAATCGACCACACAATACAATACAATACGGAGCCGTACTACTACTACTACGCCCTCGGCCGCGTCTCTCCGTATCCATCCCTGATCCTACGTCGGGACCAACCTGGCATCATCGGCGATAGTGCGCCGCCGCCGCCGCCGCCGTTGCATGTGAGATGTAAATGCAAATGCAAACGCAAAATATCTGGTGGTGGCAGTCATCTCCGTCCTCGACAATCGATGCTACTTGTCTGTCCGTGGGAAACTCGGCGCGCTGCGACGTGGCAATTTCAACGTGCGTAGCCACGAGAAACGCATGTGGCATCAACTACGCTGAGCATGTGAGCGACGCGACATCTCTGCGTCTAAGGGTGCTTGATCTATATACGCCCGTGTTGGCCTTGTTTCTTTTTCCTCGTTCCCTCTGGGTTGCCGGCACTCTCAAGCGTTCCCCTTCTTGGCCATTGTTGCAATAACTCTGCACGCCGACGCCAAACATGTCGGCCGCACAGCCTGAATCCCCTGCCAGGGAACAATTCAGCCCCAAAGAAGTCGAGGCCCAAACGGCGGTCAGTTCGGACGGCGGCGAGTTCCTCCAGGACGACAACGGCTACCTCGTCGACGCGCACTTGGCGGGTCGCAATGTCAAGACCACGCCCGATGGTCGTACGGTGCTGATCCCCCAGCCATCTGACGCCCCGGATGACCCGTTGAATTGGACCTGGTCCAGAAAACACCTGTTTCTTTTCATCATTGCTGCGACGTCCCTTTTGCCCGACTATGGGAGCGCCACTGGTGCCGTTACGCTGTTGCCGCAAGCTGAGTATGTGCCGTTCCGTATGTATGCGTGTAATTCGGTTGGCTCGCGGTGGAGCGCCGACTAGAAATATGAGTTTCAAAAGAGAGACAGGCAGAGAGAGAGGAAGAAGGAGAAGGAGAAGAAGAAGAGGAAAGGAAAAAGAGGGAGACCATGGTTGTTGACCTGACTGACGGTGGTGAAATAGAATCTGGCACATGGACCCTAATGTCGTCAACCACTCCCAAGTCGGCAACGTCTTCATGATTGGCGCCGGTGGCATCGTCGCCATCTGTCTGGGCGCATACTTTGGCAGACTGCCCGTCATGTTCTGGTTCATGACTCTGGCATTGGCCACGGCCATCTGGTGTACTGCCGCAAAGACGTTTGAGTCGTTCATGGCGGCGCGCATTCTCAACGGCTTCTTTTCCCCCGTCGCCGAGGCAGTAAGCCCTTGTTCTTTTTCTCCTTTTTTCCTGTTCTTCTGTTTTTCCTCCCCTTCCCCTTCTTCCCCTTTCCCCTCCTTCTCCCGCTCCACGAATCTGCGTGGAACAAGACAAAGGAAAAGAAAAAAAAACTAAACAAGAGAAAAGTAAACCAGCATGGACTGATCAATACCTCGAATTTTACAGGGTGGCCTCATGTTCATCAAGGACATGTTCTTCTTCCATGAGCACGCTCGCAAGATCAACATCTGGGCTTCCTTCATCATCCTCTCGCCGTACTTTGGCCCCCTGTTTTCCGCATTCATCATCGACACCCAGAAGTGGCAGTGGGCGTTCGGTCTCTACACCATCATGACGGGCATCTGTGTCGTCGCCATCTTTGCCCTTTTCGATGAGACGTACTATGATCGCAAGCTGGCGCCGTGTGAGCAGCCTCGGCGCAAGTCGCGGATCATGAGGGTCATAGGCGTCGAGCAGTGGCAAACGCGCCACATGCGAAACACCTTGCCCGAGGCCGTCTCGCGTCCGTTCAGGGTCCTGATCAAGTTGCCAGTGTTGATTTCGAACACGTACTACCTGCTGGCTTTCGCGTGGGTCGTGGGCATCAACACCACCTTGGCGATATTCTTGACGCCCTTGTATCATTTCGGTCCCAAGCAGATAGGTAAAACGCCCTTCTTGGAATCCGGCCCCATACCAACAATGCACACTTGTCTGACCTTGTCATCAATCAGGCTTCTTCTACTTCACGCCCATCGTCGCCGCCATCGTGGGCGAGGTCGCCGGGCACTGGCTCCACGACTTTGTCGCCCAATGGTACCAGCGCCGCAACAACGGGCGCCTTGAGCCCGAGGCTCGTCTGGCCGTCGTTTGGATTTCCACTCCGTTTCTATGCGGCGGGCTCGTCTTGCTGGGCTTCTCACTCGAACACGCATACCACTACATGGTGGCTGCGCTGGGCTGGGGGCTCTACGTCTTCGGCATCATGATCACGACCGTGGGCGTCAATGCGTATAACCTCGACTCCTACCCCACCGCTTCTGGCGAGGTGGCGGGTTGGTTGAACCTTTCCCGTGTGGCGGGCGGCTTCATCATTAGTTACTTCCAGGTTCGATGGGCGGAGGACATGGGCGCCATCAAGAGCTTTGGTATCCAGGCGGCTATTTGCTTCGGGGCTTTCCTGTTGATTGTTTTGCTGCAGGTCTATGGGAGGCGCTTGCGAGAGTGGTCCGGCCAGCCGCATTTCAAGACGGACTAGACTTTTGAATATAAATGGACGATGGACGGGACGGCCGGCCCATGACGTCTTCCGTGGGCTCTACTTTAGAGAATCCCTTCTCACTATTCTCATCCTTCCCAGGAGAGGGCCACAGAACTCTGGTCCCCGCCATCGCCAAACCAGCCACATCGCATCGGCCGCGGCTACACGATCGTTCATCTATCATCTATCCACGTCTTCTACAAGTCGCTCGTTCTGAGAGTCGACGCCGTGTCCAGCGCGTGGGCAGTCCTTGCGCGAAAGGGATCCCCATGGCAAAATCATCCTCGTGGAGGTCATCCTCGGCGTGAGCACGATGCTGCACCGGTATGGCAGCATGCCTTTGCCGGCAGAATTCGACGGTGTGGCCAAGACGGCGGGCACCAGCCCGTGTCATTGATGATGCAAGGGCCAAGACACGGCACCATTCATGTTCAGTCTGCCGCCGAATGCCTCTGAGTCTGGGAGGCCGAGGAACAGGCGCTGAATGAGCTTGGGCCAACGAAGCCCCGATGAAGCCCCGTGGCGTAGATGCTCACACGAAATATCGCGCCGCTTGGTCTGAAGTCACCCACGCTGCGAGCATCACTGGTTCCCACGCGACACGGACTGGATGCGTCGGGCGCGATCGAGAGGCAGACGCATACTTTGAGTCAGGGATGCGTGATGAACGGCCGAGGCCGCGTAGCAACATGATATATTTTGGCGGCGTTGTACGACATTCTGTGCAAACACGTCATGTGACGTGCAATCCATCAAGGTGCAATCGTCCAGCTGCATCCTGCCTGCACCTGTGCTTCCCACGCGGGGGCCGCCGCCCAACACGACCAGAGGGGCACAACATGAACATCCTCGTCCTTTACCAGACGCCCACTTCATGTTTTTCATCTCTCTCTCTCTCTTTTTTTTTTTTTTTAAAAAAAAAAAGAAAAATAACAACAATAAGTTTTCTTCATTTTGATCTTTCTTTCGACTCCCCCATCGCCGACACCACCCAGCTCCCGCTTCCCGCTTCCCGCTTCCCTCAACCGTCCAAGGGACATCCCATCCATCCTTGGCTTGCGATACGCAGCGTCAACAAGCATCACCAAATGACCGCCAGGGACCCCATCACCTGCCACGTCCTCGACACCACGGCCGGCCGCCCGGCCAAGGCGGTTCGCGTCCGTCTCGAGGGGCCCCGCGGCTCCCAGCCGCCAAAGGAATTCGAGTCCACCACCGACGACGACGGCCGCATCAAGACCTGGCTCCCGTACAGCTCCGCCACCTCCTCGGGCGACGTCCCCGTCTACACGCTCGACCATGTCCTCGGCCAGGTCGAAGGCTCGTCCACCTGGACGCTCCGCTTCGATGTCGAGGGGTACTACGGCGAGGGCAACACCTTCTTCCCCGAGGCCGCCGTTGTGTTTCGCGTCCACAAGGGACAGCATTACCATGTGCCGCTCTTGTTGAGTCCCTACAGCTATACGACCTATCGGGGGAGCTAAGCATACGCATTGCACCGGGGCAGGATGACGCCGGCGTCCTTGACCGCATGGCCATAGATTCAACGCATGAGGGGAGTGTTGTGAGAATGGTCAATTAAACTAAAACAGACGCATCAATACACCTCACGGCGAGCATGGTTTCTGGGTTTGCAAGGCCATACACCGTCCGAAACGTGTAACCGTCTTTATAATCCAAAATAGATCTTGTCCCGACCGTCCTCTGCCCAAGGCGGACTCTCAGCCACCGCCCTATGTTGTGTACGCCCAACGCGTATATATGCTTGCTCAATTGAAGAAACAACAGCAAAAGAAAAGAAAAGGAGCATCAGCAAGACTCCATCGCTAGATATGCACTTTCACAAGCCGTCGTAACCTCGTAAAGCGCTGAATCTGCGGCGAAACCTGACGACGTGCCGCTGCATCAACCTCTCGCCCAACACTTCAAGGTCGCTTCAACCGACCGAACAATCTGGGCTTTCGGCGGCGTTCTGCCACATCTGGAGAGGTCGGCGGTGTGTCTTCCTCATACTTCTTGGAGCCGGAGCGGATGCTCTCGCCCCCGTCCTTGGACAGTCGTATGCTGGTTGTCGACGTGCTCCTCAATTGCTTGGCGGTATTCCCGTCGAAATCCAGCGTCGAAAGAGATGCACTGCTGTTCAAGGCTTCAGACTGAGAATTAATGACGCCGTGGGAAACCGTCCGCTTGTGCTTCCTCAAAAAGGATCGCCAATGCCTCTTGATCATTCGCTCTTCGGAGACATCCTCGTACGAAAGCATCGCGTTCGGGGAAAGGTCCGCTTCGGGGTGAGGCAGCGTGGTGTTGGGGCCTGAGCAGCTGGTGATGAGCACACTGAGCAATTCCTCTGCTCTCGCTGGCAGCCATCACTTACCATTGCGAAAATATTCTGGGAAGCCTGTGTCCCTAAGGACGCGCTTGGACTTTGTGGCGCGCGTGGGGGACACGACTCCGGTCTGTGGGATGGACGAGGTCTCGGAGTTGAGACTCGACAGAGTATTTTGTTCCTTAGGCATGGTATGCGCTTATATGCTTGTGCTCGCGGGGAAAAGGCATGTACGGTCGGGTCGGGATGGGTTCCAGGGGCCGAGACTATTTCAAATTGCATGGAAGGAGGACGTTTGCAACAGCTTGGGGTCTTTTGTCCTCAGTGTTGATGGCAAACAAGGAAACCTGCAGCCTTTGAGGTGCTGGGCGGAGGGGAGGTGAGGTATACAAGTTTAAGCTTCGGCTGTTTTGTTGAAGACGAAAGAGACGTAGAATCGGCTTGGCTCCTACGTAGATAGGAGTGTGAATCAATTCATTTTGCAGAATCACACCCCTACAAGCCCACATACATTTACGGACGTCGATGACGCTGGTCTCGAACGGAGCTGCAGGGTGCCACAACCAGTGATGCGGTAGCGAGATGAGGTGCCGATGAAAGCTGTGAAGATTGGCGCCTTGAAGGCTTGCCATATGCAACAAGGAGAAATGAGCGGTGGATTTCGGCTGGAACAGGCCTCTTGTTCGCCAACCGTCCGGAACTTCTTGCCCTTGTGACTGGGCTCCGGATGGATGATGCCCTCCCTCGACAGGCAGCCAGGATTTGCATCTGCCGCCTGCATGAAGCGGAATCGCCGTCGCTCGGCTGCTCGGGTTTTCCATGGGCCATGGCACTAGCAACTAGGTCGGCCTTTTGAGGACTAGACGGCGTGCATTTCAGTGCTCCGTACGGAGTACAGAGTCCTATGTACCCGGCACATGATTGAGCGACAAAGCTGCGTGCGTGTCGCGGCGTCTGTGCAGGGCTGGGCGGGCTGCGCCTCACTGTCTCACCCGGGGGTTGGTCGAGTCTCGACGACAAAAGTCCGCAGTGTTGATGTGGAGGAATCCACCTGCTTCGGCTGCGGAAAGGACTCACCAACATGGTGGCTCCTGTCTGTCGCCTGTGTGGCCGCTGACCCAAGACTCGAGAGAGATGGGATGTAAAGTTATTGGTGTCGTCGCTGCTCGCTGCTCGCTGTCGAGGGCACGGCAGCGAAGTGACACCCAATCTCGAGACTCGGGACGAACAGGAATCACACTGCGTCCTGCGCGCTGAGATCAAGGAACTTATCATTGGCCGGATCGGCTCAGGCGGCAAAGGCCGTGGGCATACGGAAGCAGAACAAAAAAGGCTGGAACAATGCGAGCCACCGAATCGATGTCAACCTGTATGTGGGCGCTGCGCCTCACAGTGGTAAGAGTAAGGACAAGGGACGGGCGAACAAGTCGAGCCGTGAAGTATGAAAGCCACGGAAGCGGTTTGTTCAGGAGCAGTGAGTCGTGCTGCAGGAAGCTTTGGAGCTTTTCGTCTATTACAATTTTGTCCCTGACCGAGGAGATGTCTGTCGTGGCAAAGAAAGATTAGAACTTGCCGGGTGAAAACTTGAGAGGATGTCCCACATAGATTAAAATGCCGCTGTCCGCTGTCAACTCTCCCGCCGTCACATTGTCAGCGCTCCGTACTCCGTACTAGTAGTACTGGGAAACGTGGATCCACGGCCGAGTGCCGTTTTAAAGGGAGTCCGGTGGCGTCACCAAAGTTCACTTCAGCTGCTGTCCTGCAGAGCCCTTGCGGTCATCATTGGTGAGACGGGGCAAGAAAGCGGCATGACGAATGCACGGAGGGTTGTTGTGGTTCATGGATGGCCGGCGGTGCGGGCGCTCTGAATCTTGGAATCTCTTCCACGTCCGGAGTACACACCCTAATACGCCGGAACCGTCCCCCTCTTTTTTTTTCCTCGCTGATCCTAGAGGAATCCATCCGCAAACCCGGTGCGAACTCGTGGCGACCTGGAGTGCGGGCTGTGTCAGCAGCGACTCTGCCACAGCTCTGGGGGTTCAATCTTGACTCACAATTGTAACATGTCAGAAACTGCACACCCACACACGCTTGGTCCGCATACGGATGGCAAAGCCTACCACAGCGACTCCGTACAAAGTCCACCACTCCCAGGAGTCGTCGCTGAGACTTGAGTGTCAGTGACTCAAGGGGGACTCGCTGCCGTGGTCCTGGGGCGTTTTGATCCGATACTCTGCAGTTTCAAATCACGGGGAAATGAGAGGTGAGGGACGAGGGGCGAAGACGATACATGCGTGACTACTTGTTCCCAGCACACGGTCCATGGCCACGGCCCATGGGGGCAGCCTTGATACCAGTGCATCGTGTCTCGAGTGGGTTTCTCATGTTGCAGTTGACCGACAATGGTTTCGCAGCTCATGAGTCTATTACTAAGCTTTGCTCGACTGCCCTTTTCTTTCACGGCGTACCTGCCTGCTTGGGCAGAGAAATTGAATCCTCCGCGCTCGGCCCGCTACCCTACAGGGCACCTGTGTGGCGTCGTCATGCCCAGGCCCAGCAGCACAACAGCACAGCCGCACAGCCGCACAGCCGCGCGTCTCTGACGACGGCGTTGCACCAGCCACAGTCCTCGTTGTAATTTGTGCTCCAGCACGAGACGACGACGTCGAAACACCCCTTTGTGCAAGCATCCCGCATCACCTTTCAACCTTCCTGCCATTGCAGGCACAGCATTACCTCTTGCTCGGGTCGACCACGAATATTCGCATCGCGCGTGTCAACTGTCGATTTCGCCCGCAATGTCAGACACTCCGCGCGGCGTCGAGCATACCGACTCGATAGACTCCCACGACTCAGCCCCGAAGCAGCCGGAGAAGACAAAGAGTCGCAGACCTCCCAGTGAGTTCCGCCAACCAGCGTTTGCCCTTGGCAAATTCACCTCTGTTGATGACGGTTCATTGACGAAATCGCAAACACTCGCACTAGACACCGCCTTCCGACAGCAGCGCTTGAAAGCATGGCAGTAGGCGCTTCCCGCGATGCCCGACTTGCTGACCCAGGAGTGCCAGCTGACCACGATGCGACAGGCCAATTTTGACGCCCAAGACGGTCCTGCCATTGTTCTTCACCATAGGCATCATCTTTGCCCCTATTGGCGGTCTGCTTCTTTATGCCAGCTCGCAGGTATTTTACTGGCTCGCGCTGTTGTCCATTGTCGTCGTCGCCTAATCTGCTTGGCTCCAACAGGTCCGAGAGATCAAACTCGACTACACGCGCTGTACAAACGATGCGCCCGACTTCGGCACCTTTGCAAATATGCCCGGTAGTGCTGTTGAGTCCGCATTTAAGAACGCCAACAGCAGCGTTCGTGCCCAGTGGGCGAAGAAGAAGGATGTAAACGTCACTCTCCACAATGGCAGACAAATCAAGGGCAACCAGTGTGTTCTCCAGTTCACCATTCCCGAGGACATGGGCGCGCCTGTTCTCCTTTACTACCAACTCACCAACTTCTATCAAAACCACCGTCGGTATGCCGAATCATGCGATCTTCAGCAACTCAAAGGCGACGCGCGCTCCTACGGCGACATCACCGGATCAAAATGCACTCCATTGTATGGCGTCAAAGCAAATGACACGGGCAGGCCATACTACCCCTGCGGTCTCATTGCCAACTCCCTGTTCAACGATAGCTTCTCCTCGCCAGTCTGGCAAAACCCGCCCAACGACGGCACTGCCCGCACTTACAACATGACGGACAAAGGTATCGCCTGGGACAGCGACAAGGATCTCTACGGCCCAACCAAGTACAAGGCCTCTGATATTGTGCCTCCGCCAAACTGGGCCGAGGCGTACCCCAACGGCTACACCGACGACGGCATGTATCGACCACCAAACTTGAAGCAATGGGAGGCTTTCCAGGTCTGGATGCGCACGGCTGGTCTGCCTACCTTTAGCAAGCTGGCCATGCGGAATGACAAGGACAAGCTGGTATCCGGTATCTATCAAATCACCGTCGATGATCGTATGCCACCCGCAACCCATTTTCTAATCTAGTTTCAGCCATTACCTGCTAACATACACGTCTCTCAAGACTTCCCAACCATCCAATACAGGGGCACCAAATCCGTGCTCCTGACCACGCGAACCGTCATGGGCGGCCGCAACAACTTCCTGGGAATCGCATACATCGCCGTGGGCGGAGTCTGCATTATCCTCGGCGCCGTCTTCACGGCCACACACCTCATCCGGCCAAGGTTAGTCCATGAAACTCATCTACATTGCTCCGCCCCTGGTCTTGCCACTCCAGGAATCACATCCTAACAAGGCGCCCCATCAGAAAACTCGGCGACCACACTTACCTGTCTTGGAATAACGCCCCAGCCTCCAAGCCCGCCGGCCCCAGCACAGTCATGGCGAGCGGTCGTGAAATCCGGCCCGGCGAGTCCTAGACGGATCGCCATGACGTGCACCCAACGTGTGCCACCGATTCCAGCACATCCGTCCCGAGTTGCCTCATTGCGCACCAGCATGGCATCAAGAGTGGACGACGTGCGGCCAGGCTAGGCCGGTGGATCATTTTCTTCTCCCTCAACTTGCTTGTATCACGTCGAAAACAAACAATTGTATGCATGTCTTTATACCGATGCAGCTGGCACGTCGGCTCAGGGCAACATGGTTTTGGTTGATTTGTGGATTTTGCTTACTCCCACCCCCAGACGTACAGTCGGACCCGTCCAAGAGCGGACTCATCTGAAAATTGAACAGGGCATCGAGGGAAGGAGATGAAGTGTTTTTGTTTTTGTTTTTGTATTTTTTGCGGTACTGCCGTTCTTTTTTATTTCTATCTCGGAAAGTCCTCGGTGAATAGGTGTCGAGGTAAGAAGGGCGTTTGGGATCTAGGTCCTCTTTAGTTATGCCGGATGCTATAGATGTTAACAATGACATTTGATTACGTCGATGTGAAGCGCAGTCGAGCAATTCAAACTTCAATCATGCAACACCTGAGGCGCCTGTGAATACTCGGGCCGAAAGTAAGATAGATGTATTCGTTGACGCGGTATTTTGTCCCGGTGGACGATGCCAAGCTGGTCAAGTAGAAAACCCCCATTATCTTCTTTGCCAATTCACCAAGCTACTCCCATATCTCGTACAAAATATATCGCACACAGTCTGCCAATTCCGCCTAGCTCAGCGCTTCTTCTTCTGCTTCTTGCCGCCTCGGTCATCCTCGTCCAGACCGCTCTCCCTGTCTCTCTTCTTGGCCTTCTCGTCGAGCTCGTCCCAGTCCTCGCCCTCCTCGTCACTATCCAACTCGGCGTCGTCGTCGTCGTCGTCGTCACTGGCGTTGCTACCAAAATCAGAGTCCGCCCCGCTAGACTCCGACGCTTCGTCCATCTCGTCGTCGTCAATCTCAAAGGCTGACTCCTCCTCAGACTCCTCTTCCTGCTCGTCGTCCGAGTTCTCCTGCAGGAAGCCCCAGCCGCCGTCGACAAAGAACTGGTGCGTGTCGGCGGTGACAGTCTTCATGATGGTCGGCCAGTTCAGGTTGAGTGGGCCCTCGCTGTATGCAATATCTGACGAGTCCAGGAATTCCTTGACCTGGTCGAGGAATTCTACGGGGATGGTGTTGATGTGGTACGGCGCGCGGGTAAAGTCTTTGAACACAAAGACCATGTCGAAGTTCTTGAGGCCGAATTGCACACGCTCGAGATGGGCGATTTCGATGTCTTCAATGGTAACCACCATGAAGGGAGGCTCGACAACCTGCATGAGGCAGTCCGTGGTCGGTTGAATAAAGACGTTGCTTCGGAAAGGCACACCGTTGAAACCGAGTTCGCGAATGGGCATGTCGACCTCGATACCCTCGTTGCGGCCAGCCTCGGCAATCTTCTGCGCAAACCCTTGGAAGAGTCTGTCCAAGTCGGCCCGACGCCGTCTTTCCTCCTGCTCAGCCTCGAACTCGTCCTCGTCTCCGTAGCGGTACTTTCGCTTCCTGTTGCCCGTTTCGTCAAATTGGATGTCCGTGGCTTCACGATAAAACTGAACATCCTTGGTCTTCTTCTTGTTGCCGACGATGATGGGGTCTTTGAGGTGGATGTGAATGATGACAATGAGCTCGTGTGCGCAGGGTTGGAAGAACAAGTGACGGACGTTGGAGAAGAGAACGTCAACGCGGTGCTGAGCGTTGAGCGGTGACTGGTATCGGATACCGTTCTGGTGTATTTCGACCTTTCCGGGAACCCGCTTCCCCTCCATGGCTGGCCGAATGTAGACGTTATCCAATACAGCAGGCCTTCGGTCTGGAAACAGTCATGGTCAGCATACGCCCGGCCAACCGGCGGTCTGTTGCATCCACTTACTTCTGATTTCAATCAGCTTGTCTTGCTCAATGACATCCTCCATGTCCTTCTTCTCCTGCTCCTTCTTGACCGCATCTCGCTTCATGTTCGAGATTTGAGTAGCTATCTCATTATATCTCTCTCCATCAGACGATCTGAAAGTTAGACTGCGCACAAAGTGTGCGGAAGCGTCTTCGAAGGGCTGATCGTCCTTTCTGCCAACTCCCTGCCCGGGTGAAAGGAAGTTGATTCGCAGGAACGAAAAGTCGTTTTCGTCGCTCTTGCTGGCGTTCTTGATTGTGTTGATGTGGAACGGCACGGGCCGGCCCATGATGGGAAGAATGACCGTGTTGTTCCTCGAGTCCACGACGACCTCAAGGTTCTTGACTTTAAGTGGGAACTGGTTTTCTCGCTTATACGATTCGAATCGCTTGAACTTTTTGACTTCAGCTCCGTTTTTGTCGCCGGTCGCCTCTGCAAACCTGGCAAGACCCTCCTTCTGCTTCTTTGCCGCCAGCTCCTTTTGGTGCTCTTTTCTCTTGTTCTCGGCATCTTCGTCGACCTGAGTCGTCCTCTCGGACCGAAGCCTGGTACTGGTGATGTTTTTGGTGGCAACAGCCCCGACCTTGTGGTCCTTCTTCTCCTTCTTGGGCGCAGGCTCGACTTCTTCGTCGTCCTTGAAAAAGAATGAATTGGCGTCGGCACTCGTGGGAGATTCAGCAGTGAACACGACGGGTTCCCCGGTGGTGACTCGGATAGTGTCGGTCAGCACCAAGGAATAGACCTTGCTGTGCTTGTCTTGCGGCTGAGGGTTATCAATGTCCTGGAATCCAGTGTGGATGATTAGCGTCATTCCGTCTTTGAGGATTCTGTTGTTCTTGGCGTTAAGGACGAGTGTCGGGTCTCGATTCTCCAATCCAACGCCCCAACCAACATTCTTGAGAAAATGCTTCTCCATCTCGGGCTTTTTGATCTTGAGCAAGCTCAGCGCCTTGCTATAGACCTCCTTGGCTGACATGCCGTCTCGGATCTCCTTGATGATGGAATTGTGAATCATGTGAAGAAGCTTGTAATTGCTCTCCTGCGCCTTGTTGGGATCGACGAGGTACGTCCTGGCAATCGTCGAACAGTATGACTTGTACCTGAGACCCAAGCCAGCAATGATGATGCCGGCATGCAAGTTATCACTGTTGGCTTCGGCGGCGAAGCGAAGATCGTACTTGCCACCACTCTGAATGGCGGGCCCCAAGATCCAGTCCAGCTGGGTCGGGTCGAAATCAGAAGGCAGCTTACCCTTGTTGGGCAGCTCAACTGTCTTCCAGAATTTTTCATCGTCCAGCTTTCTGTCCACCTTTTCTGCCAATGAAGCATGCGTGACCTTCTTCTCGCTATCGAGAATATTGGACATCTCGTCGAGGAAGTAGGGGGTCATCAAGGCAACACAAGCCTTGGAGGCGGTTCGCATGGCGCGGAGCTCGCTCTCGTCTTTGACAGAGAAGGCGTGGGTAGATACTGCAGCCGAGACGTCCACCTCCTCGACATCCTTGCAGTGCTCCGAGAAGACCTTTTTCCACTCATCGACGAAAGGTCCCTTGGACGTGTCTTTAGCGATCGTACCGATCTTGTCCTAAGTCGCCGTGAAATTAGCTCATACTGATTTACGCGAGAGAAATGAGGAGTATTTCCCTTACTCCGGCCTCCTTAATCTTCTCTGCAATGGTGACAAATAGCTTCTCGTTGTCCTCGGCGTTCTTGCCACGGACGAGTACCTCGATGGGGAATCGGCCACCTTTCAGCTGATCCAAATGTTTGGCTAATAAAAGTCAGATATAGGGACTCCAAGTGCGACTCGCGACGCGACCATGCGTACCCTTCTTAGCCGTCGTAAGGATGTACAGCGTGTCTACGGTGAGCAGCATCAAGGTCGTGGGAAACTCATAGCCAAGCAACCAAAACTGCAGCGAAAGAGAGGGATCTCGTCAGCATCACCGGTCCAATCACAATGCGCAGCGGGAGTCGAGGCCCAACCTACATGCATGGCGTTATTCTTATGAAACTCGGGAATCTCCTCCATCTTGCCCATCATGATGAGAATGGAGGCAGCTCCGCCAAAGAGGCCATCCTTGGCTCTCAGGTCATTCTTCCAAGCGGTCGCAAAATGCGAGATGCGCTCTTGGAAAAGCTTGCCGTCAATCTTGATATCCGCCATGGTGTTGGTGACCAACCGAGCGGGCTGCAAGAAGGACTGACGATACAGAAGAAATATAAATAAGTAAAAGAGAAGCCCGACGAGGAGAACACCAGACGGGCTGACGCGCGAGAAAAGCTGTCGGCGTCGCGTTAATGGGGTGAAGCAGCTGGCGATCACGTGACCGGCACCCACGCGTAGCTCCAGCAAGCCGAGGGGGGTTATTTGGTAGTTACTACGGAGTACTGGCGAGCGCTTGAGAGACATAAGCTGTGAGGTGAACTTGACATGGCGGATGGTGATGACAGCTGACGTTGGTAGATTGATTTCTCTCGTCATTTCTGTCCAAAGGGGAAAAAAAGCACTGGCAGAGACAGATGTGTTTCCCACTTGGGCAAGCTTTGGCACAAAGTTCACGACTAGACGAACGGCCCTGTCCCATCCCGGCAATGGATGTAGAAAACCCCCAAGACTTGCCCACGAAAGCCTGCTCAGCGCGTTTTAACTTGTGCTCACCGTCAGTAGTCCGGTAAAACAAACAACTACTTCTCCGAAGGCGCTACGGAGGAGCCAGTTCCCATTTCCTCGTCGGATATGCGCCGTGACGCTTCCGACCCCGCCGCTGCGACTGCGGCTCCTACATCGGCTCCCGCGGTCTCGCATCCGACGCTCGCTGCCGCTTCTAACATCACGTCCCGCTTCAAATGTTGCTCACCAAACAGCCTCTTCTACGATCCCTAACTGCAAGCCCGCCCCAGATACATCCCCGACAATGAGAATTCCGTACGTCCCCAACCCCCCGCAGCCTTCCACCCCAGAGGAGGCCCGGATCGTGGAGCGCGTTCAGGCCCGGCGAGCCCCTCGACCCCTCCAGCCTCTCGACCTGGCCCTCCTACACTCGCCCCCTCTCGCCGACGGCTGGAACTCCTTCCTGGGCGCGGTCCGCACAAAGACCTCCCTGGCAGACGATCTCCGCGAGCTCGCCATCTCTCGCGTAGCAGTGTGCAACAGAGCGTGGTACGAGTGGCAGCATCACGCCCCGCTGGCCGCCCAAGCCGGCGTCAGCGAGGAAGTCCTCGATGTCGTCAAGACCGAGGGGCCACTTGCGGCGGTGGCGAGACCAGCCGTGCTGAGCGAGAAGCAGTGGGCGGCGTTGGTCTACACGGACGAGATGACACGGAGCGTGCAGGTCACGGATGAGACGTTTGGCAACCTCAAGGCGTGCTTTAGCGACAGGGAGGTTGTTGAGATTACGGGAACAGTAAGTCGGCCTTGTCCCATGTCACATTGCGCGCGCGTCTCTGGGATATGCCGCGTGCGCATCACCGACTAACCCTCGCGACAGGTTGCAGCGTACAACTGTGTAAGTCGATTTTTGGTGGCGCTGGACGGTAAGCCATGAGAAAGCCAACCAACTCGTTGTCTTGTTATCTACCCCTTCTAACTATTCAAAAGTCGGGGAAAAAAACGGCACTGATCCAGACGACGTGGCAACTCATTGAACCAGTGGTTAATAAAATCCAACCTTGTCATGCCCCCATGTGCACAATCCCACGCACTAGCTGTCCGTATATTGAAGAAGCAGCGCATTTTGTCCGTGACACGGGTGCAACGGAACCCGAAGAGATGCAAGTCGCGAGCAGTTGTGATGAGTTGAAAATGCACACAAAGTAAATAAAAAGGCGTGCAACAACCGCGCCTCCAGGAAGTGAAAACGGGGGTATCCTATCTAAATGCCCCAATAGGCCAGAAAAGGAAGAAAGAAGAAGAAAAAAAAAAGAAAAGAAAAGAAATTTGTGCAGCGAGCCACTAGTAAACTCCAACACCACAAGAACTAGAAGTGTAGAGTCATAATGAGAATAAACCCGAAATAAAAAAATTGTAGCAGACTCGTGGTGATGCAGCGCTTGTTTTCGTACAATGATTCTTCGTGAGCATGTCTCTTTGTGCTTCTCTGTGATGTGTCGTGATAGTCGTGGATGGGTCTGTATGTGCTTCCCAGTTATTTGACAATGCTGTTTTATCCCTGCCGTCATAGGACTGGCTGTAATAATCGTACTCTCATCTCTGGCTTTGTTGCACCGCTTGGTGACCCTGCAAATCAGCTAAATGTGCAACGCTGCTGCAGGGGACATTAAAATACGGCATTAACGTCGCGATTTCCTCCTACCCTTGTCTTTTCTCTCTCTTTCTCTCTCTCTCTCTCTCTTGTCTCTCTCTTTTGATCCAAAGCGGCCACTTGTCTCTCTCTTTTGATCCAAAGCGGTCCAAAGCGGCCATGGCATGGCACGTCCGCTACGGCGTCGGCCGTGCCATTGCGAGCTCTATCGAAGCATGACGTTGCTGCATGCGCGGCGACGTCTGGAGCTCTTCGACGACACCTGCCCACCCCTTCCTATGAGGTGTAATGACATTTTCCTGATGGCCGATAGCCTGAGTGGTGAGGCGTCTCAATGGCGGGCGCTTCACCACGCTCTCAGTAAGTGACTTCTTGAGCGACAGCTTCGTGGGGCTCGAAAAGAGCATGCTCTTCTCGGCATCCCTCGGCAGCGGGGGTGGAGGGGGAGGGTTCCTGTCGACGACGGAGGTCATGATGCCCATGTAGACGACGAGAAATCGCATCCTCAACAGATCCAGCCTCCGCACTCGGTCCTCGAGCCGAGCTCGCTTTGCGCCCCAAAGCAGCCTCGCCCTTGTTCTCAGAGTCGTCGCGCCATCGGAGAGAACCAGGCTGTTGAGCTGCTCGCGCAAGTCGTCGCCTCCCTTCTGTATCTCGCGGAGCAGCTGGCCGAGGCGAATCTTGTCCTCGAGCCGCTGGACCTTGGCCACGTCCCGGTCATAGCTCTCGTTCTCTTGGATGGAAAAATCGACAGTGTCAATAAAGGTGACAATGTCCTGCGGCGCGACAAGGTAGGCTTCCCAGTAGGTGGCGACAACCTGGCCGATGACGACGAGTGACAGGACAAGGGCGGTCAGGACGAGGATCATGGTCCATTGCAGCCAGCCAGACTCGGGCATGATGAAGCGGAGTGTGGTGATGACGATGATGCGCAGGCAGTGATGGGCTCGCGACCGGATGGTGTCATGATCTGGCGCAACCAGACTGGCGAGGCGCAAGGAGTACAGATGCAGAAAGTATGCAGCATGTAAGGCACGAGAGGAGACGACGCCGACGTGGACGCAATAGAAGTGGTTGACGAAAGGTTGGTTGGGTTGGGCTCTCGGCTGGGCCGTGGGACCTCGAAAATGAAAATAGAGGAGGAAGGAACGCCTCAAATGCCCGATTGGGCCTCCACTCGACCATGACCCATGGGCAGGCACTTGGCGAGGTGTGCGAGGTGTGTGCGAGGTGTGTGCGAGGTGCGCGAGGTGCGCGATCCTGTGATCCTGTTGGCCACGGCCCAAAGACGGATGGATGCAGATGCATGATGCAGTCCCGACGGCGCCAAGGGCCACCGAGATTGAAGATTGTTGCGCCCGCACCCGCACACGGCGGCTGGCTGGTGCAAACAAGGTTCAAGTCGGGACTTTTGATGGACAGACGTCATCTAGGTGATGTGTGACTGGTATGATCTGATCAGGGAGATCTGCCCAAGCACAAGTCCACGGTGGAGGTGCTGATGACGAGGGACATTCTGCCAGTCGGCACGGCCACAGGCTGGATGGTCCCTGGCGCGCAGCAGCACTTTGGACGGTTCAGCGGCCTGGTCCGGTGGGTTTAGTGATTTTAGTTTCTCGGGCACGGCAACAGCCGCAAGCCTCAGCGTCAACTGCACGCACATGCACATGCGGCACCGACGGGCACGGTGCGCATCACACCGTCAACGCCTTGCGCACTGTCTTGCCGTCGCTCTCCCGCTCACCAACATTGCTCATCACTTGCTCGACCAAGTCTCACCAGACATGTCGCGGTAGACTGGCGCTCGCGAAACCACCTCGCACCGAAAACAGCCGTAGAGTCCAGGCAGCTCGTCTGGCACCGAGCCCATCGGCACCCGCCATGACGGCCGCCTCCTCGTCCGAGTCACCCGCGGCTCACCAATTTCCGTTTCCGCTCCCCAAGATTCTCGAATACCCCGCCTCGGCCCCTCCATCCCTCATCGCACAAGGCGCCGAGGGCCGTCTCTACAAAACCACGTTCCTCGGGCCCGATGTGCCCTGCGCACTGAAATACCGACCGCCCAAGCCCTGGCGACACCCGATTCTCGACCAGCGCCTCACCAGGCATCGAATCTTGTCCGAGGCGCGAATCCTCGCCAAGTGTCGACGCGATGGCGTCCGCGTCCCCGCCGTGTACGCAATCGACGAAAGTGCTGGATGGCTGATGCTGGAATGGATCCAGGGCACGCCCGTCCGCGTCAACATCAACAAGTGGCTGGGCAGCAGAACAGATGGCATCGAGAGCGACTCGAGGCTAAAAGACCTGATGCGCCGCATTGGCATGGCCATTGGCGCCATGCACAGCATTGGCATTGTCCATGGCGACCTGACCACGAGCAACATGATGCTGCGTCCGCCACCCGGCAGTGCTGAGCATGTTGACGTGCTCAGTGGCGAGATTGTCATTATTGATCTCGGCCTAGCGAGCGGAGCGATCCATGAGGAAGAGAGAGCGGTCGACTTGTATGTTCTCGAACGCGCTTTTGGCAGTACGCATCCGCGCGCCGAGTGTCTATTTGGCGAACTGCTCGATGCATACAGGGGCTGTTTCGGGCAAGCGGCGACGGTCTTGAAAAAGCTAGAGGATGTCAGGATGCGCGGGAGGAAACGCAGCATGCTTGGCTAAGGCACACGGACACGAATCGAGCCGAAAACATGGGACATTGGGCGAGAATCATGGTTCTGGTATTGGACGTTGATGCGCCGCCCCGGCGCAAGATGGTAATGCTCGCTGTAGCAAAGTAAAACCCCCAAGATGTCCCAAGAAACAGCAATCCAAAAAAAAAAAAAAAACATCCAAAAAACCGACAAATAAACAAAGACAAAAGTGCAGAATTCAACCAGCCTCCGACTGTGCATGTCTGTAAACGCAAAGTTTCCCCGCCCAGACGTAAATCAAGAATGTCATGCTATCAAGCCTCGCCTTTCTGTTGACTGGTTCGTCCTGTGGCCAAAAACTCAAAAGCCGACCCGACCGACGCGGATCAAACAAGAACATTTGCCTATCTATGCCCCAACAAGCTCTGCTCCGGCAAAATATCCCTTCTTTTCAATCACACCGCGATCCCGTACAAACGCCATGTATCGCACAGCCCACTGGGGGACTATATCCCCCTGCAGTCCGACCCCCCCATTGTCCGCGTCAGCCAGCACATTGGCTCCCCGAGGCCCCGAACCGAGGAGTTCCCGCAGAGTCCCCGGAGGCAGGATGTCGGTACAGTCGCGGTGAACATTCAGCTCGATGCCGTGGGCTTCAGCTAGCTGTTTCAGCGGCGGCGGCACATTGCAACAATCGTGCAGGTTGATCTGGTCAACAGCAGGGGGGACCGAGGCACGCTTGACGAAGGCGCTCAATTTGTCGCTGCCAAATTCAGCCACGCCAAGTCGCTTGGCGAGTCCTTGGTTGTGCAACTCTTCAAATATCCTCCACGTAGCCAGCTCCTCATCCAGATTGCCCTGGCTGGCGTTCCTCTTGTCGGCCTCCCACTCACACGTTCCTTCAAAGGATATGCCAGGAAACGATGCGACGAGCAGGTCGATGGTCTGAACGCCGAGTTCCTTGCTGACGAGGGCCAACGCCTCCCCAATGTACTGCACCCGCTGCTCCACGGATGTCGCGGGCAGCAGGAAAATCTTGACCGTGATTTCGTACTGATTCCGTTCGTCTCGTAGCCCGGCAGCCTGCCAGTTGATCCGCGGGATGTACAGGACTTTGCCATCTGTCTCGGTCCAAGCCTCGGCAGGCGTTGGCGGCGTCGACGTGCCGCTGCGGATGCCGTTGCCGTTTCCGACGTTGTTTCCGTTGGAGTGGCCGTTGGCGATGCCATGGGCGACGCTGTGGCCATTTGCTTGCGCGGCGACGGCATGCTCGCGCTTGGCCTCGGAGAAGCTGTCGCGAAGCGAATTCACGAGTTCGAGGCTGCATTTGTTGCTGCTGCCCGACTTGCGAATGATGGAGGGCCCGGAGGCCATGACATTGCTGCAATGTTTTGTTAAAAAAAGCAACTTCTCCCGATGGCCCAGCCCGTCATGGTTCAGATGCAGGGTCCTCCAATTCCGGCGGGCACATGGAGGGAAGGGAGCACAAACCCCGTCGACAGCACCAGCTTCGTCATGACAGGCAACGTGTTGGCTGCGCGCAATAATTGTCGAGTATGTGGATGTATGTATGTATATTTATTTACATACATTGACAGGCGGATCGATGAGCTTGGGATAACGATACGAAGATGAAAGAACGAAGAGCCAAAAAAAAAAAATAAAAAAAAAAAAAGGAAGAGCGCTGCGCCGCCAAAAGCGGAGTATGTTGAAACTTCAGCCGGGTGCTGGGTGAAAAGACAGTCTGTCGTCGGGCGGGTTGGCGGCGGACATTGAATGCTCTGGCGCTTTGAGCTTTTCTGGCGTTTTGAGCTTTTTTTACTTCCCGGCGTCGAGGCAACAGCGGTTTCCCCCCCCTTCCCCCTTTGCCCTGTCCTCCTGGGAACGGGCGCAAGCAGCCAGCCGGCGCGAGAATCTAACGGCAATTCCGCTTGGATTAATAATGCGGAGTGCCCAGGCGGGGTTGTCGTTCAGGACTCACGGTACTCCGTACTCGGTACGGCGTAACGACAGAGTAGTGCCAGTACGAGCAGAGTACAAGCAGAGTACATGGACGATACAGACTCCGGAGTAGCAGTCCCATCTTTCCGGACCATGTCGGCGTCCGCGCCAGCCGTCACACTTACGTAGCACTAATATGTATAAGTGACCTTGGTTGCTTGACTCTCCGGCTCGGTCTGTCGTAGCCGCCACGGAGCTAGTAATATTCATTGACTGGTTGCGAAAGGATAAGCCTGACTTTTCTCGTGGGTTGCGTCAACGATGATGTGATGCGTAAATCCACGATGAGACGTGGCTGTGGCTGGCCGCTGCATCAACGGGCTCCCTGATGCAGTAACACGTCGATGCTGGCATCGCACCCCGGCCAGCACAGTGAGGCTGCATGATTGATCGCAATTTTTGATCCAATCGGCCAGCATCTTCTCTGTAGAGCCACAGGCACAAAGGAACTGCTCGGCTCAGAACGACTATTTCCCGTATCCCATTCTCATTTCTTCCCTGCCCTGCTTCCTCGGCGCGGAAAAACCTGTCGACACTGTCCCCTCCCGTCCGTCCACGGACCACGGCTCAAGGGTGGTGGGGTTGCCTCGTCGTCGCCAACCAGAGTATACTACCCTGCCATTTTGATGAACGAATAACTCTCCACACCACAGCATCAGCATTCTCATTCATTCATACCCGTCGTTGCTTCTTATCCTCGTTCCCTCTTCCGTCGCTCAGGCATTCACGTCTCGTCCGTGGCTGGGCTTGGTGACGTTAATACTCGCCTCATAATGGCTATTCAGTGCGTCTATCCCCTCGCTCGCATTACATCATCATATTTACAGCTGCTGACGAGTGGCCGACAGATATCTCATTCTGCTGTCCCGCCAGGGCAAGGTGGTTCGTCGACTTCTTCCATGTCAATGCCGTATTCATGACGAATTTGATCAGAGCTGACTGCACCTGCACCATCCAGCGCCTTGCCAAGTGGTTCACCACGCTGTCTCCCAAAGACAAGGCTAAGATTGTCAAAGATGTCTCACAGCTTGTCCTCGCCCGCCGAACACGCATGTGCAACTTTCTCGAGTATAAGGGTACGTGCGGCCTATGTGACTGGTCCTCGCCATCGGTATCTTCCGTCATGGATGCTAAACAGAGTATGCTAACGTGTCGCGCCTTTTTCACAGAAACAAAGATTGTGTACCGCCGCTATGCGTCGTTGTTTTTTATTACCGGATGTTCATCGGACGACAACGAATTGATTACCCTTGAAATCATCCACCGCTATGTCGAACAAATGGACAAGTACTACGGCAACGTTTGCGAGCTAGACATCATCTTTTCCTTCACCAAAGCATATTATATCCTTGACGAGCTGCTCCTGGCCGGCGAGCTTCAAGAAAGCAGCAAGAAGAATGTTTTACGGTGTATAGGGCAGCAAGACTCCCTGGAGGATATGGAGGTACGTTTAACACGCTGATTTCATTCCTGTCGCTGGTTCTCCTCGTCCCTTGGCTCCCAGCACTGCCAGAAATGCCGCCTTCTCTTTCCCGTGCCATCTACGCACATGCCATCGCCAAATCAAAACCAGCTGACGCGGGATATCGCTTCCTTTTGCGCATCATTAGGTTGAGGATGAAGTTACCAAACTCATGTAACCTCCCTCTTCCTCTCGAACCCTTGGAAAAGTGAGCTGCTAAACTACTGCTCGTTGACGGAGCGCCTCCCTTTGCAACACTCCCAAGTATTGGCATGATTTATTACCATATCGAAACACGATGCCCCGGGAGCTATCAAATCGGGGCGGCCGCATCATCACATATTAAAATAGAACGCAAGAAGAAAGGACGTGGAAGACACGAACATTGATATGACTGCACCATGGCAGTGGTTGGTGCAAAACATTGACACTTGAGTTTGGCAGGTCACAATCGAAATCGAGAACAATCTCAAAGACGTCGGCCTGATTTGAAAAGACATGACGCCGCAAAGCAATAGACTCGACACAAGAATACTGGGCATCTCTCAGTGCGGAAGAGAAGACACCAAGGAGCACAGGACGCGCGGGTGTGGGCTTACTGTCGATGGACTGGGGGCTTGCCACTGGTAAGCCGCGGTCGTGTGTTGTGGCTTCGTGTGTATTTTATCTTTTGAGGATGGAAAACCATCTTCTGTCATATCGAGAGATAGTGAGCGCTCTTCGGTTGCAGGAGGAAAAAAGCACTTATGCAACCGCTGAGCGGAAAACATCCAGATGCAAAACTTGAACAACTTTGGAGACTTGGCACGCTCGAGTCGATTTTTTTGCCATTGAACCGGTGGGCAATTGCTCCCCCGACGATGCAGGAACCTCATGAAGAAATATGTGGAGAGATTGCGAGTGAGGGCTTGACGAGCTAGACGCCGCCCGGGGCTCCAATGTCGAAAGCTGGTTATGAATGAGGAATCACGAGTAACAACACCTCACCTTTTTTCACTCCCTGATGCTTGTCGAACACGAATGGCGCAGCGCGGACGACGTGGAGGAACTCGACAATTGGTACTGAGACATTTCTGCGGCAGCAGATATCACGTTTCACGACGCGTGACACCACCATGCCATGCCATTCGCCGCGAGACGAGGGTTGGCGCCGCCGTGAGTATTGGCCCAATCAAGATGGCCAAGCAGCAGAATCGATCCACGTACGACGACGGACGGGAACGAATTCTCCCGGACATGAACAGAGTTGCGGTGGGACGGAGTCTGGGAGGAAGCAAGAAGCAAGCTTGTGCAGACTGGATGCAGTGCTCATGGATGACGGACGCCCTTGCGACGGACGGTCGCTTCTTGCCAGGCATCCGGGACCGCATTTGGCTGGCTTGGGCACCTGCGGCCGGGGGGCTCCTGGGTGATTGCGATTGCGATTGCGATTGCGATTGCGATTGCGCACCAGCGCACCAGAGCACCAGACCGTTGCGCTTTCCCCACCTGCTTTTGGGACGGGCGGGCGCCAGCTTGATGCTTGATGCCATCTGCAACTGGTTACTGCACGCACCGCAAACGCACCCGCACCTGCCGTCAGTACCAGACGGACCACGACCATTGTCCTCCTCCTCCCTTCCCCACTTCGCTTCACGGGCTGCCGCTTCTCCCCTTCGTCGTCACCGTTTAACCCATTTCCAATCCCCGAATCTCTTCATTGACAGCCATGTCTGCCGACTCTTGTTGCTAGACTTGTCGGTCTGGCACACTGTTCGTCCTATTGGATTAATCTAGGGTCCTGGCACACTCCGTACAAGCCTGCGCAGAACCCCCCTTCCCCCGGGGCTTACGAAACGCGCCCGACGACAAACACCTCAATCTGCACTTGATCGCTGCAAGCGACTGCGACAAGTGCGCTGTGGTTTCTATGCTATCGCCGTGCGATTCATTCATATTTGGCAGAATTACGCGACGGCGACCTTCTCCGACCTTCTGCTTCACTCTCTGGTCCCGGGACTACCAGAGCCCTCGACCCTCGGCCCCTTTGTTACGTGCTCGTCTCACAATTGCTTCACCACCTCTCCGCCTTGCGCTCGGCGGAAATTCCCAGCCGCCAACATGAAGGTGCGCTTCCAACCGACGGCTGGATCTTAGCGCTCGTCTACTGTTCCAGTTTTTTTTGTCTGCTAACGCGGCTGTGTTGGATGAAACAACAGTATCTACCAGTTCAAGATTTCGAAGCCGTCACGAGCGCGCTGAACTTCAATACTCCCGATTGCAACGTTACCGGCGGCTGCGACTTGTACACAACAAAGTCGACTGGTTCCGACAAGAAACTCTACAAAAATATCGACAAGGACCTCGACTCACAACATGCTGCCTTGCTGAAGCTTGGCGCTAGCCTATCACCGCCAGATCGTGAGCACATGCTGGCCACGTCGCCCAGTATGCAACTATTTTCGACATCGAGCGCCTTCGGACCACTGTCAGAGCTATCCAGTAGGAGGACCTTTGCCTATTTGATCGCAACACTAAACGCCAGCCACCCGCACTATGACTTTTCGCACGTCCTGAGACCCAACGACTTCAAGCGGGAGAGGAATTTGCGCCGCGTCATGGCAAATCTTGACTCCATTCTGCAAAACGTGCGACCCGGATTCGAAGCGACATCCTTTGACTCATCCCTGGGAAGCGACTCGAATTCGGTGTGGGGCACACAATGCTGGTCCTTGATAGACAAAGAAATGCGTCTTAACGAGTGTACGATATTTAGCTATCAACCCGACCCGGATCCATTTGAAGAAGACGAAAGTGCCATTTGGGCAGTCCATTATTTTTTCTTCAATAGGGCTTTGAAGAGAGTTGCGTACCTCTATGTCCGTGTCGTGCCGGTCGTGTCGTCGGCCAGCCCGACGCTGCGACCTATGCGGCTTGGTCAGGCCAAAAGAAACGCCGACTTTGACGCCGATGGCGCAACGAAACGAGCAAACTACTGGCTCGGTGATAGGCAGGCCGAGTTGGTCAGTGCCCTGGATGACGGCTTGTTTTGGAACAGAGGAGAAGATGGGGATTTGGTCCTATTCTCTGATGATGAATACGAAGAAGGGGTTGAAGATGTCGACCTGGCCGACGACGACGACGACGACGGCGAGGACGACGACGCGCATATGCCGGACAAGGATAGATTGATGAGCGAAGATGTTGCCGGGCGAATGGAGATTTAATTCCCTGGACATTTGAAGCTGGACCCGACAATGCCCCGGTTGCTTGCTTTGCTCTTGCTGCTTGAGAGACCTAGATTCAAGCGACCTTTCAACAGCCCCCCTCGAATCTACATGGCAGGTCTCCATGCAGACACTTTTAATGATGGCCCCCACAGGTGCTTTTAACAACATGAGTGACGAGCTATTGGGATTCTTTCGCTTTTTCGCCTCTTTTATTTTTCAGTCCTGTCATTGTTACGGTTCGAATTTTTCCTTGTATTTGGCTGGTCTGGTCTGGATGTTGAGCATGGCGCTGGGTCAATACGCTGCCTTGGTCGGTGAGAGCGGCTGGAGAACTCAGCGCCTCGGGCGTTTATGTTTTTCCTCAGTCGCATTGTAATGTATTTGAAGCACGAGTTTTTTCACTAGTTTCTTTGTTCTCTTTGCTTTGCCGCCAATTTGACAATACTTGATAGTAGGGCTCAAGATGCGTGGCTACGGGTTCGGCGACTCAAGGGTTTGTGGGTAGCAGCAATATACGTTTGATATTTACAACCAACCTTGATTGTCTGGTCCACCACCGTCATCTACTTTGCAGTGCCCCTGGAACCTAGAATGCCTGCGCGGCTAGTCGCTCATAGTTGCCAACGGAGTCGTGGACGACATCTTGAGCGCGCAGGGCTGGCTAGTCACGCGTACGTCTTCTATGCTTGCATGCACACATTCTGCTCGCACCTTCTCCGCATGTAAAGACACGTACACACACAAGTTCACACCAACGGCACATCACTTGCGCAGATGGTCAGACTAATAACTATATTCCGTCACCACGGCACACGACTGAGGGGATTGATTGGCCCAGCGCTGCCCGACGAGCAAACTCGTCGCAGGATCGTATAGATATATGTAAACATACATGATGGCCGCCAAGCAAATACGTCAAAAAAGAAAAAGAGAGGCGTAGGAGGAAGACAGGAGAAGGAAAGAGAAGCAAAGAGGGAAGTCGAGTCCCGCGTCTCAAGTTCAGATAGGCCCGCCCCCTTGATTAATTTCGACATCTCAGCCTCCTTTCCATTGCCGCCTGTCGGTCAGTCTCATTTCGCTGCACATCTTGGTATCAGGGTATTGTGTCCAGAAAATGAAGCCAAATTCCACAAAAAGAAGCAAAGACGGCAAGAGATTATAAAGAATAAAAAATAGACAAAATGGGCGTGAGGGGATCAAGGGTACAGCAAAAGACTCGCAAAAGTGATGTCAAGGACGGCGGCGGAGGGGCTACGTAGTCCCAGGCCATCCAATGGCTCAACATTCTCCGAAGAGAGAGAGAGAGAGGAAGAGAGACAGGGGGTATTAGCGGTGATAGAGAGTAAGTGAGACTGTACCACTGCAAGCGCGGGCAAAGCAGTGAATGTGTTTCCAAGCTCGTAGCAGAAACTCGGTGACTGCCTGAACAGTCTTCAGAGTCAAAGGGATATTTTGTGTAGGATGCGTATAGAGCCACACGTCGAAAGGAAGAAAATGCAGTAAAGACTCATACAAGAGCAACTCAAAAGGAAATCGTAAACATTTCGTTAAACTTTTACAAGGCAAGGGGCTTCTTTCTGCGCCCAAACATTCTAGTAAACCCACCACTGTCTTCTTGCTGTGACGGCGCCCCATTAATCGCCGTGGGTGAATTATTCATTGGCGGTGCCGAGTCACGCAAGAAGGCAGCCAAATCCGCTGTTTCGCTCCGCTTGCTTGCTGCCTCGCGCGGTTCAAACTTTTTCATCGGGGCCCTACCCGCAGTGGCAGAGGCCGTCAACGTTCCTCGGGCTTGGGTAGCTCCGACATTGCCGTTCATTGGGTCGTATTGGTCGTATCCGGGCGGTATGTTGACCTGAATGGGGATATATCCTCTTCCACTGCTGGCGCGGCTCACTACTGCCCGTGCCTCTGACGCGGCTGTCGTCGATGCCGAATCTTTCTCTTTGTCCTTGCCGCCGCGAGTTAACCTTCCAATCAAGCTTGGCGCACTAGCCTTCTTTCTTGGCGTTCTGGCAGCTGCTGCAGACACAGGCTCCGGTGGTGGCTCGTAGTTTCGTAGGAATTCTGCTAGGCTTTCCTCCTTCTTCGCTGGGAGTCTAGGTGTGTCCAACATGTGGTCATCCTGGTCTGTTTCGTCCTCTCCATCACTCAAGTCAATAGCATAGGGATCACGGACCCGTCTTGTTTTTCGCTTAGGCATCATATTCTCATCATCGTCAAAAAATTGGTTTGGAATGTTGGAGGCCCTGTTCTTAACCAATGCTGACCTGGAGTTTACAGAAGACTGCATCGATGGCATAGAGCTTTCCGTCGCATTTGTGGATGCTCGACTACTGCGAATGTCAGGTATATTGGCGTCTATGGCCTTGCCACCAATAGCACCAGACATCTGATCCGAGTCCATTGTAGTGCGGAAAGGGGCTACATGACGAGGGATTCGATGATTGCTGGCGGCAATGGGCGGTCCTTGTCGAATGAAGTCGATGAGGTCCGAGTTATCGGTCCTGCTGTCCACAGTCGCGTCGCGAGGCTGGTAGCGCGAGCGACCGACGCTGCCAGTAGCAGAGGCACGTCGATGCGCCTCCTGATGCCCCTTGTTGGAGCTTGCGGGAGGAGGTCCAAGTTTCGGCACAGTGTAAGATCGGGTTCCATCAGCCGGGCCCGTCGATTTGATGAATTCGGCAAAATCGGACGTTGAGTCTGGCGGGACGCGTGCCTCTCTGGCTGTAGCTCCACTGGCCCGGACTGTGGACGTTGTCGAGGTGGTTGGTACTCGAGTAGCTGGACCAGCAGGTTTGATGGCCTTGCTGTCCATAATCTTGGGACTGGCAGGCGATGGAGGCAGGCGAGGGGAGGGTAAATTGCCGGCGGCTGATTGGGTCAAGACCGGCGACACCTTGGGCGAATATTGATAAGCTCGGGAATCTTCGCTCTTGCGACGGGCAAACTTTGTAACGACTGGGCTATCCAAAGACCGTTTTGCCTACAACGTATGCAGATCAGTATGCGGTCTGACAAAAGTGATGTATTCCTTGGCGGTTGATTAATTCCGATACTTACGTCAATGTCACGCATATTCTCAGGAGTAAGGGTATATGTGATGGTCTGATTGCTTTGAATGAGCTCTTCAAAATTGCGGGCTACGCTCTCCGAGCGACTAGAGCCGTCCTCGGAAGTCCGCACTGGCTTAAGACGGGAAGCTCCAGATGACACCGAAGAAGCAGCGGTGTGGGCTTGACTGCCTTGACGAGAGCCGAAATTGTTTTGCTGCTGCGTTGGCAGGCTGAGTTCGTCCGATTCACGAGTTCTCGTGCGCTCAATCGCCAAAGGACCTCTGGTTTCAGGCTTGGGACTACTCCAACCCGAGTGGCCGGTTGCCTTGTTGGGCAGATCCTGTACATTCCTTGTTTCAATGTCCGGCGTCGCAGGCGTTGCTGGCAAAGGAGCGGTCCCAGCGTGTACAGGTGAGTGCTCGTACTTGGAGGATTGGATCTGGATATTCGGAGCGACTGGCAGCTTCTTTTTGCGTTGTGACCACGGCGAGCTCGTGTGGCCAGCTGCTGGCATCTCCGCAGCAACTGGCAAGCTGGCCAGCTGGCTTTCACCCTGTGCAAAATTTTGAGATGCCTCCTCCTCAAGCTCGGAGATGGCCGTTGGGTTGCCGGCAGCAGGCTTTCTTCTCTCGTGCGATGATCGTTGTAGCGGCACACCATTCGCCGTTTTAGTCAGGGTTTCATTGTTGGCGGCTTTCAAGCCGTCGTCTAGAATTGTCGTCTTTGAAAGTCCACTGGCAACGCCAGACAAGCTCACAGGACGAGGTCGTTCCGTGGCATCCATTGAGGATGGCCTCGAGCGTGCAGGACTTCGCAGCGCGGGTACGTCAATGATGCGTGCGGAGTGCACACTAGACGACCTCTTTACAGAGCTCGCCCTGCCATGGCTATCAAAGTCAACGGAATGAGCACTGCTAGACATCGAGACACGCGCAGTAGTCATGATTTCAGCTTGTTCATACGCAACCTCCTCAGCATCGTCATATTCTGATACTGAGCTCTGACTGTGTGCGTCGACGTCTTTCGGAGCTGGTGCGCCACTGGTAGTGGTAGATTGGGCATGTGCCGGTGAGAGACTACTACCATCGTCCCTGGTAGTCACTGCAATTCCAATCTCGGCTGAAGCGTCCTTATCCGCTTCGGACTCTGCTGCAGATGCTGCCGGCGTCTGCCCTTGAAACTTTGGGAAAAAGTGAGGGATTCTTGGGGTGGGCAGTGACATCGAACGTTGTCTGGCGGCAACAACAGGTGTATGCGGTTGTGACTTGGTTGGTGTCGGTAGTCCATTCGCAAACATGGACGAGCTGCTCAGAAGACTCCTTGGACGTTTTCTGATCAAGACTGGCTCATTGTCCATTTCGTCGTCATCTTCCTCGCCGCTATGGTGCGCAAGGCCTGGAACCTCAATCTCATCTATATCGTTGTCGCCGACGGGTAGGGGGATATCCGCAGGTTGTACATCCGCCATGATAGGTCCTTCGAAACGCTCCCGTGAGTTCCTACGCTCACTCCCGTCGTCGCTAGCAGCAGACTCAGGAAGGCTAAGGATATCGTGCCCAGATGCCGTTTGTTCTGGCTTGAATGGAGCCGTCGGTCCCTTTGGGCTTCCAGGAATGTCCGTCGTTGGAGTTCTCATTCTCTTCTTCCATCCCCGCCACAGGCGCCCCAAAGTTCTGTCAAGCGCAACACGCTCCATATCAAACTCGGTAACCACAATGCGGTCTGCGGGGTCACTGGTGTTGCGAACGCCATCTTTGAGCTCTTTTTCAATCTTGGATCGAATTCGTTGATATGCGGCTTGCCCGGCGACCGTCAGGGTCAACTCGCCCATGTACTCGATGATGGAGGTGAGGAAAATGGCGACGGCAGGAGAAATGGTGTCGGAGATTTGCTCGTGTGCTCCAATCTCAAGATTTTCCTCTTCCATGTAGACATCCTCGTCCTCTTCTTCCATGTCCCCCAACGATGAATAAACCATGCACCGAAGTCTTGTTCTTTTCCATGCAAGCTCTCCGTCCCAATTCCGGGGTGAGATTGCTTCTTGGAGCTGTTCGTACTCTTCTTCGTTTGCGCCGCCCAGGTATTCGCGCAACTCTTCGTCGGCATTGCTGACAGCGTCTTTGCCCAGCTTCGGTTTCAGGACTTCGATAACGGCAGGGCGGAGTGCAGAGAGTGCGGTGGACTTGGAAACTTGAAGGAAGTGGAATAGGAGCTGGTCAAGAAAGCCGTTGACAAGCTGCAGAGCTGGTGCCGACACCGTTGCGGTTTCTGTCGCCGGGTCAATGCCATTTTGGTCATACCAGGCGTCTGCGTGACTGTCATGATCGTTTGTAATGATTTGCGAAGCAGCGCTGGAGGCAATGAAAGCAGCCTGAGGGGAGACGGAGACGGGTGGCGAGACTAGACCATATCCAATAGTTGATGGTTTGTCACTAGAGATACTTTGCGCCCTCGACCTCACGTGTCGGGGGGAGACGACTCCAGATGGTGGCCTCGAGGCGTTGGCGTCCACAGTCAGGCTCACCATGGCCGTTTTGGTCAGGAATTTCGATTATAAAACTTGCCCGTGGTTCTACTTCGTGTTGCAACTTTGGCCGTCTTTTTCAGAGTTGCTATCGAGCACGGTGTGGCGCTGCGTGTCTGTACGAAACCGATGGTGTCTTTTGCCGGCGCAAGGGTCGAGGGCTTACTGCCAGCGCAAGTTCATACACACGAGATATAACGGGGTATAATACTGCTTGGCGATGGTTAGAACAGCCCTTGATTTTTTTTTCCCTTTTCAAGCAAAGATTGAAAAGATTTGCCCGATACACAAATCCAGCAGTACAAGCTTGGCGCATACGGCGCGAATCAGTGTCTTGTACGAGGCGAGGCTAAACAGGGCGCTGAGAGCACGACCTTGTGGCAACCGCCTCGAGGGTTCTGCACACAATTGCAGCCCAATTTATTCCGTGCGACTTGCCAAAGGTGCTTGCTGGTCTTCCCTACGACGGGATAACAGTCAAGCTCACCAAAATATGGCATGATACAAGGAGGGGAGCACTATGACCAAGCGACGCTGGGGGGTATCCCACGAACCTCGACCGTTTACTAGTATTGCAAATTGAAGTGGCGTCCCATCTCGTCGCTGCAAATGACGTATATAACCATGTAACCAGGACCCTGATAGGAGAATAGGTGAAACGGGCGGTTCGAGCTTCTCGTTATCTCGCAGGCCGGTTCGAAGTATGTCGCGGGGGAGGTCGCAAAGACAATATGCCTTGGCCGTGCAGGAGAAGAAGGCTCATGGCTGTGGGCAAAAGATATTGCGACGGCCTCCTTCTTCAATGCCAGGCACCGCAAAAAGCACAAACTAAGCAAGGCGCAAAGCAGAGCAAAGCAAAGCAAAGCAAGCAGATCGGGAGGCCGGGAGGCAGCTTGACCGTCTCACTCACCAGGACCAGGCCAGAAAAAAAGAAGGGGATCGACTAGTTCGGTGCGGTGGGCACATGGTGTGCCCCAGTCCAGACAATCAGGGGTGATGGATGGATGGGCGCTGGGACCCGGCATGGCTGGCTGGCTGTCTTGTTAGCTGAGCGGACGAGGACGGAGGTGTGAAGGTTTGAAGGCGTGAGGGTGAGGAGGTGTGGATGGAGACTTGGCGACTCGGTCGTGTCCGTAGCGAACGGAGTACGTACTCGGTACGGAGCGTACCATGCCGACTCCTACACAAATCCAAGTCGACCGTGCGGATTCTGCATTGACCACTGACCACTGACCCCTGCCGCGCGCCCTGGGCGGATGTCTGGTGGCTGCGAGCCCGGGCAAGGCCGGCCGTTGGCTGCCTGCAGTTCGCTGCCTGCAATCGCTGCCTGCGGTTCACTGCCAAGTTGCCCAGCAGTTAGTTAGTTGCCTCGCAGGTGCAGGCGCAGGGGAAGGCGCAGGCCCGGCGCTCCTTCCTCAGCGGCCGGCGCGGTGGGCCCGCCCCAGCGACGAGGTCCGGCGGGGCCCAGCGCGCTTCCCAGCAAAGACAAATTGCGCTCCACCATGGCCAGAGGCCCAGCCAAGCAAGCAAGCGAGCGAGCGGCGACGATGGCAAACAGGTAAACGGCGTCGCAGCCATCTTACCTACTACCCGTCACCAGCCAACCTTGACTGAACTCAATTTGCGGGCGACGGGCGACGGCTTGTCCTCCTCGTCGCATTACTCGTCAAGTGGCCGATGATAATCGCCACGCAACCCCAACTAGTCGCCTGCTAGACGGGTGTCCCTTTCCTCTCCAGGCCCCCTCGGACGCCCTGCTCGACTGTTGGGAAACGTTTGCGGCTGACGATGTTCTAGCTCTTTTCGCCTTTCGCTCTTCGCGCCGCGTGGTCGAAGCATCGAGCCCCAAGACAAGTCAAATCAAATCATGGGGCACTCGTCGTCCATCCATCCATCCGCATGGCCATGCTTGCCGGGACCCCCAATTTGCACAGCTGCCTGGTTTCTTTGAGACGGAGCCGAGACAAGGGCGCCATGTACTTTGGACTGGGTGCCGCTGCCACGTACTACGGAGTACTCCCACCGCCATCACCACCCCGCCAGTCCAGTTATCCGTACACGGCATCTGCATGTATAGCAGCGCCATCAATAAACCCTACAATACTCACTCCATTGCTTCGACTTCCATGCAAAGCCGTCTTGCTCGGAACCAGGGACTTGCAGCTTGCGGCTTGCCACCGACCAAAGTGGACAGAAGCCTTCTTTCTAGCCCTGACCGCCCGACCGTGGATGGACATTGCGGGCTTCGGAGTCCAAGGGTTTCGCCCAATAAGTGATAAGACCTGGCCGAAAAGTATTTGCCTTGTTTCTTACGCTGCCTCGGCCTGATCCGTACTACTGCTATTTCACTTGACGGGTATCGACAGTGGACAGTCGGGGAGCATTCGGCGACTCTTTGCTCCAGGGCACGGGCCTTGAGCCCTGCTTGGGCTTTTGAATTGCAACTTCTTCGAAGATCAAGCTCGTCAATCCCGGGGCTGCGCTGCACTGCACGCATGCATAGCCATTGTGGGCATCGTGGAGGACAAAGAGGTCATAATGCCTAGGTTCTTGAGCAAACACGTTCAATTCGCCTCCGTGTACTCCGTACGGAGTACTCCTCTTGTACTCTCAGCCTGGATATTGGTCTTCGTCCCCGCCGCACGAGCAACATCCACTCAGAGGCCAACCGTGCCAGACAGACATCATGACTTCAACCGCGCCAGCGGCGTGCTTCTCACCTGCAATACTCCGTAACGGAACCTGACAGCCGAGTCTTTCGTCATCTGCCTGTTGGTTCTCGACCTCATCCGGACATAGGAACGGTTTTAATCTTACCATTCGCTCCGGCTACCTGCTCCAGTACATCCGCACCCGAGCTTGCTGTCTCGTTGCCCGAGGTCCCGCATTTTCTCTATGCGCCTGCTTCAACCAACGATTCTACCGGGCTGCCGGGACATTCTTGTGCACTAGGCCTGCGGGCTGGCGAGATTACTCGTCTAGCACTCCGTACGCACACTACTAGTACTGCTGGTGGTGCCCTGGCTTGCGATCAATCAATCGATCGCATCTCGCCAAATGCCCAGGATCCTCGCAAGCCGTGGTATGTATTTGCCAAATCCCGCCAAATCACCATCCCTGACTTGACAGCCTGGACTGTCATATATGTGACATGGCCACTTATGAGCCGAATCAGCAAGGACATGGCGGCCCTGCAGACCGTGCGGAGCAGAGCGGACGGTAATGTATGTACAGTCCATCGTCAATCCCATGCAACCGGCCGCGCCTGAAGCAAACCTCATTTCCAGCGTGTCGCGGTTATTGCTGCGGACTGAGTAACTTATTGAGTATGTACATGCCACAGGTCCAGACGGTCTGATGTGCGTGGGTTGGAGTACGTAAAGTCACACATGCAGCCACAGATGCGCAGGCGTTCTGCCCTTTCCCAGGATCAGCACTTCGCATACCCGTGTCCGGAGTCGTAATCTGGGCTGGGTTTGTTTGCCGATGCCGTTATCATCGACAAACTTGCTGATGTCACAAATTGACGCGAGGTTTTGTGGCGGCAAGCTACGCGTCAACTTGTCAACCCTCGTCAAGATACACGTGTATCGAAAAGCAAATCCGGAGTACGGAGTACCTGATGGTCATTCAACAAAACATCACAGACATGGCTGGCCTACATTTATAGTACATGGAAGAAGGGTACTAGTAATCTGTACGACGGCTGAACGGCTTATGCTGTGCAGAATTCACTGGCCTGGCGCCGCCGTACTGCCCCAAATCATTCGCCCCTTTTAGTACGAGTTTTCCTGTGCCCCATGTCTCGAATGGCTTCGACACTGTGCCACCGTGCTTTCGGCTCTTTGTCCGCCGCCGTGGCCTACTGGGCTATCACTACGTACCTGTTGGTGGTTTTTTGCCACTCCACGGTCGTGCCAATGGAGGGTGGGCAATGTCTTCTTCCGCACAGACAGGCCGATCATTCGAGTCCGTGGCTGCCAGCACAAGGGACGAGCGCAACTCTGGAAATCACCTGGTCTTTTGTCGACTAGTAAATAGCAGTATACTAGTACCAGAACTAGAATACTACGGGGACGAATAATGTGTCGGGCCCCTTGGATCTCCTGCATAGCTCCGTCCATATCCACGGTTGTCACCTGAAGCCTGGAGAATCCCGCGCGCTGACTCGGGCGACTTGGCAAACCAGCCCCCAAGCTCGCCTTGTGCTTGCTAGCTTGGTTACCAATGGACTATACCACTCGGCGTCCAACTCACTAGGTCGTTAAGCCCACGCGAGATGACCAACGGTGGTGTGGCGGTTTGGTTCCATTGCTGCCTCTCGTCCGACTCCGAGATGGGTTTTAAAAAGCCAATTCAAGCCGGACTCCTCCGCGGTCTTTTAGCGCTTGAGGACTTTATCCAGCCCATCCTTTGCGATGAAAGGGCGAAAATTGAACATGTAACCGAATGGGTGTTGAGATGTCTCAGAATTGCTTGGACCCTTGACTCTTGAGCTATCTAGTAGTTGACTACTCCGTATTAGCCTTTGAAAGAAGAAACCGCCTCCAATGGAAGGGGCCACAAGGACAACTACGATGGCCAGTGGCTTCGTCAATCCTGAAACGAGCACGCAGGAGGCGGCTGTGTTTGCTACAAGATTGTTCCAGGATTCACGACACAGCACAAGTCGAGTTTGATGGTGTGGCGCTCCTGGCCGTGAAGGCGAAGAGGCCGTCATCCAGCGATGCTGACCGTCAACGACATGGGACAAGTCTGCACTGCTTGAACCTGATTTGGATTAGAAGGCATCAACGGCAAGGCACCACTACCACCACCACCACCACTACTACTACTACTACTACCACCAGCGGCAGTAGGAATAAGCAAGCACGGGTCAGCAAGGCGGCGATGGTCTTGCTCCTGCAAAAATACGGCCCAACTGGTTGACCTGCAGCCTGAGCGCATATTCGCAATGGCTCAAGAACGACTTGATCGATACAGCCGGACCCGAGAGTTGCGGACAGGGCTTACGCTTACGGCACCTATGAAGACTTATGATACTCATCCCTGTCACCGCGCCGGACCGAGCCACGGAGCGGTGCAATGGGGTTTGACGGCGGATGCCCCAATAGTAGTTGATTTTGGCAATCCTTTGTGCTTGTTGGACTCCAATGCCGGTTGGGCACGACTAGAAGTTGGCACGACGGCTCCGATGCTCCACGGATCTGTGACAGCTGTGTCGTCTCTTCTTCCCCCGATACATACGGAGTACAGTCGACTCGATCTAGGCGGCCAGGGCATGTCAGAGTTGCAGCGCGCGGAAGGATTCGATGCTGTGCGACAAGTAGTGCTGGACAAGTAAGACAGACAAGACATGTCGGGCTTACCAACAGTTGTCACATTACGAGATTTCGACGCTGCATGGAGTAACTACTATTACGCTTGCTGTCGCCGCGTCCATCAGCAGGCGACATGTTCCCGAATGCAGGGCGAACAGGCTGCCATTTCTGTGCAGCGCCACATGTGCAGCCGAATGTAGGGCGATGCAGAAGGCCGACGCTGACGCCCGTTGCCAAGACTCGAGACGAGCTGATGATGTCTGTTGCGGGAAGTTGAATAATTTGGTGCTTTTTAACTACTTGGAACACAAGACGAGCGTCGGCTCGTTCTGTCTTTTGGTCCTTTCCTTCTCATGCTGCCTCGTCTCCCTCATTCTTTGGAGGAAGCCCTCTCCGTGGACCAGGGCCATGGCTTGTTCCGACAAAGCAAGGTGAAACCGCGTCACGGGATGAGTCGCAGCAGCAGTCGTCCCTAATTTCTCACGAGAGATGTGATAGGGGTTGGCGGCATGGGGGAAGAGACGCACCGCCTCGCTTGGTCCCGCTCCTGGGCGGCTCGGGAGACGAGACGAGTTTTTTTTTTTTTTTTTTTCCTTTTACTCCGTGGGTGTGCTCATCATCATGTCATATTGGAGGAGTCCCCGGTACGCAAATCCTCCGGCAAATATATGTATGTGGCGGCACCTTGGCCGCCGGCACAAACTTGAGGGCGGGCTTGGAGTACATGAGCTCATGTCAGCGGGCAGATGATAAGTTTCCCACGGAGGACCCCGTCCTCGGCATGGGGGCTGTCGGACATGACATGGTCCAGGATTCGATGGTACTCAGTACGACGTACATGTATGCGTGTGTTTTTCGCAGACGACAAGGGTTCGGCGTTGCACCGCCTTGGCGGATTGTTACGTACTTTATTATTGGCATCAACTCATCATGTGCGTACTCGGTATGTATGCACATACGTTTGTGCAGACGCACGCGGTGGGATTGCGATGAAGACGGAAGCAGTTTATCTTGTCGGATCGGGCCGGGACAAATCATTGCTTGGCCACCCACGTCCATGATGTACCTCTACGCCTGCGGTGCGGTGTAATAGTAGCACAGAGGATCGATGTGTGCAGTCACCAGTGTCATGCCACGAACATGATCCCTCTCGTCTAGGGTACCCTGACACAAGTTTTGTCATGAATCATGATGTTATCGACCTTGAAACAGGCGGGTGGCTCTCACCCGGCACATCAAACAACTACGGCTTCGATTCATGACTCTCGAGTCCTCGACGAGACGGGTAGCGCGTGCGTGCGTGTGCCCTGCATGCGGCCTGCGCAGTCACGGCTGTTGTCTCTCGTCTCTTGCGCCGAGTCCAGTCTGGAACAAAGGTCGCGATGTGGATATACGTACGAATGTATCCCGCGTCAAGCGTCGGGCGTCAGGCGCCACAGAGTTGCCAGTTATCAGTACTAGTGGCAACTGACACCTACGTGTTTCCTTGTGGTAAACGAAGTCTTCCGCCGCAGGGCCTGTGGTGAAACAAGAGCAACGAAAAAAAGGGGGACGGACATGCGACGGACGAGATGTGAGAAGTGCGGCTTGCCGTTTGGCCGCGGCCCTCGAGCTCCATCTACGGAGTGGTGCCGGGAATAAAAAAAAAAGAGAGAGAGAGAAAGAGAAAGGAGCTGAGAGAAGAATATTTGCCGTCGTGAAACGCAGTTGACGCTGGCAAGCAAACACCCCATTGCTGCTGCTCTTTGCTGTTCACGAAAATACAGCCAAGAATCAACAATCCACCCACGCACACGCACACGCACGCTCGATGCCGCCAAACTCGACTCATCCACCAGCTAGGTTGGTCAAGACGGCGACCCAACGACGACGCTTCGTCTGCTACACCACGGCCACGGATGGGCCCGGTGCTTCCCGTCCGAACCGCCGGTCTGCCGTCCGAACCGCCGGTCTGATTTGTTGTGAGGCCCATCCCCAAAGCCCGCGGCAGCTTCCAAGTTGCGGCCCACGATGCCCGTCCCGTCGCCCTCTTCGTCACCCAGCCCGGGCTGTCCCTGGACGGCCTGCCCAGTGTAGAGAGTCATGGACGGGACCGACGTGGGCATGTCCGTCTCCGTGACCGTTGCAAGTAGGCCCCTTTTCCGGCGAATTCCACGTCCCTGACAAGTCCAAGACTGGGCTTTGCTAGTCCCCTCCTTCCTCTCCTCGTCCTGCCCCAGGGGCGCTGGTTGCCGGGCCGTTGGGAATCTTCGCGGGCCGAAATGGCTGCGTGCCCGTCCTCGCCGCCGATCTCTTCGGCCTGTTCCTCTTCCAGGGGTGCGCCATGCTCGTCTGATGGAGGTGGAAAGACGATGCCCTTCAAAGAAAGTAGACAGACCCGAGAGAGCTCCTGTTGCACCGGAGTCTCTTACCAGTCCCGACAGAACTCGACCTGACGTGTTGCAATTTTACATAATCCATAAACATGGCTGGCCATAGAAAAGCTTTCATCAAGTAGGCGGGAGAGCATCTTGCTGGCTTTGCTTGATTCAGAAATGTCTCGGTAACACTGTGTTATTAAACTATCACATCAATCATTGTCTTTCTAGGGTATCAGTTTCATCACGCTCATACCATCTCGCCTAGTAAAAGCCCAGCTCGCGCTTCTCATTCTTTCTTCTGTTCCGCCTCGGCCCGCTTTTCAAGATCGTGTTCCACGCCTCGCTGTTGGGCCTTGCCGTCAGCTCGCATCTGGTCATAGTGAGCCTGTCCCTCCTTGTCACCAGTCATGTTGGAAATGGCCCCCCCAACGGTACCCTGAGCTCGAGCGGCCACGCCAGAGCCCAAGTCGCTGACCTGGCCCTTGGCCTCTTGCTGTTGACCCTCAAGGTTCTGTTGACGACCGGTAGATTCCAAATTCTGGCCGACATTGTCAGTCGCCACGGAGGCTCAACAACCATACATACGTGCAGGTATTCAACGAGTCAACTCACCTCACTACCGATCAAACCACCAACGGCTTCCTTGGCGGAACCAACAGTCTGATTCCAGTTGCCCGCGGCACGATCGGGGTGGTCCTTGCTGACACCTCCATCGGCGGAAACAGTAGCCCCAGGCACCTTGACAGATGCCTGAGAAGCTTCGTGCTCAGCTTTGGCAGCGTCTTTTTTGGCATCGCCCTTGGCCTCGTCGCTCGTGTTCCCGGTCAAGCTTCCAAGGGCGCTCTGGACAGCTCCAGTGGCAGAGTCCACGTAGGACTGGAGGGTGGAAGGTGCCTTGTCGTCAGACATGGTGAAGAGAGTTGTTAGTTGTTGGTGAATGTGGGAGAAGACAAGAGTTGAACTGATAGAGTAGAGATCTTTTGCAAAGGCAGATTGGGAGCTCAGAATGGCCTTGTTGATGGGTTGAAGAGAAAGTTGATCTTGTCCAGGATGGGGTTGGAGCTTAGTTCTTATACATACGACTGATGACCGGGCGTGGTTTCCGACAGCAAACGCAACCTCACCCTGCCGAGGAAGGCCCCCAGATGATTCGAGAATGGCACCTTCGCTTCCATGCAGAACGGAACGGAATCAAGTGCTGCAGCTGCCTGTGATGTCATTTTGCCATTTCGTCTTGGGTGCAGGAAACAGAGCGCTCCGTACTCCGTACGTGCCGCTGCTTCATTTGGCAGGTGGGCTGGTGGGGCCGCGTCATCATTATGACGTCACCACCCCTCTGTTGTCGCGACCTCTCGCCGTGTTCAACGTGACGCGTCGTCGAGCACTCGGCTGGCGGCATCTTTACATCCAGAAAAGAAGGTCCGTCATCAGTGGCTCTGTCCATTCCCCGCGCACGTGCGCTGCTGGTCATGTAACCATCAAGATTGAGCTTTCTTTCTTGACAAATTTCGAAATTTCCAGTTGCCAGAGTGGATCAGAGTGTGGTTGTGTGCATCAAGGCCCCCGACTGCCGTTACAAGCGGCTAGCCTTTGCATTTAACATCGTGTTTGACGGACCATTGCCGTCCGTCAGCACTCGAGACTTGGTCCAGATTGGGCCCTGCAAGCGCTGGACTGCGATGGTCGCCATCCCAGCACCGGCGATGGGTGCTGTGGCATTCTCAAACGCCCTTCACTATCCAGGTAAATATAGATGGGCAATTGTCAGGCAATCCGTGCTTCATGTACGTGGCTTTTTGTGGTTACTTTTTGTTGGTGGTTCGCAACGTCATGTCATGGCCATGTAGCCGGGCACTGTGACATGCTGGCTCTCCGTTTGTGCCAGTCAGTCCCAAGGGATAGTTGGTAATCCAAACGATGATGTATTGTCCATCTTTTCAAACACTCCGGGTTACCCCCTATGGACCTGCCTCAGTCTCAACACCATGCGCTGCATCTTCTTTACCCCGAGCAAAGGGCCAATAACCAACCAAGAAGCCACAGCTCCAGAACACCCGCAACAAGAGTCGTGAGTACGCAAACTACTTAACCGAGCTGGACATAGTTGCCTAAGCATCCGACCAGTGGAGTTAGAACAGGCGCAAAAGAAAAAGCATCACACCACGCATCGACAGAGCTGCTCACCAGGAAACTGCCCCTCCTTTCCATTGAGGCGGCCTGTCCACCATTCGTTCTCATTCTGTGTTCTAGACACAATCTCAATAACATCGCCAGCTCGGAAACTCAAATCTCCTTCGGCTTGGGCGGAATAATCGTACAGGGCTGTCACGGTCTCCGCTGCAGGTGCAGCCGTTAAACGCTTGGGCTTGGGCTTGGGCGGTGGGGGTTTTGCCTTGGCCGCGGCAACAGTTGATAGAGCAGTCTTGTTGCCGGGAGAATATGGCGGAGGTGCGGCTTCGGTATCGCTGGAAGGCCTGCCGTAGGCACCAATTTTGGGGCTCGTCCCGCCACCGCTCGAGGTCGAGGGCCCAGCCGTCAGCAGGCCTGGTTGCTTGCCGGCTTCGAGAGCCGGGCGAGCTCCGTATCGAATCGGTCGGGGGCGTCCAGTGGTTTTGAATCGGCAGATTGACAAAGCCTCGGCTTGTTCTTGGATGTCTCCACGCTTTTCTTGGAAGGCCTCCTCGATTTCGCGAGTCAGGTCAAAGTAGCCAATATCACAGCGCTGCATTCGCTCGTGGAGTGTGTAGAATATGTTGAGCTGCATGTAGTAGAAAGATTGGAACAGCGGCTGAATGAACTCTCGTTCTAGAGTAAACAGCCGGGGCAATTCATCCTTCAAGAGGTTGTTGAAGTATTCGTAGTCTTGCGTCGCTTGCTCGAACTCTCCCTCTGCCTTCCACATGGCCTTCTCATCTTTGGGCGTGCGTTCTTTCTTGTCCTGCAGCTTCTTGAGGTTGGCGCGATGTCGGTCGTAGTCCAGTTTCTTGTGCTCTCGCTTGACTGCTGTCTTTCGAATGACTTTGATCACGTCTAGCAGCTCGGTAGCTGGGCGGATGACCCTAGTCTCAATCATTTCCAGTTCCGGAGCAAGCGTCTCTTGCAACTCTTTGACAATGGCTTCGTATTCCTCGCAGGCGCGGATTCCTTCTGGATTTCCCTCGGGTTTGATGTTGTCGGGATCCGACATGCGGCCGGAGATGGGTTTGTAGATTTCCGTCATGGCTTTGCTGAATTCGATTTGGTGGTTCAACATGCCGTTGATGGCCTCGAAATATTTTTTCGACTCATCATGGAGCTTCTTGGTCTCGGTCTCGAGCTCTTGGAAACGGCGTTCGGCGTCGATGTAGACAGCATCTTTGGTGTGCTCGCCAATATTGAACTTGTGCTTGAATTGTTGAGGCGCCTGTGGATGCAGAAAAATTCGTTAGCAAACCTGCGGCCCGCGGAAGCGTCGTTATCAAGTCGTGCTTCCTGGGCAGACGTGATGATGTTTTCGCTGGAGGGGCCGGGATGGAGGAGATGAGGGGCAGCAACGTACCCGAGTAAGGCTCTTGGAAAAGCCCTTGAAGCTCATGATGGAACAATGCGAGACCTGTGCTCGACACGGGGATGGTTTACCGCGGCGAAAAGTCGCATGTGCGCTCTATCGAAGGGGGCCGGGAGGACGACGACGACGACGACGACGACGACGACGACGACGGACGACTACGGCAACGACGAGGAACATTGATCGACGCCTTTGTCGGCGCAGCCACGCCAAGAGCAGGCAGGCAGGGCAGGAGGATCCGTCAACTGGTCGGGTCGCTTGGTGACGACTTTGCAGTGGCTGTGCTGATTTTGTGGCGCAGGGCCCTCACCGATCAGTGCTCAGCTGCCTGCCAAGTGCAACGACTACCAACTTGCTTTGCTGCCCAAGTAAGGTAATCTACTATCAGGTACGGAGTACGTACCTAGAGGTACTCAGCACCCGTGTAGTTGGCGTCGACGCGTGCGGAGCTGCTCCTTTGATGAACGCAGAAAGAGACTTGTCTGTCGGCCACACATGGCAAGACTCAATCGCCGAGGCGGCACTGCGTCCGCTTTGCTTCCGGGTGTGTCCGCCTTTGCGTCTTGCCACCTTCGGCCATTGAAGCCAGGCCTGCTGTGGGTCAGCATTTGCAAGTGGCCGATGCGCCTCGGACCAGGTCCGACCAATCAGAGGCACCTTGAGGGTGCTTTATCACCGAGTACCCGAGCCGACACTCTGCCAATGACAAATCTCTGGACGGAGAGAGACATTTTTTGGAAGGGCTGCATCGAAAAGAGCACCATCCTCTTGTCTCGCCCATATAACCCACCGCACACGACACATTCATCGCAATCATGTCCAGTTTGGCATCTTGCGCGCTACGGTCGGCCAGCCGCAAGGCTCCCGCTGCCGCTCCTCTGCGCGCTCTGCCTCGTGTTGCCCTGGTGGCCGCGAGAACGAAGCCCGCCCGACGGGCGTATGTGACCGAGTCCAGGCAGGACCAGGCCCGTGTCGAAACCGCCATCAAGCTCGATAAGAAGGATTTTGTCGACATCCCGCCTCCGCCCATGGGCGCTCCTGCGGATGCCAAGGTCAGCCCTATGGCTGGTATGTGCGCCCCTGCTGCCGTCTTCTCCTTGGCCACGCCTGGCTGCGCGACTTGATGAGCTGACAGTTTTTGGCCTCGCAGAGGTTCTAAAGCAAGCTGCTGTCATGGAAGAAGGACAACGGCCCATCTACCTGGACATGCAGTCGACAACGCCGGTTGATCCCCGCGTCCTCGATGCCATGATTCCCTTCTACGTTGGCGTCTACGGAAACCCTCATTCTCGGACACACGCCTACGGCTGGGAAAGCGAAAAGGCCGTCGAGGCCGCTCGTGACCACATCGCTTCGCTCATCGGCGCCGACCCCAAGGAAATCATTTTCACTTCGGGTGCCACTGAGAGTAACAACATGAGCATCAAGGGTGTAGCCAGATTCTTTGGTCGCTCTGGCAAGAAGAACCACATCATCACAACACAGACAGAGCACAAGTGCGTCCTGGATAGCTGCAGACACCTGCAGGACGAGGGCTTTGAAGTCACCTATCTGCCCGTCCAGCACAACGGACTGATCAAATTGGAGGACCTCGAGGCCGCCATCAAGCCCGAAACTGCCCTGGTCAGTATCATGGCGGTCAACAACGAGATTGGTGTGATCCAGCCCATCGAGGAGATTGGCAAGCTGTGCCGTTCCAAGAAGGTCTTTTTCCACACCGACGCTGCACAGGCCGTGGGCAAGATTCCTTTAGACGTCAATGCCATGAACATTGATTTGATGTCCATATCATCACATAAAATCTATGGTCCCAAGGGCATTGGAGCTTGTTACGTGCGGCGGAGGCCAAGGGTCAGATTAGATCCTCTCATCACTGGTGGTGGTCAGGAGCGTGGTCTGCGAAGCGGCACCCTGGCGCCCCCCTTGGTTGTCGGTTTCGGCGAGGCTTGTCGCATTGCCAAAGAAGAGATGGCGGTAAGTACTTGACAACAGTTTCTTTTTCCCTCTTCTTTTCTTGTTCCCCCAGCTCTGCCCTAGTTTCTCTACGCGCGTTGTATATGATGATCTGCTCTACATGCATGGCTTTCTGAATGGCCCGTGACAAGGCCGTTCATGTTGAGTGAAGCACCCTGTCTGATTTTGCGTCTTCTTTTCTCTGTGCTTTCAAAGTCACCGATGTACATGATCGGCATGGGTACCCGTGCAAGTAAAGCTGATACTTTCACAGTATGATTCGAAACGAATCAAGACTCTATCCGACCGGCTCCTCCACGGCCTCCTCTCCATGGAGCAAACCCAACAGAACGGCGACGCAAATGCCTTTTACCCTGGCTGCGTCAATGTATCCTTTGCCTATGTCGAGGGCGAGTCTCTGCTCATGGCCTTGAAGGACATCGCCCTGTCTTCGGGCAGTGCATGCACTTCGGCGTCTCTGGAACCCAGTTATGTCCTCCGAGCCCTCGGAAACAGTGACGAAAGTGCGCACAGCAGCATTCGATTTGGCATTGGTCGCTTCACCACCGAGGCCGAAATCGATTATGTCCTCAAGGCTGTTCGGGAGCGAGTCAGCTTTTTACGAGAGTTGAGTCCGCTATGGGAGCTAGTGCAGGAGGGTATCGATCTCAATACCATCCAATGGAGCCAGCATTAAAGGTAGGCTTTCGTTTTTTGGTTGATGGTTTTTGGCTGCGTGGCAAAGTGTGTCAGAGAAGATGGAAAAAAGTCGGGATTGTTCGAGGCTGAGCAGGACAACTCCGGGCAGCGGATGCCCTTGTAACATGATTGTACAACACGATACCTCTTTCTGCGAAATTATGGGATACGGTACATGGGAAGCTCTACCACAGATGGCAAATTGTCTGTCGTTTCACATCGGAGAAGCATAACAAAGAAGCTCTCCACATGCTAATATCACGTTGGCGGCCGGGACGTGCCGTGAGCTTTGTTACATGATACTGGCCCCAATCAGGTGAAAAGCCGCCACTTGGTGATTTAACAAAGTGAATACGAAACGGTCACGGTCCATTGGCTACCATCAGTTGACAACGCTCTGGTTGATGACGGCTTGGTTGCGGGAAAGCAGAGACTTGCTTTTACTATTGACGGTCTGAACTTTCAACACCATCAGAATCGCTGCCTTGCGGCTAACCGCTTTGCCCAAAAGAAACAAGAGACAACGACTTCCCTTCAGGATAAGGGGCTTGTCGGGTACCTCGGGCTTGACAGATGTACCTTGGCTCTTGACGTACGTAGCCTGACTCGCGATGGAAACTTGCCGTCGGTTGAGAGTCGAGACAAATCCTTGGAGGGCACGCAGCGCAAGTTGAAATCACGCATGTGCCAGAAAGTGTGTGCGCCGCGACAGGATGATGTCGTGTCTTTTGCCGAATATGCTGCTGGATAGGATGAAGCAAGTGGTGTTTTTTTTTTTTATTCCCAGTTGCGAGTACAGGTTCATCACCCATTCCGCCGTTGCTCGCCGTCACAGACGCCAATGCCCGACGCGGACCGGGACTCGGGACCCGGGGCTCGGGATTCGCGAGAAGGTCCGTGGAATGATTTGACCTCGGTTCTCGGCATCGGCAGTCGTTTTAACTTCCAACTTCACCAACCTAACGCCTCCCTGCCATATAAGTCAGCGTCGAACACTTCAACACCACAATGAAGCAACACTGTCCACCTGTCCTCACTCCTCGCAGACCGCCAGACGACACGCCGCCTCGACCAAACCAAGCAAGGTCGCGCCCCCGAGATGGCCGGCAGCACACAGGAGTCGGACCGACGGGGCCAAATAAAACTCACAAGCACCCAAGAAACGCTCCTCATCACGCTCTACTCGCGATGGCAGGACTTCTACTCGCCCCGACCGCTCCTGGGCGACCGCTGGTCGGCCGAAGCCATGGAGCGCGTCCTGGAGCAGACGACCGAGGCGCGCTCCCGCACAAGAGGAGGCATGGTGTCGGGTCTGCCGCTGCTGGTCCTGCGCGCGCGCCTCTTCGACGAGTGGACCGCCGAGTTCCTGGCCGAGAATGAGCGCGCCACCGTCGTCCATCTCGCCTGCGGACTGGACACGCGCGCCCTGCGGCTCCGCGACAGGTGCGGCCCCGGCGTCACCTGGATCGACGTCGACTTCCCCGACGTCATCGAGCTGCGGCGCCGGATGGAGATTCCGGAGCCCAGGCGCGCCGCCGACGGCTACTCGTACGACATGGTTGCCTCGTCGGTCGTCGACGCGGGCTGGCTCGACAGCCTGCCCGCGGGGAAGCCGACCCTCGTCATCTTCGAAGGCCTGACAATGTACCTGTCGCCCGACGAGGGCCGCGGCCTGATCAGGCGGCTGCTCGGGCGCTTCGGCACCGGCCAGCTCGTCTTCGACAGCGTCTCGACCGCGAGCCGGTTCGTGCTCAACACCGTCCCCGGCGTCAAGGGCCTCTGGACCTTCAAGTTCGACTGGGCCATCGACGACCCGGGCGCCCTGTGCGCGTCGTGTCCCGGCCTCGTCTTGGCCACGTCCCTGCGTCTCTGGGACATGCCCGGCCTCGAGCGTCTGCCTTGGCCGATGCGGCTTGCGGCTTTTGTCGCCTCTTGGATACCCATCCTGAGGGACGTTTCTCGCATGAACAGGTTCAATTTCTGAGTCGGCACACGTGGTACACGCCAAGATTTGGCTGCTGCTCTTCGTCCCCCAACCCAGACTTGTCCGCTGGCACGACGTGTTTTTCAAGACCGCAGTTACTGTACGAATCTAATTCTTCATGACTTTTGACTTTTGACTCTTGTCCGACCAAAAAGTCGTTCTGCCGTGACCGTTGACCGTCATGTCATGCTCACGTGGCTCATACACGTCCTGTCTCAACATTCGACACCGAGGGAGGCGGAAACGTGAGCCCCCCGTGCCCGGCTTTGGTTCTGCAAGAAGTCGCCTATGCTGTCAGAACGTGGAAATCCCTGAGCACAATCCACGACCCTCGGCGTTCCATGGCCCCAACCCAGGCACGTACATGACGGCAAGTGTCCTTGTGCACGCACTGCGACATGTGCAACATGAAGCCAACGTCGCAGCGGAGACGTCACGTCGAGGTGAGTTCCGTCATGGACAATGAGTTGGAAAAGGGTCAACAAGGCGCTGCCTGCGCACGACGTCGCTGCCACGTCCCCGAGTAATGGCCGCCTCAGCTACCATTACTTGACGCATTGTACTGTCGGTATCCTGGGCAAACAGGAACTTTGTGCGCATCAGCAATGCCCAGTCGCGCTTGGATACTACACAGTAGTGGCGTGTGATTTGTGTCATGTCTGATTCGCCAAGTCACAACGTCGCCTCAACTCTCACATTACCAGCATCGCACTCTGCAGCCAATTCACGACAAAACACCACCAAAAGACAGCCCATGCAGCGTGGTTCCCAGCGTCTATAGCACTGGTTGATGTATATTCACCGACTATTACAAGCCCTTTCAAGTGTACCTCATCCAAAACGCCATGGCAATGAAACCAAATAATCCATGCTAGTCTAGTGTAAAGGCGCAGCAACAAGCTTCTTACAACTTGCCGAATATCGACGTCATAAGAATCTTGGTGACACGGTAAGGATCGGCATTGGACGCGGGTCGGCGGTCTTCAAAGTAGCCATAGCCCTTGGCAGCAGTCTCCCGGGGGATTCGGATAGAGCAGCCGCGGTTGGCAACACCCCAAGTAAACTGATCAATGGAACCAGTCTCGTGACTTCCAGTGAGACGCAGGTCATTGTCCTCTCCGTACTCCTTGATACACTCGATGTGGTGGGGTTCGAGCTTCTTGAGAGCATCTTCAATGAACTTCATGCCACCCTCAACGCGCATTTCTTTTGTACTAAAGTTGCTATGCAAACCCTGCGGCTAGTTAGTCAAGGGCCAGCTACTGTGGACTGTCTGTCGCGACTCACAGCTCCATTCCAGTTTCCGCTCATAGGTTTGGGGTGGAATGAGACCTTCACACCATAGTCCTCTGCGACTCGGGCGAGCATAAATCGTGAAATCCAAAGTTCGTCACCCACTGACGTTGTTGTTAGCATCCGTGAATCCGCGTGGCAACAGCAGAAGCGAGTGCTTGGTGTTCCCGTTTAAAAAACACCAACCACAGGTTTACTTACTGCTGATACCGACACATGGGCCGACTTGGTACTCCCACTGGCCGGGCATCACTTCAGCGTTGGTGCCTGAGATGTGAATTCCAGCGTAGAGGCAGGCCTTGTAGTGAGAGTCGACAATGTCGCGCATAACAACCTTGCCACTGCCAACGCCGCAGTAGTAAGGACCCTGGCTACGAGGTTGTTAGTGTCCCCGAGAATTTTATGGCCATTTTGTGGAAATGAGGTGGTCTTACGGAGCTGGGAAACCGCCAACGGGCCAGCCGTAAGGGCGACCATCATGATCAAGCAGAGTATACTCCTGCTCGAGGCCGAACCAAGGCTCGTGCTCGGCGTTGGCCTCCATCACCTTGTTGCACTCATAACGGAAGTTGAACTTGTTGGGCGTGCCGTCGGCGTTCCAGCACTCAGCAAGGACAATGATGTTGGGGGAGCCGCGGAAGGGATCGGGATAGACGGCACAGGGACGCAGGTAGACGTCCGAGTTCTCGCCGGGAGCCTGTTCGGTGGAGGAACCATCGAAATTCCAAACGGGGAGATCTTCAGGCTTGTACTCCTTCTCCTCGAGTGTCTATTGAAGTCAAACAACCGTTAGCGTCTTCGATTCCTAATTAGGCGACTTGGATCTACACGATGCTGTACGTCATAGCGATGCACGAATTGTCGACACATGGCCAATCGCGCCGCGGGACTGCCGATGCGCGGACACTGTTGGTCCGCTCGACCGGAGGCCCAGCGGGGTCATCATCTCCGTGTCGCGACTGCGGGGTGGCCGTTGCTATTTTGGGAATGGCTGGGGCGCAGAGCTGGGCTGCTGCGCCGCAGTCCCGGGCGTGTGTGGCTGAGACTCGCGCTGGCCAAGGCAGAGACAAAGCGCCCCCCCTCCCCGTCTTGGGCTCGTGCGACCCGAAAACAGCCACTTGGCCGCGCCGTGAATGCACGCCGCCACCCAAGTGCTGACGGAACAAGTCGGGACCTGACAAGCCACATGTCGGCGGTGTCGTGTGCAGAGCGACGACGGCGGGCAGGGGTTGGCCAGAGGTAAGGAGGACGAGGCGTAGTGTCGTTCATCGACTGGGGTTGCTGGGGCTCCGACTCACCCTCGATTTTGATCGAGTCTCGCCGCTGGCGTCCACCCAGACGTATTCGGCCATGATGGAGCCCTTTTGGTCGAGCTTCAGGTACTTGTTGAGCTGAGAAAGACGGACCGGTCAGCATGGTTTGCAGTTCGATGAGGACCACGCAGTTGCGACGTACAGTCTCCGTTCGGGAGGACAAAACTTCTCGGTTCGCCTGGTGATAGCAGCGTAGTTAGCAGACATGATCTGGAGTGGTGTTGTTGTCCCTGCATGCAGGGCTTATGGGAGCGCTCCCATTGGGCAGGCGACAGCAGCGCCGGGGAGCCCACGAACCATGGTTTGTGGTGTTGGTGTTTCTGTGTTGACGTGCGGGAATAGGCAAAGCGACAGCGCGGGATAAAAAATATAAACGAAAAATGAACAAATAATCGAATGCCTCTGTGTGTGACAGAGAGCAAATCCGCTGTGTATCAGGGGAAGCTGCAAACACAACTCGATGTGGATGAATTTAATTCAGGCTGGTGTTCCTGAGATTCTCAAGACCTGGGGCGACGAGTCTTTTATTAACGACAGCGAGCGGACGGGACGTCGGTATCGCAAGAAAACATTTACGGTACGTTCTCTCTAAAAGTCTATCCGCACCCCCTCCCGCTCCAAAGGGAAGTCGCGGGGGACGCCAAATAACCACCGAAAGCGCCTGCAACGGTGCGACTTGCGACAAGGTATAGATAAGGAAAGATACAAAGACACAGTACAGTCAGTGGCTCGGTCGCTGGTGCCTTTAAGTGGGTGCAAAGTGTGTTCGCCGCAACGAGCCCCAAATTCCACCAATTTGAATCGTGTCATTGGCAGGGACTTGCCTTCGGAGCAGGCGACAAGGGCTGGTCGTGTAGCACGGGTATTGTCAGGATCGGAGTACTTGGGATACTTTGTTGGTTGGCTGGAAAGGGGGGGGGACGAGCCAACTCGTAGTCGAGGGGCTGGCTGCAATGGCCCGGCAGCCCTGAAAGCCCTGAAAGCCCTGACAGCCCCGAACTGGCACCAAGCGATGCGCAGCATGAGGATTGCACATCGGAATACAAAGCGGCCGGTGGAATCAATTGTTCTGATGTCCAATCGTGCCGACGCTATCACCGCTGATGTCCAATATTATTCCAAGCACGGTGCATGTATCATGTCACGCGGTGCAGGCTCAAGCAAGAAATACTACTTACTACGCTTACGCCTAAAAGGTGAAGACAAGTCGCAAGACCTTGCAGTCAGTCCGTCGTCTCCCATTTGCATGCACACGCCAGCATATGTACACGTTTTGCACGCTGGATTCAACGTCAGAGGAGGGACATTCGCGGCTAGCGGCGGCGTGTGTAGAGTGTCTGGCGTAAAGGGTCCTGCTGGAACGTGAGTTGACGCAAAACCACATGCGAGTAGGCCAAGCTGCTCCGTGCAAATGCGATGGTGAGACGCTTGAGTGATTGGGTTTCCCATTTGCACTTGCATGAAATGCCATGCTCAGCAGCCTGCATCAAGGATTCCGTGGCGACGACTGTGTGCGGTGTGCGTTGCTGGGCTGAGGCCAACGGTCAACTGCTGCTTGTTGCAACTGCAACCTCCCGAGTGCCGTCGACATCAATTGATGTCATTTCTTTCGGGTACTACTTAATGTTGGCTGCCCGCAATAACGTTACCGGGTAACCGGTACTCCGTCCATGCTCATGGCCCATGGGTCGCGTCTCCTCCATGCGGCGCCGAGTCTACGGGGGTGGCTTTCACCGTCCTTGTTTACTCAAGCACTTACTCGAGTGCTTCTTTTCTGTGCCAAGAGGCGGCTTGGCTCAACCAGGTGTCACATCGATGCACACTATTGACGCAGTCGTCTGGCCATCGTCGGGCAGATTTTGTTCGGTGGCAACTCGTCTTACGGGGCACTCGAGAACTTCGTTTGCCTCTTCAGATGCAACATGCCCAAAGGATTCATGTTGGATGCCCTTCATCGTCATGTTTGGGGTTTCGCCGACACCGACAGTGGACACCCGTCGAACCGACACTGCACGGCATCGTCATGGCTCTTCAAGTCCAGCTGTCCACGACCTCAAGTACAACGGTGTGGAGGAGTGGCGGGCGCAAGTCGCCGTCCTCGTGCTCGTCGTTTTTCCTTCCGACGGCCGCTTTCCAGGTGCCCGGCCGTGAGGCATCCCGGAGGCTTGGCGCTGTGGCGGCTGTAGGTGGTGACGGGCGCGCCTGCCCAGTCGGTGCTCGATTGTTCTTACTCAAGTACAGCACTGGAGGGCGCCTGCTGCAGAGTGCTGTCGCAGGGCACTTGGGGGAGCAGAGCCCTGCGGAAATGGGCAATGGGCGCCCAACCGTGCTGGAGCGACGCCTCGCTCGGCGTGACGCTGCCGTTGTCTTGGCCGGCATCCCCAAGACGGACGGCCATCGATCGTCATGGTTCAGACCTGCGGACCGACTCCAGGTGCATCACGTTCCATTTATATTTGTTATTTGGTACTCCGTAGCACTCCGTCTTTGCCTGCGTGGGCGCCCCGTCTCAAAGACTGGCTCATTTCCGGCCGGATGTCCCCAGCCCGGCCAGCAAGACCCGGGGGGACCCAAAGGCCCTTGGCCAATTTCGATCCGACCCCTAGGGTGCTGTCTTGGCTCCTTTTTTCTGTTTGTCTGCTTCACTGGGCATGTGCGAACAAATGCCAAATGCCACATGTCAACCCTTTGCGTCATTCCTGTCGCCTGCCGATTATCCGCATTTTTTTCGAGCTGTCCCGCCCCGTACGCGTCGAGGCATCCCACATCACGAGACACCGTGTCTTACCACGCTGCACCTTCATCGATTTCTCCCCAGCCCGGACTGTCAGGCGCGGCCACCCCCAGACACCTAGAACCTTTTTTAGTTATTTTCTTTATTTTGCAGGTTTCCAACCAGCCTTCCAACTCTTCGGGCGTGAGAACTGGCTCCATTGTCGTCGCCACTTAACCTAAACTTACCAAACCCCCTTGTTCTTGGTCAACATCTTATCGCGTGACGCTGATTGGCGGCAATCTCCCGAAATCGCTCAACCGGAAAGGGTCAAGTCCCCTCGGAGCATCGCGGGAGACGAGGATAGTTTTTTCCCCTTTTTCCTTTTTTTCATTTTTTTTTATTTTATAAATCGACATCTTAGGCGTACAACGACCACAGTCGTCGTCTACCTCTCAACACACATCGCGAATCAGGTGCTTCTAGGGTTTCATTGCCCTGCATTGCGTTGAGGTGTTATAGATGCAGGGCGTTGTACGGAGTAATGCAGTCACGCAGCCAGCTAGTCTAAGAATACATTGCATACCAAAGTGCCTCGGTAGCCGTGTACCTACCTTGGCTGGTACTTACTTGTCTTGTCTCGGCATCGACAGCCCGGTCGACCGCCCAGGGCCCCTTGATGTACTTCATGAGTACTCCGTACTTACTTAAAGTAGAGACATTCTAAACCAGCGCCTCGGAACACCGGCAAGCCAGGCGCTTTTGGTGCTTGATTGCACAGTCGCAGACGATGAACAACACTGTGTACTAACCCAGTCCCAGGTCAGTTCTCCCTTCCCGGACTCCAGGTCAGAGCAAGTACGGAGTATGTAAAAGACAATGAAAATAATAACAAGAACCAGACATAATTGATACGCACCCCTGCTCACCATGATATCACGCCCCCCCACTCCCCCATGGACCCCTTTTCCCGTCCATTTATTCTGCAGGTATTACGACACAGAATGACACTTTTTGGTTCCTGATTTCCGGACACGGCCATTGGTAAAACGCGCCCTTCGCCCAATCTTTGACGACGGAAGACGCTATAATAACCACAAGAAATCTAAGAGGAGGATCGACATTCCTCCCCCCGCGCTTTCCCCCCTCCCCACCTCGTTTTTTGCCTTTTGTTCTCCCGATCCCGGACCGAGGGATCTTTGAGAAGGACCATGCGACATTTGTGGAGCCTCGCGGATCTCGCACAGGCGACCTGAGCTGGCCGTTGATAAGTCTGTTTGACAAGTGATGTGATTTGCTGGCTTTATTTTTCGGTAGTCAGCAGCATGAATAAGTTCCGAACATGTGCTTTGCTTCACTGCCAAACTCAAACTCGGCAGTATTGCTGGCACAGAATAGCGCTTGTGCAACAAGCGAGAACGATCTCCGCCCGAGTTTTTGGTTGAACTGGATGAAACTGACTGGCTAGTAAAGTCCTTCTGCCCTTACAGAGAAAACTTAACCTGGCTCTTACTCAGGGGGTGTCTGTCTAATGATTTCGACCGGAAGACTTCGGCAGAAACGCCAAACTGCCAGGTACCAGATTTCCTCAGATCCCACGTCTCCTCTGCTACCACCAGCTGCAACCACCGTAAAATGCTGTACTCCCCATGCACCTAGATATCCCAGCGTACGTCCTCCATGAGTCTACCGGAGAGACATGCTTCCCAAAACGGACGCGCAAAGTGTGCAGAGGTGCCTTGATCTACATGTCGCATCCAGGCGTCCCATGTCAAGGACGAAATATCGACTCAAGAGGCACTCCCCAATACCAGCCGGCCACGCCCATAGCCCCCACGCTCATGATAGCTGCCATGAGAAAGTTGACGTCGTTGTTATCCAGCAGGTCCCATCCGCTCTCAATGACCCTTGACGGTCGTTGGTCCCCGAAGCTGGGTCGTCGATGCTTATTCTCGAGGTTGTACTTGTCTTGGCCGTCATCTTCATCGTCGATAGCCGAGCAATCTAAGTTGTCGGCTCCGGGCTTGCTTCCATCCCCGCCGTCCACAGCAGCCTCTCTTGCAGCACGGCTTGTTGCAGATACCAGCACGCGGTTACCACCCTCACCCTCGACGATCTTGCCGGATCGTACATCCCTGACCGATCGTTGGAACACGCCTCCGAGGAAGCTGTCGAGGACACTCCCTAATGTACCCCAGATCACAAGGCCGCCCATAAACATGCGCCTCTGGGCTAGGGTCCACGGCGCACCGCCGCCGAGAGTTGGTGCCGTTTCAGGAGTGCATGCAGGCAGGAATACCATTGAGGCGGCAACTATGACCATGGACCCAAAGAGGCCGGCCGCCAACCCAAGTAGCGTGATGCCTCCGTTTGTTCCACGGGGGACCTTCCGTAGCGTCAAGGACGTTATCAATCTCGGCTCGCTCCTGGACAGGATGCCCAACTCTGAGCTGAATGTATCGGCGGCCACAGCCGCGTAGTTTGCAATGATGCCCACGACCAAGAGGTCGCCACCCCACGAATAGCACATGGTGCCTTCAGGGTTCGGGGTATTCGGGTCGGCGTATGCGGCGGCTCTGGCTCGAAGTTGACAGCCGTGGGCCACGGTAAATATCGACGCCATTAAAGAATTTGCAAATACTACACGTCGCAGATTAGTATGGACTCCTGGGCTCTAGACACTGAGCGGGCATCATCGCACCTTGGACGTGGGTTCTTGGGCCTTCTCCGCCCGAGCTGCCCTTGGAGTGCAGAGTCAATGTAGCCTTGACATTCTCTTTAACCTGCCTTGACGTGTTAGCATCCCGAGTCGCGGAGCACTGGGCAAGCCAGTCCATACACGTGTCACCCGCGTGCCTGCCAGGAAGAACACGCAAAGCAGCGCAAAGGGCAGATTCCACGGATGGTAGGCATGAGCAATGGCCGTGAGCGTCGCGGCGAAAATGCCAGCGGGCGTTAGGGAGTTCTTGCTCCAAGCTCGCAAAATAAGAGCGAGAGTCGCCGGAAAGGCGATAATCAGCTTCATGGCAAGCGGAAATGGACGGCAAGTCCGGGCAAGCGGGAGCGGTTGGCGATTGCCGGAGCTGTCAGAGGCGGGCGTTGTTTGGCTGACGTCGAAGGAAACCAGAAGTCAGGTTGACGTGTTCCGGACTGGGGCCGTAGATGTATGGCTGCCAGGCGCGATGGTACGGCCGACTGAGCTTGACTATCCTCCAGGGCTCACAAAAGAAGTTCATATATGACAAGAATGCACATGGAATTTTTGAAATAAGCACACCATCATCTACAGACCATTTGATTTGGGTTGGTAGGGTTCATCCCCCGCTCTCGCGCTTTAACATTGAAACGAATTGCCATCTCGTGACAACCAAGGCACCATCGCAACGTCAAAGTTACTCTGTTATAAATTGAACTGATGCATATGAAATTCGATCCAGGAGCTCTGTTGGAAACTTTGTCTCTACAACTTTTCTACCTTCTCTCGAAGCTTCCCGTCGCAGATTCATTGGGCGGTAGTGACCACACTGTATATCGTTCTAGTCGTTGATTCCGGTGATTCGCTGAAGCGCGCCATAATGGCAGTGTCACGCAGAAACAGAATGGAAACACTGACCGTAAACTGCAGTCTATATTCTGTGGCAGGTATAGCGTGAACCGAGAAATGCCAAGTCGCGTGCTCGCGAAACGTTTCTTCGAAATGATGTCGTGTACAGTGTGGGTAGGAACTGGAGAAGTATGTAAGTTAATCGATAAGGTGTGGAGTGAAACTTTTTCCCATTCCGACTCCGAAATCCGTCATCTTCCACGAAAACGTATCCTAGCAGCCAATTGTTGATCTCGCGAGGAAGAATTTCAATCTGCCTGGGATGGCTCCAAGCGACGCAGCAAGCGATCAGTTCGCCGTTCTGCCTATTCGCATGCCTCCCGTCCCTTCGTTTCCTCATAGCGCGGTCCACGAAGTTCGCGTTCGTCGAAATGCACCAAAGATCCCTACCGCAAACGACTCGCGAAGTCTTTTCCTGAAGAATATCCCTGCAGATAGTACCGAGCCTCACTTCAGGGCAGTATTTACCAATCTCGTAGGCGCTGGCCGCTTCGAAACCATTTTATTCGACGATGAACCCACAACGGCATTGCCTGTTGACCCAGCTCAGGCAACAAAGATGCAAGGCTTCGCGCGAAAACGAAAGATGACAGATGTCGAAGCCGAGGAGAGGAACCGAGAGGAGCAAGCTGCCCAGCTGCCGCAGATATGGACAAGAAAATTGCACAGGAGCAGTGGCACTGCGGTGGTCTTACTGGCCGACGAGAAGAGCCTCCATTTGGTGCTCAGGGCGATCGCAAAGGTCCAGAAAAGCAAAAAATACCCCGTGTGGGGGGAAAATCTGGCAGACAAAGTTCCAGAACTAGGATCGTCGTGGGTATTAAGACATCTACAACTGTCCCGAGTTGATAAATCTGCCACCCAAGCGGCCGTCCACGCCTTCTTTCACGCATACAACCGCAAGGAGAAGGAGGCTATTGAATTAGCCAAGAGGCTTCGCAACGAGCCCGACGAGGATGGCTTCGTCACAGTCACACGGGGTGGAAGAGCGGCACCCGCCAGCCGCAGCGAAGCGGAAGAGGCAAAGCAGCGAATGGCAGACAAGGCTGCCAAGAAGAAATCCGATTTGAAGAACTTTTACCGATTCCAACTGCGCGAGGAGCGCAAGAAGGAGCAAGCAGCTCTTCTTCGACGATTCGAAGAGGACAGACGAAAGGTTGATGCGATGCGAGAGAAGCGCGGCAAGTTCAAACCAGAGACCTGAAATGCCGCACCTCGTGTGATGAGGCCGGACGTATGTGCAGCTCTGTTTCTTGTTCAGTCCCATTATTCCCTTCCAAACATGATGACGCCGCGGGGCCATCAAAGCGCTAAAACCGATCTGAGCAACTCGCTTCTGTCGTTTGGCGTATGCCGAAAAAAACCGCGTTACAAAACAATCTTCTCAATCTCGTCTGAAGATGATGTTGCTCCTTCATGTGCTGCTCAAGCCAGATGGTGATGATGTATCAGCGAGCTAACACCTGTCGCAGGACCTAAAGCCGTGTACGAGGGAGCCTTCCGAGCTTCACTCGTACACACCGCAGGCTTGAGCCTGCGCTCCTCATTGATCGCCGCCCGCCGGCTGTCCACGTGCTACAATGACTTTTTGGTCAGCGCACTTTGGGCTTCTTGGGACGCGCGGTAAGAAAGCTTCATGAGAAACGCTACAGAGTCTGCAACGGATCATCTTTCCATCACGACTACTTGACCAACAGATTTAGCCATCGGATCAAGGTCAGACTCTGGAACCATCAAGCACCCCAAGATGTAGGACTATGGAATCGCATGGTCAATTTAGAACTGTGCATAAATGAGTCAACCAAATCAAGTTGTACATGATCCTAGGTACCAGGTAGTTATCCCGTATTATTGAGTTCAAAGATGCGCCCGGTCCTGTTATAGCAAGTCCAACTATATGCTAGATGCGCTTAGTCAGCAACCCTCGCCTCCTTTTGTTTACTTCCCCCACATGGCAACCAAACAACCGGCTCGTCGCACGGGACCTTTGGGAACAAATCGAATCCGTCTTGCATGACAGCCATCTCAAGAAGACGTTCTCTGCAAATCTGCGTGTGGCGTAATGATATTCCAGAACTGAACAGACACTTGCTCACCCGGAACGACTGCCATGGTCGACACAGAGAGCCTGCGTACAGCGTCTCTGTACATCAACAACCAACTTCTCTCACGAGGATTGCTGCGCGACGGCGACACAATCGACTTTGCCAGCGCAGGAAAATGTAGCGAGGATAGCGCAGCCCTTTCGGCGCGCATCATTAGCATTCTGAACGACTTGATCATCCGGCGAGATGTAAGCTCTGCCACTTCCAGTCCCGGCGCACACACGAACAGACTAACAACATGTGCAGCGAGATGCCGAACATCGAGAGTCTCTTTCCACGGCGATGAGAGCCCTGCGTGCCGAAAACTTGAAGCTCACAGGCGATACGACTCGTTTGGCCGAAAGACACGCAGAGGCACAACGCAAAGCCGACATTGCAACAGCAGCAGAAACCATGCTGAGGACGCAACTCAAGTCGGCAGAGACCAACGCCAGGGCGCTGAGAGAAGACGTTGCGCGTATGAAGTCGCTCGTCGCGCAGTCCCGAGCTTCGTGCGCCACAGAAGTCCGCAGGCGCGACCGCCAAATAGACACCTTGAAGAGACAGCTGGGAGAAGCCGGCCGCTCGCGAGGCTCCAGGGGCAGTCCGGCAGTGACGACGGTCACGGTGACTGGCGAAATCGGTGCAGAAAAGGACCGTGAGAATCTGGAACGGGGCTTGGCCGGCCGCGAATCCGCGCTGCAGAGCGAGACGAATACAACGCTGTCCAAGTTGGCGCAGCAGCTGGCCGAAGAAAACGACGCACTGCTGCGTGTGATGCAGCAGGCGATGGTGCAGCTACGCGACATGAGCGGGTGCGCGGAGGATAGCAAGGAGCAAGCCGAGGTCGACAAGAGACCGAGTTGCGACGATGTAGCGGCGGACTTGGACGTGATCATGGGTCATATGAGGACGATATTGACCAATCCGTCGTTTGCCCCCATTGAGGAGGTCATGGTTAGGGAGGAAGAGATCAACCGGCTCAAGACGGGTTGGGTGAAGATGGAAACCCGGTGGAAAGACGCAGTGCACCTGATGGACGGATGGCGAAAGAGAATGGCCGCCAGCGGCAAACCTGTCTGTGACGAGGAACTCCGGATTGGCCTACGATTAAGCCCCGTGCGTGTCAACGATGTTGAGGAAACACGAGGCGCCGGCATGGGGCTATCCGTCGTCAAGGAGGAGTCGGACGAACAAACACAAGACTTGATGCGCTCTCCTTGTCCGGCTGACGATGATCGCCGTCAGCTGATATTCCAAGTTCCTGGCGACGGGTACGAACCGGCAGTGGAGGACTATGAAAGCGAAACGACGGACTGTGAAGAAGATGTTCCAGCCGATGAGCGTGTCGCGGTCACAGACAACAATGGCACGTCAAGCGGCACGGGGCCGGGGCCGGAGCCGGAATTCCAGCATTCGGAGGACTCCTTGGAATCCATACCTCTGCCCAGCCGCCTCAGCTAAGTCCTCTCCGCAATTCAAGCTCGGCTGGGAACCGCGGTGTCCCGAAAAGCGGGAAGCCGCAGTCAATTGCCGGCGCGCCGGGCGGCGTTGAACAGGAAACTGACCGGAACCGAGCCCCAGAGCCAAAGTCGATGAGGTCATTGCCAGTTCGGCCCAGGCCACTCATACCGCTGTCCAGGTTGCCCAACAAGGTCCAACGAGCGGGCGAACGTCCTCGATCTCCCTCGAGGACATCACTAGATGACGCACTGCTTCCCAAACGAGACGTCGAGACCGTCGAGCGGGAGGGAGTCGAGGGTCCCGACGAGATTTCCCAAGACAAAGCCGAGCCTGGAGGAACGCAAGCAGGCCCAACAGCTACGGCACAGCGACGAGCGAAAGGCCGGATCGCATCCCAGCCGATGCCACCACGTCGCCCTGCTGAGCCCAGGGCACAGCAAAGCCCCCTGACAATGTCGAATATCGCCGCGAAGCTGGCCGCGTCCGAGAAGGGGGCAGATGCTGCGCGCGTGCGGGCCAAACTACGCGCGGCGCGCGGTTCGGCAAGGGGCGTGTCCCGGCCGACCATGCCTCGATCGAGCCCAAACGACGCGGCAATGCCCAACACGCGAGAGCGAGCGAGTCCCGAACGCAAAGTTGCAGAGGGCCGCGATGCTGAAGAGCAATCTCGCGTCACGTCAGCAGCGACGGACAAGCCGGAGAAGCGAAAACGAGACCGCAAGGTCGGCAAGAGGGCGTCGAGGCGACGAAGCACACTTAGTCCACGGGAATTGGAGACTCTCATCTCGGGCACTACGCAGTGAACAGCACTCACACTGGAGTTGGGGCTATGTTGTCCATCTAGCATGGGCCGCTGGGGAGGCTGCGGAACGTGAGCGAATCTATTAGCAAGGCATGATATGAGTTTTTGGTCACGTTATGAATTGAATTGAATCCTACTCTGACAAGATGAGGTCACTGCCGGGCATTTCGTGAGTTGGTTCACGAGGCAGGCGACACAGCACAACCTTGCACGAGTTGCGCCTCAGGGCGACACCCATTGTGGCTCACGTTGGGGGGAAACGGTTGCATGTACGCAATTACTATGGACGTGTCATTGACATTTACCACACAGCAGCCTGTCGTCGTGCCACGCTTCACCGCGTCCACCGGCGCGGCGCGCTTCTCGTTGGCCTACATCGGCGGCGCCGTGCCCTTCCCCAGAGGTCCATCAGGCTGAGGGACGCCCGGGTCGGTGCTGAAGGGCTTCTTGCTGCTCAGCGAGTCGACACGGCCCAGAAGGAACTCCAGGTGACGGAACGCGGCGCTGGGGGCGTACTGGGGGACCATGTGGCCGGCCATGGACACGCCGACGTACGTGAGGCCGCGCTCGGTGCGGGTGGTCCCGAAGACGCCGGCGCCGGCAATGGTTCCCGGCTCGCCGGCGCTGTGGTACGGGACGTAGAAGGGCTCGGTGGGCGGCTCCTGGAAGCCGAGCTTGCCGCCAAAGGTCATGTTTTGGATGGCCATGAGGGTGGCGTTTGCGAGCAGGACGAAGTCGAGGGCGCCGTGGGCGACGACGACGTTTTTGGTCCTGTCGACGACGCTGCCGAGGACGGTGGCGCTGGAGGGGGGGGAGCGGTCGCCGTTGACGAAGACGGGGCCGCCGCACGACTTCCAGTCCCTGTCGGGGGGCGCGTTGATGGCCCTTTTGACGTCCTGGCGGTCGAAGTAGACGGAGGCTCCCTTTGGCAGGTAGGTGAAGCTGCCGGGGAAGCCGAGGACGTCCCAGAGCAGGGGGCAGGTCGTGGCCACCTGGTAGACGTCGAAGCAGGGGTTGATGTGGGTGACTGCTTCCTGGATGCTGTCGGCGAGCAGGTAGTTGCCGCACTCTGGTCGGGGCTGGTCCGTCCTGGGATCGATGCCGGGGAGGGGGTCCGGGAGGTGGCTGGTCGGCGGGTACACGAGGTGCTTGGCGCGGACGTCGGCGTATCCGCAGTCCCTGTCGACGTCGTGGATGTGCTTGGTGAAGGAGTCGTTGAGGGGGAACAGGTTGCGGTGGTGGTCGACGAAGGGCACGACGGTGAGTTCGGTCGCGCGGTCGTCGATGATGGAAGGGTCGTAGATGAGCATGCCCCTGACGTCGAAATACTTGGTGTCGTTGGCGTCGATCATGGCCTTGGCAATGTACGGGCAGAACATGCCGCTGGGAGTTTGCCGGGTTGCGTTATTTTCTCTTCCTTCCTCATGTTTGTCCAGGCCGAGGGGGGATTCTCTTACGCGTACGACTCGCCCGTGATGTATAACCTGTACCCCTGCATGGAAAAGGTGTCGATGAAGTTCTCAAAGAAGCCCATGAACTGGCGGGCAACATCCTCCTCATCTTGGGCCGTCACGGTGCCGGTGGAGAAGCCGGTGTTGATGGGCTGCTCGACCCAGAGGACGTTGGTGAGATGGTGCCATCCCCACGGGTTGGGGACGGGTCTGTACGTGCCATACTGCCACAGGAAAGGGCCGTTTTCCTGGATGAGGCCCTCGAGGGACGAGCAGCCGGGCTGCGTGTACCCGTCAGCAATCCGCCTCGGGGCGCGTGCGTGGCGCAACCAGCCGCGGACCGGACCGGCGCCGGGAGAGGCGAGGAGGGACACTGCTTACGCCGCCGTTGAGCCAGATGACAATCTCCTTGTCGACGTTGGGGTTCGGGCATGGTTGGAACCAAAAGTAGAACTTGTCCCGTCCGTCCAGGTCTTTGGAAATGGACATGCGGCCGGCATACGCCTCGCCGATGTCAAAGTCGACATCGGGAATTGCTGTTCCGTTGAGTTTGTACTCTGCCATGCGCGCACCCATCAGCACTGGCACCTTCTTTCCGGGAGACGGCGGCGGGCCCACGACCAAGGCGACTCGTGAGCCGCGGTTCGTGACGTACTCTTGGTGTTTTCGCTCTCGAACCTGCTGGCAACCGGGCCGTGGCGCGTCCACCTGTCAAACGGCACTCCTGGGTGAGCTCTGGCCTTCTGAATATTTCTTCCGCCTGAGTTTCGGATGGCTGGGCCGGCGCGGGCAGAGACGCCGGCGGCCACGGCGGCGGCCACGGAAGCGGCCAACGACAGCCAACGCATCTTCGTCTTTCAATTGCCCTCGCGTCTCCCAAAGTTAGAAACTTGAAAGGCGGCCTCTTCGGAACCGTCCAAGCATGGGGAGACTCGGGGTGAAAGGGCGTCATCCTTTTTCTTGTGCCCGAGCCGTCTGAGACCAGGCAGCACAACTCTGGCGGATACGAGAACCAAGCCCACACGCGTCGAGATATGCACTGCGTCATGCCTCCTCATTGTGGGGAGCGGGTGAGCACGCCAGCACCATGATAGGCAGCTGGGTTTGCAACAAGGGACAGGGGCAGAGTTTATTGTCTGTCTCGAGCCTTTCCCGTTCGAGGAGACGAAGTCAGTCTAGATGATGCCTCTTGTTACACGACCGTGGTACCGAGTAGCTGAACGACAATCCTGCAGCTAGAGCAGCCAATAGGCAATGTACGTTGCACAGTCGTATAGGCCGTTGCGCATTTCGTACCATTCCACGGACAGATGGATGCTGCTGCTCATCGGCCAGCAGCGACGAATGGCGCGTTGGAGCGCTTCCAGAAGCAAAACAAACTCATCTATCCGGCGCAACCAGGATAGTTAATCGTGCCCGCCCCACTTTATGTGGTTCGGCTAGCAAAAGCCCTCACCACCAAAGGTGGTGCTCGACAGCAAGGCGGGCCGGACACCAAGGCGGGCCAATTTTCAACCTAGACGCGTTGAACCGCGAAAATGGCTGCAACTAGCGTCCAAACGGCAAAAAGCGATGTCGAATTACGTGTCAACGAGGCTCTTGAGTATATTGAGGAAAATCCAGGTGCAAAAATTCGCTCTGTGGCGAAGAAATTCAACGTGCCTCGTAGCCGGCTTCAACGACGTGCTAACGGCGTTCCTGCTAGGAAAGGCCATCCAGCAAGAAATACAATGCTTTCACGAGAAGAGGAAGTTGCTTTATGTAACTATATCGATCGCCTTGATAAGGCCAACTTCGCTGTACGACCTGAATTCATTACAGATGCTGCAAATTACATCCTAAAAGAGAGGGCATCGTCAACTGCCCCGCCTAGGCAAGTTGGAACGCGATGGACTACACGCTTTATCCAGCGGCATCACTATCATAAAGGTCTTCAAAAAAAGATTGATTCAAGTCGAAAAGCTTCAGAAGATGTGACAAGAGCTCTTTCTTATTACAACAAGCTTAAAGAGGCTATTCAGCAGTACGGAGTCCCTCCTGAAGATATCTGGAATATGGATGAGACTGGCTTTCGTATTGGAATGGGAAAGGACCATTTAGTTGTTACAAAGCGAAGAAGAGCGCATCTATTTTCAATGCCAGAAAACAGGGAGACTGCAACAGCAATAGAATGCATTTCTGCTGGCGGCAAAGTTATTCCTGCCTTTCTTATCCTTACAGGGCAAAAACACATGGAGTCCTGGTATCGGATAAAGGAGCTTGAAGCTAATACCAAAATAACAGTCTCACCAACCGGCTTTACGAATGACGAAATTGCAGTTGCTTGGATACAGCATTTTCAGGAATTTGCAACGCCAATAGGCAGATATCGCCTTTTAATCCTAGATGGCCACGGATCACACCATACAATTGAATTCGTTGAATACTGCGAACAGCACGATATAATTCCCTTTGCGTTGCCCTCGCACCTTACACACATCCTTCAACCTCTTGATGTTGTGATATTTCAGCCACTAAAGCATTATCATGCAAAGGCGTTGGATATCATTGTTCGAGACGGCGTGTTGAATATTACAAAGATTGAATTCCTTGCTTGCATTCAAGCTGTACGAAAACAAGCTTTCAAGACTACTACTATTCTCACAGCCTTTCGAAAAACTGGAATTTCACCCTACAATCCACAGCCTGTAATTGAGGCCCTTGAACAACGAGCTGCAATTTACACATCAACACCATCGCCGCCGCCGTTATATCACAACAACTCTTCCGACTTTGAGACGCCCACAACACTCAGGCAGATAAATAAGGTTGCCAACAAGCTAGGGGAGGTATTAGAAGACGATACATCCCTTGAGCCTGAGTTTGCACGCAATATCAGTCGTTTTATCCGCGGCTCTCTTATTGCAGCTACTGAGCTTATACAGACGAAGAGCCTGGCGCGGACGGGATGCGGATGGCATGCAAAGAACGGGCTTGTCCAACGCCATCAAAAGGGGGCTTGGCCCACTGGCCGTGCTCGCCCCCATCATCTGTCTAGTATTACTATATCGCCTCGCTGGAATTGCCGCTAATCAAAATCCCGCAATCTCGAGGCCCGACCTGAATTTCTTTGTCATTGCGGCGAGGAGGACCCGTCCGGGACACGCGAACGAGTCCGCCGTTTGGACCCCACATCCGCGGATCCCTCGGACGTCGCGCCGCGCCGATTTCCTATTTAGGAAGGTCCTTGCAGAGTGCCCGAGCCAAGGAGGCATGGCCCGAAGACTAGGACGGCTGCAGTTTTTTCTTGCCCGTCTCTTTCATGGAAACCCGAGGCCATGATTCGCTAGGACTGTCTCGTTTGTCTGTTTGGGTGTTTGCAATGTGCGGACGCCAAATTGCCGACGATCTGGTGTTTCTTTCTTCTTCGACCTTTTTCTTCGCCAGTACCATACCAAGAGAATCAATCAATGATTGCGAGGACAATACTCAAGAAAATACCATCTAGGTGTTGGTGCTCCAGAGTCATGTCTGGACGCCGACGGCCGTCACGGAAAGCCACGGCGTGCCGAAGCGGCTGGTCCGCCTGAAGAAGTCGGGGGCATGTCCCTCGAGGGCGAGGCCGTAGAGGGTCCGCGTTCCCACGAGCATCGCTGTACGGGTCTCACTCAGTATTGGGCAGCCCGCCGCAGCATGGACGATGGACAAGTAGCAGTGACAGCGGCAGCGGTAGGAGACTCACCGGCGTTGGCGGCACTCCAGGCGCTCGCCACAACGGCGGCGTTGATGATTGTCGGCACGGCCCTGATGCCGGCGTTGGTGGCCGCGATTGCAAAGGGCGACGCACCAGCATCGCCCGAGCGCGCCGTCAGGGCAGGGTCGGCGGAGAAGACGATGAGTCCGATACAAAATCGGTGAGCATATAAAACACCATGACTCTCCAGAACACACGCTTGGCGGCCCGGGGGATGTTGTGCCGCGGGCTCTGCGTTTCTGCCCCGGCCACGGATATGTTCTCAACGTTGGAGAATGCGTACGCCGCGCCGCCGACCAGGACTCTCCAGAAGCCGACAAACTGGCCCCAGGAGCCGGGGATGCCGGCGTACTGGACAAACGGCCCCGGGTGTCTCCAGAAGCGAAAGCCCATGGATTCGCCGTGCGGTCCTGCGCCGGCTGTGATGCAAATGCTCTGCCGCCGTGGTTAGCGGCACCCACGGGGACGAGAGTCGAGAGCCGGGACGCGCGTGTGCTTCCTCTGCCGGATTCCCACAAACCATGACGTTGACGCCGAGAATAAGAGCAATGTTCAGCATGGAAAAGACAAACTCAAACTCACCGTACACGCCAAAGGCAAGCATGTTGCTCAAGACCAAGAGGCCGCCGAGGAGGCTGATGCATAGCCCATGGTTGACGTGCGTCCAGTAGTCCATGATGACGGCACACGCAACCATTTCGGAAGGCAGCAGGATGGCGTTTGCATAGGTGCTATTCCAGCCTTGGCCAAAGGACAAGGCCGGGTCGACGAACCACTCGGCATGGCGAACAATGCCCCCCGAAAGAGGAACGAGGGGCGCTTAGCTCGGCCCACGGACAGGACCACGGCGCACACGAGCGAGCCCACGATGCCGTACGAAAGGACCAGGCCCAAGGGGCCGCCGTTGGCGAGAGCCTTGCCCGTTGCCAGGAAGAGGCCGGTGCCGATTGTGCCGGCGAGAGCAATCATCTGCATGTGTCGCTGCCTCAGCCCACGCTTCGCGTGTCTGACCTCTTCAAAGGCCCCGTGAACTTTGACATTTTGGACGGAGGCGTCGTCGTGAGCAGCAGCCGGTGCGGCGGCGTCCATGGCCAAATCGCCCTCTCTTCCCTCGGCATCTCTCACATTGGGACGCATGATCAACAAATCCGCCGACACGGTAGCCCACACATGATGGAGCTCAACACGCCGTATTAGGCCAGGCACACATGAACACGTAGCGTTTTGATTCAGAGCGAATGGTTCGCTGACGTCGGCAAGCCCAAACGACAAATCATCGTTGGACAAGAGTAAACCCTTGATTCATCCACGTCAGCCGGTAGCGGCTTGCAAACGCAAATGATGGCATGGCACCCTGACGCAGTAGCAACCCTGCGTGGGAAAGAGAAGAAGAAGAGGAAACAATGATAACACGCGCGTGTGTCGGTCCCTGTCCGCACACACAGCGAAAATGCCGGCACGGCCTGGGGGTCACCTAGCCGCAGACGCGTCGACCGGAATATGGTTTGGCTGGCGTAAAGCCACCTTTCTACTAGGAACATGCTCGCGCGTCCTTGTACAGGGACTGGCGAGTCGGGAGGCGCCGAGGTACTTGAAGTTAGTCAGGGTTGCAACGCTCCTGAATTGTAGTTCAAGGATGGGAAGCCGTGGGAACGGGCAGATGGGTAATCGCTGGGTATTGTCAAGAGGCAGCATGTTCAAGTGACATGGCGATACGCCCTCGGTACAGCGGCGAGCTGTTGTTGAAGAGACGTGAAGGTCATGAGGCAAAGTCGACACCAGAACCCAAGCGGTTAGTAGTTTGTAACTGTGCTTCCGTGCCAGACCTGGACAGCTCAAGACAAGCCACGTCCGCGCTGGTAACCCTCCTCCACGGAGATGAGGGCAGTATTCGGTGGGCAGGGCATGATTGTTGTCGAAGAGTTGTGCTTGCGCGCACAGCCGTGCCCACGACAGCACGGATAGGATACACAGACGAAGCGTGGATACTGTTAGTTTCGCGCAACGAAAGACGTTAATTCAAACCCTGCTCAGCCGGACCGAACTAGTCCTAGTACAAAAACAAGAACAAGACAAGAGAGCAAACTTCCAGTGGGGTGTCCACGATGTCATATGTGAGCATGTGTGCCGAGGTGGTTGTCAACCAGTCGGGACAACTTCACGTACACCAACCGTCACCGCTCGTGCTGGGACTGCCAAGGCCAACTTGTCGAACTAGCCATACGGAGTAACCAGTTATTCTTGACAGACAGCGCTTGGTAGTCTGTTTCTTCCTCTTTCCCCGGAGATCTGAGCGTCGACCGTGCAAGGATTCCCCGACTTGCGCAACTTTGCCCCGATCAATCGAGAGCATCGACCTGCCCTAACAAGGCAAGCGAGGGCCAAGGAGTAGTCCATGGGACCGAGCACATGGCCCGGTTGGCGTGTTGGCCGTCGATTCGAAACCAACGACCGACGCCACAATCCGGGGCTTATTAGTGTTGCAACCCCAGACTCCGGGACTCAGGAACTAGAACTTCGATTCTCCACCGCCGTCGTCGTCGCCTTCGTCGTTGTTTCGTATTTGATTCGTCGATTTTTGACCTCTTGATCAACATACGACTTGGACGGGCTCGTCAAGCCTCGCCTTTACGCTGCCCAAGGCTCCGTCCGGCCTGGACATTCTTGATGGAAACAACATGTGAGAAGATACATGTGAGAAGAAGCCCTTGGGCCAACCATGTCTAGAGTCCAGGCTCTCGGATATAAAATGGCGGCGTTGCTTCCGTGTCTTTCGAAAGCGAAACAATTGGGAGCATCATCGTCTCTTCAGCCCTCTTAGCCAACCTCATAACGGCCTTGCCCAACCCATTGTCTTGATCCAGTCGACGAGCCCACACGGAGCTGTCTCTCTCTCACAATGAAGTTTCTCGCCATGACCATTCTGGCCTCTGGTGCCTACGCCGGCGTCTTGGTTCAGCGTGATCTGGCCGTCATCAAGGATGCCATGACCGCCACTGGACAAGGCCTCGATGGTTTGGCCAGCGCCCTCAAGGGATTCTCTGGCGACCCTGCCCCCCTCTTGTCAGCTTCCAACGCTCTCTTTCAGGCCATGAAGGACGGCAAGGCCAAGGTCGACCCCTCCAGTACCTTGTCCTTGACCGAGGCCCTTGGCCTCCAAGCTCCGGCCAAAGAACTCCAACAGAAGGGCGATGCCCTCCTGGCAGATCTCAAGGCTGCCGTGCCCAACCTGGAGAAGGCCGGCCTGTGCGAAGTCACATACGGCCAGACCGGCGATATCAAGACCGCCGGCAAGGCCTTGATCGACAGCATCGTGAGCAAGGTCCCCACGGCTGCCCAAGGCATCGCCCAAGGCATCGTTGCTCCTCTTGCCAAGGACCTCGAGGATGCCCAGACCGCAGTCAGCTCGGAAAACTGCAAGAATAGCGGCACGCCTTCCATGGGGCGCTCTGCTGCGCCTTCTTCTCCCGATGCCTCTGCCGCTCCCGATGCCTCTGCCGCTCCCGCCACCGGTGCTGCTGCCCCGGCGACCTCTGCTGCCCCTGCGGCAATTTCTGAAGCTCCCGAGGCCGGCGACGCATGCCCGGCTGCTCCAACCGTCACCGTCACCGCCGTTGACAGCCAGGCGTGCAAGCCTACTCCTACCTGTACCAAGAAGGCTCCCGTCACCGTGACCGCCACCACGAAGGCCTGCGCAGCCAATACAGGCTTGTGATGTAAAGCCGTTTTCACGCCGTCTGTTGAATAGGGGGGGATAGGGGCTAGACCAGCTTCAGCACGCCTCTCCAAGACTTGTTTAGTTTGGTACGCTGGCACTGCCCGGCTGGCGAGAGAGCGCCGTGATTGTCGAGTATATAGAGCCTTCATTGAACGAAATTTCTGGCTTGTCTCCGTACCTTATTCTTGCGCAACCACGGGCAGTGCTTTGGTGGGACGGGCCGGCGATTCTTCACATCCAACGGCAGGCTGTCAGGGTGGCCATTGGTGAATTTACCAGAAGCGAATTGTAGCGTATTTTGATGTTTGCATCCGTCATAGTTTAGGGAATGTGCGCACGAAAGGCATCTATTCAATGTTCCTTCATTCATATCGTCTTGGGCGAAAAATCATGCCAGCCATCCGTCGCAGCATGTGTGTTTTGTTTCAGGTGGGCTGTTGTTCTTTGACGATTGCGCGAGTTGGCCATTACGGGCTTGAATGACTCCTCGTTAAACATGAGCAAGGTGACGTGGGAATCACACATGCTTGCAGATCGCGTCGTAGCTGTTTGCCATACATCGTGACGTTGGATCAACCAGCTCCCGTGGCGACACTTGCAATCGCCACGCCAACAGCATGATTCGTACATGTTAAAGAGTCCTCGGCTCCGAGATCGAATCGTGGGTTGCGCCACGGCTCGGCTCGTGATGTCTATTGCAGGCTAAACATCAGATGACTCGTTGAGGGAGATTGATGTGGCGTTGGAAGCACAAGTTCGGGCTGTGAAAGCGTTGAGATGCAACGGAGAGGATTCACAAAGAGGCACAGCAGCCTTGGAGACATTTTTATTTTCGTTTTCGTGTTGATTTGGTTGTTGTTGTCGTCGTTCCACCACAAGAGAACGACAACGTCCGTTGCTCCTATGCAGCTCGCATGCGCGGTGCAATTTTAGCACATGGCAGTTTATAAAGCGGCGGATGGAAACGTGGTTCTACGAGGACGACAAGCCTGTGCAGCCAAGAATGACCGGATAGCTCTTTGTCCCTGCTACCTTAAACAGAAAGAATCGTGGAAACAAGAGAACGGTCGTGGTGGTCACTTAGCCGTCTGCTTCAGTCGAGGCAACGTCGTCCACCTACAGAGTCTTGCTTCCCCTCTTCGCCTCAACTGCTGCATTGAGAGCATCCTGGAGCGTATCCAACAAGTCTTGGGCGTCTTCCAAGCCTGCCGATATCCGAACGCTCTCCTCCTTGATGCCGCATGGCCGCAACACCGCCGCCTCGTCCCTGTCCTTGCCAAACATGAACATATTGTACGCAAGCATGATTGTGACGTGGCCGCCGAGATGGGGAGAAGGGTAGAAGCCACAGCGATCGTAGAACGCCCTGGCCGTCTCGACGCTGTCAAACTCGACTGTCAAGAGACATCCGTACCCTGGGGTCGGGAGCTCCGGCGTACTACGGCGCATGAAGGCGTCGTAGTTGGCCTTGGTTGGGAGTAAGCTCGGATACTGGACGTTGACGACGGGCGAGTCGGGCTGACCGATGCTTTGGTGGAGGAACTCGGCCATGGTGCGCGCGTTTTCGTTGAGACGCGCCGTCCGCTCAAAGTAGTCCTGCGAGTTGGACAGGAGCACCTCGGCGTCCGCGGCGAAGAGCTGATTGCGGTGAGCCTCGGTGAATCGCCTGGATAACTCAGCGTAGTGGGGTGAGAGAGGGTTGAGCACGATAGAGCCGCCAAGCACGTCCGACCTGCCGCTGAAGGACTTGGTGAGAGAGGTGAGCAGCAGATCGCCCTGAGCGAGGACGTCGACGTTGGCAAAGGAGCCGAGGGTGTCATCAACGATCAAGACAAAGCCGTACTTTTCGGACTGGACGAAGAGGAGAAGCGAGAGCGTGAGCACAGAGATTGTTTGGCCGCAAAGGCAAGAGCGGGCCGCAAGGGCAAGAGCGACCCGCGGAGGGAGGGGGTAACTTACAAGTTGCTTCAGACGCGGCAAGTCGGGCGTGTCAAGGGTTGGATTGCCCGGATACTCAACAAACACAAATGTCGCGCCGCTGCCCTGGCTCCTTTGGCCCTCGAGCCATGTCTCCAGGGCGTCCAGTCCCTCCTGGTCGACTTTGCGGAGATGCTTCCAGCCCCCCGGGCTTTCCTCGCGCAGGAGGTCGTGCGTGTTGTGGAATACGATGCCCAGCTCGACGTTGACGAAGCCAGGGCGATAGTCCTGCAGCAGGTTCTTGGCCGTGAAGACGGCGCCCATGCCGCTGGGGTAGAGGAAGACGTCCTTGGGCTGGCACGTGGTCTTTTGCGCGTCGATGGCGCCGTGTTGGACCAGCTCCACGACGCGCCGTCTCAGCAGCTCGTGCGAGGGCGCCTCTGGCGTCCAAGTCGGCGTCGGAGGAGCGTCTGGACTCTCAAAGGGCACCTCGGTCAAGGTGTCAATGCCGCCCAAGAGTTGCTCGGCCCCTCTGATGGAGAGTCCTATCCCCGGAGTGCCCCAGCTCAGCATCAGCGCCTTGATGTGCTCGGGCTCGAATAGCACGGCGTAGAGGCGATGGCCGGCCACATCGACCACCTTGAAGGTCAACTTGTCCGGAGAGATGGCAGACTGCTGGCGCTGCTGGTGCGAAGCATGGCTGGCTGTGTACTTCCACATGATGGGGTCAAGATACACCATACATCCCTTGCCTTGGAGCCCGACTGCCTCTGCAACGGCTCCTGCGAGCTGCCCGGTCCAGAAGCTCGAGTTAGCCACGCCGCAATGGTGTCTGACGACACAGCACAATGCAATACAATACAACTGAAGAGCGTGGAGGGGCCCAGGGGAGATGAGAACTGACTGTGCGGACATGGTGAGTCGGCGATAGTCGAGGGTAAATATGTACGACTCTGGCCAACGGAGCCAGGTCCCCATCACGGACGCCCTTTAACATGTCCCATCCGGGTATGTTGCTGACGATGCTATACGGCGTCTGGGGAGGCGGTGCGTGGCCCCATTCCGACTCTGCCTTGAGCACAACCATGGCTTGCGAGTATCTTGAAAGGTACGTGCCTTTGATTTGTCCAAGATGTTCGATACAGAAGAATGAAGCCCAAGGAAAGGACCAATTCGTGAGAGAGAGAGGGAGAGGGGGTCTCTTGTGTGTCTCGTGTCACTTGTCAAAACGTTCCCCACGTCTCATGGGTGTAACAAAGTTGGCAGTCATGACAAGCCACACACGCTTAGAGCCCAAGCTGACTCCATCAAGTCGCAGTTAATTGTGGAAACCCTGCGTCTACCGAATGTGGCGCGTTTACGGCTCCGACTAGTTATATGTTACTACCTAATGCCCACAGAATGCATTACAACCCAGTTATACCAACCAACATAGACCAGTGCTGATGCAACTCGCTTTGAGCACTCCAAGCATACATGTGTACGACTATACTTGGGCAGCTGCTTGCCCCCCTAAACAAGAACTTGACCTCTTTCAGAAGGCCCTGGTGCAAGCGTCGCATGGGGCGTTCCCGAGGCTGGCAGTTGATGCCAGGACGTGGTGGCCTCATCAGAATTTGAGGCGTTCAGCTCGTCTGGTATGGCTTCGATTATCCCTCTAGGTGGCGTCGGTAGAAGCACACAGCCAAGGCCAGCTCCTGGACATTCCTCGCCGTGTTTCCCAAATTGCGACATCATCCTCGGAAACGGCTTGGCCTCCTCTCACCACTCCTTGACGTCGCTGTATCTCGCAAACACCTGCGTTTCAGCCAGGCCGAACTCTCTCATAATCGTGTCCTTGCGAGCCCGGGACCTGGCGGTAACTCTGCAGGGAAACTTCTTGGCGCAGATCAAAAGCCCAGAGGTGTAGGCCGTCTCGACGCGGACATCCGGGTCAATCGCGCGGCCTGCTGAGTCAAGACCAGCATCGAAACGCAGCGCCCAGAGCAATTTCGCCATGGCAATGAACAAGCTGCGCTCTGCGAGGTGAATCCCCGGGCATAGTCTCCGGCCACTTCCGTACGCATAGTGGTCGCGCTTCTCCCAGTCACCGTTTGCCAGTTCCGAGGCCAGCTGCGTGACGCCGAGGTATCGCTCTGGGTTGAACGTGTCTGGGTCGTGGAATCTGGCGGAATCATAGTGCATGCCCCAGATGTTGATGAAGACTTGGCTCCCCTTCGGAATCACCATGCCGTCGATTGTGTCGTCTTCACTTACAGCATGCGGAAAGCCAAGAGGATCAACCGGACGCCAGCGCAAGGTTTCCTTGACGCAGGCGGCAAGATATGGCAGCCGTGCGTAGTCCTCCCATGCGGGTGACCTGTCGTCGCCCACGACATGGTCTATCTCGTCCTGGGCCCTTTCCATGACGCTGGGCCATTTGGTCATGGCGTGGATGAAGGCGACGAGGGTCGAGCCGGTGGTGTCTGAACCGCCCTCCATCAGGGAGCCGCAAAGAAAGTAGAGCGCATGCCGATCAAAAGGGAGCTTGCCGCAGTCTTCTTGATCTAGGGCGTGGTCCATGAAGCAGCCGCGCGAACCTTGGGATTTGCGTCTCTCGACGACGTTGTTGAGCCACTCTCGATGAAGACCATTCATCTGTTCGGCCACTCGTTGTGCCCGAGTTCGCCAGTTTCCGAACCAGCTCTCGGGGAGGTACTTGATAAAGGGGAAGATTTCTACGGGCGGGGTGCTGCCGAATTCTGTCACGTCGGCCCAGTTCTCCATGATACGGTAGAGCCTCTTCATGTGAGTGGCCTTGATGTCGGGCGTCCGTGTTCCAAATACTGGACCGAGTTAGCATCTCTCTCTCCCTCTACACAACCCCTTTCTCCCTGAACCGGCGAAGCTGGGTGCGACATTTACCGAGACTCATTATGATGCTATTTGTGAATCGCTTCGGGTGTTGCATATAGCTCTCCGGCCACTCGATAAAGTCACGCACCATCTGGACAGCTTCCGCGTCCACAAGCGCAAGATGGTTTTCGACAACCATGCTCTCCATGAAAAACTTGTGAGTCAACTTGCGGTATGCTCGCCATTTATCCGAGTACTGCATGAGGAGAAAGTGGTCGCCCTGGGAAATGATATCATAGCCGATATACGAAACCGGTCGATGGCTGTAAATATTGGACTTCTTGTCTATAAGTTGCTTGACCAGCCGCGGCGACGTGAGGACAATGCAGGTCTCTGGGCCCATCTTGAGGGAGAAGATCTCGCCATACTGCTTTGCCCATTGCGAAAACCTGGAGACGGGTCAGAGTCAGTTATCGTCTGAGTTTCTGGGACAAGTCAACCCACTTCAAATACGCCAAGGTCGTCGGGATCTGATGCAAGTTTCCAATGATAGGGAGCGTCGGCGGCCCTAGCAGGGTGTCAGCTTGAATTTTGTCATGGAAAGATAGCCAATCAACCGACCCGGCGGGAGTTTCGGATCTCGTCTTCCTACCGACGAGACGAGATATGCAGCGAGCAGTGCAGTGAGAAACCCAAGGACAAGCAGTAATATCATGCCGACAAATTTGCACCCAGTTTTTCCAAAAAAATGGTCAAGAAACTCCAAAAAGTTGGTGTTTGAGATGGGGAATGGGGTAGCGTTGTATATTTTTAACCCACAGTATTCGGCGCAAGGGATGAATGTGACAGCCTCATACGCACCAGGATCTACAAGATAAGCCAGAGTCGGTCAAACTCGAGTGCTACCTTGCCTTGCCAAAACGAGATTCGGGCGCAGTACACTGCCAGCTTGCCTCAAGCTCCTCACCGGCCGGCTGGGATGTGACGTTGACATATTGGATGCTAAATCTCTTCTCGTAGGTGACGGCTGAAATACAACCCTGGAATGACCATTTGAGCAGTGTTGCCGTTGTCTGAATCACGAAGCTGCTCGCCTCGTCCAAGTACGACCCGGATGCTAGAGATGTCATGTGGAATCGAGAAGGCTCACCAGTCTGGACGCTGGACCGGGTGGGCGAGGTGGATGCTGCAGATGCTTGCAGAGGATACCTGTTCCAAGACAATCCTTGAATGGAGACGATGATGGAATGAAGGCACAGCTCCATGCGATGCAACGTTCATGGATTCCACCAAGTGCCCAGCAAGCGGCAAAGATCTCCACTGCCTTGGTTTCCCTGGACCTCGCGTGTTTCTTTTGCCCGTCCGTCCTCGGCGCCTAGATTTCCAACTTCAGTTTTTCAGATGAATATATCGTCGGCTAAAACGCATACACGGAATGGCCTTGGTTACAGAACCGCTCCTGAGCCAAGCCTTTGGCGGTTGCTCACGTCAACCTCAACCTCAACCTCCAATCTGGGAGAGGCTGCAAGACGCCGCGGCACGACACCGCACGAGACTTGCCGTCGTTAGTCTCCATCAACCAAAAGATCTTTACGTGCTTGCAAGCCGCGCCGAAGAATCTTGCTCTACACACTTGCGTTGGTCTTATGGCACGTTGACGGCCATGGTCGAACGACTGGCTACGGGACTGACAAGTCGGGGATTGAGAAGGGGAGACACCATCGTCACTTATCTGTACAATGGCGTCGAGTTCGTCATGTCGTTCTGGGCTGCTCATCAACTCGGATGCCCCTTTGTGCCGCTAAATCCCGAATCTCTGTTGAATAGAGAGGAGTCGGCGCACGTTCTTGGCTTGGTGACTCCAAGTGTTGTCATTGTCAATGACAATACTACAGCGGAGAGGATGGATGCTGTCTTGGGCAAGCGATTTGAACTTACGACGAGGTCCATTGCCGGAAGTGACGATTGCGACGTTGTAGGCTGGACTTGTCTCCAAAGCGTCCTGGCAGCCCCGGGTGAAGGCATGAAGACTCGTGCAGACACCTTATCAAGCCCCCTTCATCATCGGATTGGGTCAACGTCTACGGAAACGGACCTCGAGTCGAAGCCTGTGACTGTCTTATTTACCAGTGGAACAACTGCGTTGCCAAAAGGCGTGCCGCACACGAATGCCACGCTCAATGCTTTCTCCGAGAATCTGTCTCTCGGCGGGACGTCCGAGTCCAACATATTCTGCTCGGTGCTGCCCAATAATCACGCCATCGGGTACTTCTTTGCTCTCCACTTCATGATGAGCGGTGCTGCTATTGTTTACCCGAGCTCAAAGTTTGATCCCGACAAGACCATCGATGCCATGGAGAGTGAAATGGTCACCCACACAGCTCTTGTTCCGACAACGCTACACCGTCTCGCAGAATCTCTTGGGCATCGGTCCATGCCCTTCAGGTCCTCTCTAGCTGATGTCTGCATTGCCGGAGACGCCATCATCCCAGACGACCTGCGATATATTGCTGACGGACTGCAGAGCACGGGCGTGTCAACTGGGTTTGGCATGACGGAAGGCAGTCCTGTCTGGTCGGCACCATTGAACCCAAATGACCTTATTGACGAAAATACCACCTTTGCTGGGTATCCGTCCCCCGGAGCCTCAGTCAAGATCTGTTCTCCAGGTTCACGAGTTCCGTTGGCATTGGGGGAAGTCGGTGAACTTCACCAGAGCGGCCCAGGTCTCGTTGACGGCTATCTGGGTGGTGACGATGCGAGCGAGGGCCAGTTCTATCAAGACAATGCCGGCCGCACGTGGTTCATGACTGGAGATCAGGCCGTGATGCACCCCAGCGGTCGGATCTCGGTCACAGGGAGATACAAAGACATAATAAACCGGGGAGGGTTGAACATTTCCCCGGCAGCCATGGAGGCCGTTATCAAACGGGCCTGTTCTGAATCAGTAAGCAACCATTGAATCCGTGGCTCTTTAGCATGTCAAAGTTGGAGATACTCACCGCGACCTGAAAGGTCCAAGTGATTGGCGTTCCCGATGAATTCGCCGGCAGTGTACCAATCGTCGTATGCGAAGACGCTGTTCAAGCCACCGTAGACGAAATACGCAACGCCATCGTTGCAGAAATCGGCCCCAAGTGCTCTCCCGTCGACGTCGTCAAGCTTCGACAGCTCGGCCTTGACGACTTCCCGAGGACTTCCTCCGGAAAGGTCCAGAAGTCGAAACTATCAAGCGTGTACTTGAAGCAAAAGAAAATGGTTGAAATAAGATCGTGTTCGGCCAAGTCCTCCCATGAAGATTGCCTGCTGCAGGCCTACAGCCAGGCAACAGGGATCAACGCCAAAGAACTTGACAGAGACCTTCCGGTGTCTCTTTTTGCGGACAGTATCGTGGCAATGAGGGTTCGAGATTACGTGCGGAAACACCTTGGTGTCAGTATCTCAGCTCGTGACATGGCAGATCATGAGACGCTCAACTCTCAAATTGCCCTTCTGCAGAAACACACAAGCAATACCAGTCGTGGACTGGCCGAGACACGTGCGAACACAAACGAGCCTGAGAAACCTTTCTCAGTCGCAGATTTGGCTTCGACTTGGCCGTCACCCGAGACGAACAGGCACATGCAGACTTCACTCCGTGAGATGGTCGAGACCAGCGGCTTTCGCTGGCCAGAAGACGTATCTGCCGTGACACCCGCCCACGACTTTTTGCAGGTGCTAGTAGACGCTCGCATCATCGATACTTGGAACTTTGCAATGGCGTTCCAAACCACGAGTCCCACCACAGATGTAGGCTGTTTGTCTTGTATTGAATGAAGCCCCTGTGCAGTTTACTAACCCTGGCCCAGAAACTCGGTGAAGCGCTTCGCATAGCGTTGGCAAACAATCCGATACTGACCTCCTTTTACGCCGGATACCCAGCCCAACATGGGGCTTATGTGACTGTTCGACCATCGCCCAAGTTATGGGAGCAGTGCATCTCTACCGAAGCGCCTGTGAAGTCTTGTGCCGACCTGGCAACGCTCGCCCTGGAGTATCCCTACAAAGACCACGCCAGGCTCCCAGGTCCCCTCTTCCATGCCCTTCTCGTCTACGTAGAAGAGGCAAAGTCGGCGGCCATTGTATACTACGGTGCGTTCAGAGAAAAGGGCCGGCGGTGAAATCACCTCGCGCAACAACGTCTTGCTGACCATGACGACGCAGTCCATCATCTAGCCCACGATGCCTCGTCCATGAGGAACTTCTTGGCGGACCTGGACCACGTTCTTGCCAGCCCAGGGCAAAAGCCGCGTGCACACACCGATTTCAAGGCGTGGGCAGACAGCTACCACGCCCTTCGCCACTCGCCGTCGGCCACATTGTCCGTAGACTACCACGTCCAGCGACTGCGGGACTTGCACAAGCACAAGGACGGCTTGTATCCCCTCGCACCTCTTCCGCGAAAGGCCAGCGAAGAGGGCCCGGACGGCCTGGACAGCGAATTCGACGCCCCGGGCTTGGTCAACCTGAAAGCAAAGCTGCCGGGCATCGGAGCCGCCACTGTCCTGAAGGCAGCCATGGCACTGGTGAGCACCAGCCGTACTGGCCACAGCCACGCCGTGTTCAACAACTTGGAAGCCGGAAGAGGCCAGTTCCCCTTTGTTCCCGCCAGCGTACGGGCCATGGACGCGGCCATGTACGAGTCGGCGGATGTGAACGGCCCTACTATGGAGACGGCCTGCAATCTGATCGAGGTCTTGCCCCACGAGCCAGCCCGCGATTTTCTCTCCCGCCTTCAGCGAGATCAGGCGCGTCTCACAGAGCACTGCCACGCCCCTCTCTGGCGTGTCCTCGAGCGCCTGCGAGAGGAGGGCAGCGGCTCCGACGAGACCATGATGGAGGTCCACCGGTCCCAGCTCCTGACCTGGGTGCCCGGTCTTATGGGCCAGTTTCGCCACCTGAAGATGTCTCGGATAGCCATACGCTGTGACGCAGGCCTCGTGATTGTGAGCGGCATCGGAGGGCCCAAAGCCACGACGTATACGTTCTCGCTGCGGTGGGACGTGGCCAACTACTCCCGACAACAGGCCGCGGAGTATCTGGAGCACGTTCAGGCCGCCATTCAATTTCTCACCTCTGAAGAACACTGGGATGATGATGTCGGCACGGTATTGGAGAAGATGAAGCGATAGCCTTGCGTAGTCTGGTACATGACGCAGCCGGCTGTGGGAGCTCGTCAAAACTGCAATGACAGAGACGGAGATGGCCGTGGGAAACGTACCAAAGTCAGCGGGCAGAGAGACCTTCCGGGAGCCTTGGGACCGGGAATACCTGCACATTGCGTCCGGCTGCCGGGCTCACAGTCCCGAGACGAGTCGGCTCTCGGACAGCCTTCGGAGGTTCATGGCGGCCGGATGGCTTTGTTGCGAGCACAGGGACTCGGTCAAGTTTGGCCTGTGTTGGTTGACAAGTTGCGATGGAGGCCTAGTCGATGATGGCTTCAACATGTACACCTCGTTGTAGTCGCCCGAGGTGCATGTGCTGTACACAAGGCTTGAAATGGAAAATAACCCCCGTGCTCCCTATTCAGCACGGCGCTTTGTGGTCTCCGGCGCCATAACATGATAATTTACTCGGGAAGCAATCCCTAAAATCCAGGCATGGTGACCGTCGTGTCCTCACGATTCACCCCATCCATCGTTGTCGTTGGTCCTCACAGGACGTCTCTTGACGGGCAGTCGATCCCTTCAAGTCTAATTTTATCTCAGTTATTGACACTATTGACAATCTATTATTCGTTCCATCACAGCCATGTGTGTCATGGCAAAAAGGCCATCCAAGGCTACGCGACGAGTTGGCAACGAAGAAAAAAAAGCAGAACACACATGGAAAGCCACCGCGATAATGCCAATTAGCCGCTAAATGCATTCTCGGCCCTCCTTAGTTTTCGTAGCAGCGTCCCCAAAAGCTCAGCGTCAACTGCTGGACAGCCAGCGGCCGCACCGGGGTTCAGAACGTCCAGGACATCCATTGTCTTCTTGTTGTCCAGGCTGAACATGACGGCGCCCGTAGAGAGATATTGTCTGAGCACAGTGCTTCGAACAACTTGGCTGTCTGCATCCTCGTCCTCTGCCGACTCCATGCTGCTCAGCCACTGATCAAGGGAGACAAGCCGGGGTGTGGTTTGTTCTGACTGGAGTTGGGCAATGATCCGGGGCAGGTCTTTGAGGCGCAGCGGTAGAGGGTTGGTTATGTGGTAAATTTGAGGAGCCGAGTGCATTTCCGACGAGGGAACGTGAGAGAGAGCCTCCTTCCGGGACGTCAGGGCGAAAAAGCTGGATACGAGCCAGTCGACGGGCACGACGTCGACGGCGAAGCTGGGCTGGTCGGCACGGCCAATCTGGGGCACCATTCCCGACTCAATCATGCTCACAACGATGCGCGTGATGAACTCATCCCCGGGATTGGGGACGCCAGAGCCTCGGACAGCGGCGGTTACTCCCGAAGTCCGGGTGATGGTCACAGGGAATCCCCTCTGCGCAGCTTTGGTCAGCAAGCCCTCCGATACCCACCGCGTTTTGAAATAGCCGCACTCGTCTTCGGTAGGGGGCGAAAAGTGAGAGCTGTCTTCCTCCCCAGTGACGTATTCCTCGCGAGTCCGCCTAGATGCAGACCAAGTCTGGAGGTGGGCAACGGACCATGTGGACAGGTAGTTGATGTCGGAGAGACGAGACCCGAGGCCGGCCAGTTTGATAATGTCGAATACGGGGCTGACGTTGACTGGCTTCAGAGAACTGTAGGGCTTGAGCAACGAGACGTGGCCTCCGAGATGGTAGATTGATTCCACCGTCTGGCCGAGTTCCCTAAAGGCAGATCGTGACAGACCAAAGTGGGACTGGCTCAGTGATCCTGGAACAAACTTGACGCGGTTGCTGATATCGTCCAGGGTCAGGTTGTCGGTGACAAGGTCGAGCCTTAGAAGGAGATCAGTGAGGCCTTGGGACGCCAGCTCCTCCGTCGAGCCCAGGACGTGAACTGTGGCATCTCGCTTGGTTCGGAGGATTTCAGCAAGGAGGTGAACTCCAATGAAAGTTTCTGCTCCCGTCAGGAGAATAGACTTGAGCTCATCGCGGTCGATGCGAGGGATACCATATCGTGGCATGTATTGGCTGGTGTTGGGTAGGTTGGTCTCGACATTCCAGCTCACCCTGTTTCCCAGCCCGCCCTTGATGGTGGCATCACCACCCTTTGCTCGTCTCAAGTACGCGCAGACAGCAGCTGCAGTCGGTTCGCGTATCAGGACGGGCAAGGGGGGAGCAATCTTGAACAGCTTCTTCACTCTAGCTTGCAGTCGAACGAGGAGGATGCTGTTGCCGCCCTTCTCGAAGAAGGAATCGTTCAGCTCGATTTCTCCGCCAAGCGTGGTTCTGAAAAGAGCAAGAACTGTGGCTTCCAGGTCTTGGGTGGATCCTGTTGATGTTTTCGTGGTAGCTGGCACATTGTCGCTGGGCTGTGTGGTGATGCTCGACGGAAACAAAAGATCCAGCCGTCTCTCTAGCAGGTTTCTGCGATCAACCTTGCCGCCAAGAGTAGCAGGGAGTTCGGGGAGAAACTGATATCCGTTGGGAAGCATGTAGTAGTTGAGATGCGGCTTGATCTTGCGGTGCAATTGAGAAATAATGGCCATCTTGTCAGCGTCGCTGATAACCTTGGCTTTGGGAACAAGGTAAGCAATGAGCTGCAGTTCATCAGAGTCGACCGTGCGAGCCACAACCGCAATATCAGTGAGAGAACCCGTCTTCTTCAAGGACTGGGACTTTCTAAATATCACCTGCTCTACTTCGCCAAGATCGATCCTGAAGCCGCGAAGCTTGATCTGCTTGTCGCCCGCGATTCGGCCGTGAAACTCGAGTTGCCCATCGGGCCGGAATCGTCCGCGGTCTCCCGTCTTGAACATTTTGTTCCATCCCCTCTTCCGGTCGTCGTCAGATGCAAACGGGTCCTCGACAAACGATCGTGCATTGGCTTCCGGTCTGTTCAGGTATCCGGCCCCAACCTGGACCCCCCCTACGACGAGTTCACCAATGTGACCAGCCGGGACGGGATTGCCCTTGACGTCCACGAGGTAGTGGCGGCAGTTGTCCATTGGATATCCAATAGGGAGGCTGACAACTCCCTCACCGGGGTAGTCGATCTTGCTTATGGAAGTCTGGACAACGAGTTCCGAGGGCGACCAAGTGTTGTAGAGGGTGGCAGGCGTTCCAAGATCGTAGAATGCCTTGGCAACACGGACCGGCAGCCGCTCGCCGGCAAAGTAAGCGACTCTGTACTTGGAGCATTTCCGAAGAGCCTCGCTGTTGAATTCCATGAGTAGCGCAAACTGGGTCGGGGTAAAGTAGGTGACACTGACACCCTCTTTCATCATGAAATCAGCCAGCGCCACGGGATCTTTGCGCGTTTCCCACGAAGCAACAGAAACTGTTGCGCCTGCTGTCAAACCACCAAATATCTGGACAACGGAAAGATCAAACGATGTAGTTGTATGAGCGAGAAAGTTGTCACGGTGCGAAAGGGCATAGTCTTTGCTCAAAGTGGCCAACATGGCCTGGGTATTGGACTCCTTCAGCACAACTCCTTTGGGGGTGCCGGTGCTTCCCTGCTAAAGTTAGATGGCGTACGCAGGGAGAGGGAGCGAGCAGGGCGGAGAGTGCATGCAGTGTGCCAACCAAGACTCACAGAGGTATAAATCATGTAGAAAGGGTCGTCGGGGCGTCGTGCTCGCGGGTGAGCAACGCTTCTGCCCGCCGAGGCAGCCTCCTCGATCCTAATGACCTTGAGACCCGTTGCCATCTTGGACAGCAGGTCAGCGACCAGGTGTTCTTGGCCCGGACCGGCCAGGAGAATCCTGGCACCGGAGTCAGAAAGCATAAACGAGAGACGGTCCTGCGCAAAGTCGGTATCGAGCGCGACATAGCCGGATCCCGTCATGAGAGCGGCGAGCATGCCCGTCACCGCCTCGACACCAGGCAAGGCCACCAGCCCGATTCTATCGCCAGGCCGTGCGCCGGCATCGAGGAGCTCAGAGGCTACGCTCTCGGCGTTTTCGATCAGCTGCTTGTATGTGATGCTGCGGCAGTCAGACGTTTTTATCGCTGCAGTTTGAGGGTGTTGTCTTGCCATCTTGGTAATTACATCAAGGACACTCTGCTCCGCCCACTGATTCGCCTTGGTCTCCATGTTCCAATACTCCTTCTTGAGGTGTTCGATTTCGAGAGGTCCACACATACTGATTTCGTCGACGGGTTGACGGTGGTCTTTGATGCAGCTTGCGAGGAAGGTGCTGAAGTTGTCGAGGAATCGCTCCATGTCCGGATTGTAGTATAGAGCAGTTGAGTACTCGATCTTGAGGTCCAAGCTGTGCTCAGATGTCTCAATCGCTTCAAGCTGAATATCGGCAGCGGTGGGAATGTCGTCGGATTCTATGTTTTCAACAACGAAGTCGCAGGTAGTGTACGTGGGAACAGGGCCGTGAATCTGGTAGTTGACAGCAATTTGGCCGACAGGCATGTGGCTGCTGGTCTTCTTGACATTCATTATGTCGACGATGGTGTCAAAGGGAACACCGCTGTGGGCCATGGCGTCCAGAGCACGACTCTTGGTAGCCTGGAATAGTTGATCGAATGCGACCTCACAGTCGTCTGCATTTGAGGTCAGCCTTCTTCCAGCAAAAGTCCCAGGGCAGTAAAGCTATCAAGTTAATCAAGTTAATATTCAGGCGCAGTCGCTTACCGTTGCATCTCACAGGAGCAAGGTTGACAAAGAAACCCATCAGAGGGTCTGTATCAGGGTGCGGTCGGTTCCCGTCGACCATGAGGAGTACAAGATCCTTATCCTCGGTATATCTGTAAAGGAAGGCCCGGAAAGCGGCCAAGACGAAGTGGAAAGGGGTGCCATTTGACTGGGCAGCGATTCTCTTCATGCGAGCAAACAACTTGGCGTTGAGCTTTGCCCGAACTGCCTGGCGACGAGGATCACTTCTTGCCGGTCGCTCGCCCTTGGCAAAGGGGAGAACCTTGCCAGACTGAGGGATGCCTTGTAGCGTTTTCTTCCACCAGTCGAGGTCAGGCTTCATCAGATTGGACGCGAGACGAGCGTTGTGCCATAGTGTGAAGTCGACGTAGTTGAACTCGGGAGCTGAAACCGTTGCAAGATCATTACCAGTCCGCAGGGCGTCGTAGATGGCGACAAACTGAGACATCATCGGGAACAGACTGGCACGATCAATGGAGATGTGATGGGTCATGCCAACAACAGCCCATTCCTCCTCGCTGAGCTTGGCCAGCGAGTAAGTAGCAACCTCTCCCTCTTCAACGTTCATCTCAATCTTGCGGTTATACTTGACGAATTCCTCAAGAGCCTTTTCGACATCTGCCTCGTTGCTCAAATCACGCAAGTCAACACCGAGTTCGAAGTCTTCCAGGGGCTCTTGGACGGCAAATTCATCTCCTTCGAAATAGGCAGTCCGCAGAGCAGGGTTCCTGACGGCCATCTCCTGGATGGCTTTCTGTAGAGTTGGATAATGGGGCTTACCCCTTATTCGGAGAACGATGGGAAGGTTGAGAAATGACTTGTCCTCTAGGAAGCTGTGGACGAACCAGAGACGGGACTGGAAAGTAGACAGAGGGACGACCCCAGCGTGCTGGGCCTTTTTGAGCTGTCCAGTGGCCATAGCAGAGACATTGCTATCTGCCCCGGTGCTCTCAGACTCTGCGGCAACCTTCTTTTCTGTCCTGTCGCTGGTGGTAGCTTTGCTGGTCGAGGTAGTGGAAACCATTCTGATCGTCTTGGACACCAAGGCATTGATAGAGGCCGCACCCAGGATGTCGAAGAGCGCAATGTCAACCTGAACCTCCTTTCGGAACCACTTTCGAAACTCGACGGCAACAATGGAATCGAGCCCATAAGCAGACAATGGGTTGCTTGGCAAGATAGACTCGCGAGGAGTAGCTAGTACCCCAGCAATCTTCTCCAAGAATCCATCAAGGAGGATCCCAGTCTTCTTCTCCATATCCGGTTCCTCGCTGACGAGAGCAAGGAGATTCTTGGAGCTTTGCCCAGCCCCCTCGGCCCCGAAATCATGGTTGGCGTATAGATTCTTCATGATTGGCTTACTAGCCCAGTAGACATCCGGGGAGATTAGACCGACGCCGCTGATAATCTGGTTTCCGTTGCAGCCGCGAGCGGTCATGGCGTTGGCAGGCTTGTCAGCAAGAACAGCTTCCTCGAGCTGGTAGAGAAGTTCCTCCTCATTGATGGTGTCCATCCCCATCCTGAGCATAATCCTCTGGAGTTCCTCGTTCTCAGCAACAACGCCAACACCAGTAACTGCGCCGACGTTCATCGTGGTACCACAAAGACCAATCTCACGCCGGTGTCGCATGAAGGCATCAAGGTAGCAATTAGCGGCCGAGTAGTTAGCCTGAGCTTTGGAGCCAACAACGGCAGCCACGGAAGAGAAACAGATGAAGAAGTCCAAATTATAGCCGAGACTTGCTTCGTGCAGATTCTTGGTGCCTTCGACCTTGGGCTGGCAGCAACGCTGCCACTGCTCATATGTCATGGTTTCAAGTGGTTTGTCCTGCAAAACCATGGCGGCTTGGAAGATGCCCCCTAGCGAAGATCCGATCTGGTCAACACAACTCTGAACATCAGCAAGCTTGGAAACGTCGCCGCGGTATACGGTAGCGTCGACACCGCGTTCGAGAAGCCAGTCAATTGTGGCTTTTGCCTCAGTCTTGTCGGCGCCAGAACGAGACAGAAATGCAAGCTTGCTAGCTCCCTTACGGACCATCCACTGAGAAAGAGCGCGGCCCAGCCCTCCGAGGCCACCAACCAAGAGGTAAGTCTTTGAGGAGCTGAACAGCCTGACATGACGATACCCGCCACGCATGACTGGGACCATGTCCTCCGGATGGGGAACAAGAACAATCTGCAAAGATGGTTAGTGTATTGTGTGTAGAACTCTCTGAGCCGCAGTTTTACCTTCCCGGTGTGCTTTCCCATCTGCAACAATCGAAAGCCCTTGACCACCTCTGAGTAAGGGACTTCCTTGATGGTAGCGGGAGTGCGGATTTCGCCGTTGGCAAGAAGGGCGAAACACTCCTTGAAAAGCTTCTCACCGAGAGCCTCATTCTTTTCAAACATGGTCTATAAGTCTAGCGGTTAGATTTTGGTAGTTCGAAGGAAGCGAAGCACAAGGAACTCACCACAAGATCAATCGAAGCGAATAACACATTTCGTCGGAAAGGGTCCATGGCGATCTTGCTATTCTCGTGGATATCGCGCTTGCCAATCTCGAGAAATCTACCAAAAGGAGCAAGGCACGCCCAGGAGGCATGGAGCAGCGGACCGGCCAGACTGTTGAGGACGACATCAACCCCTTTGCCTCCAGTGGCGTCCATAACACCCTTGGCAAAAGAGGCATCACGAGAAGAGAACATCTGTTCCTCCTTGAGACCATACACATCCTTGAGAAGCTGCCGCTTAGCAGGAGAGCCCATAGTGGCGTAGATATGGGCACCAGCACGCTGAGCAATCTGGATAGCCATCTGACCTACACCACCGGCCGCAGCGTGAATAAGGACAGACTCGCCCGTGGCGAGGCGAGCAGTGTGATCCAAGGCAAACCAAGCAGTACCAAGTATCAGCGGCATAGCCGCAGCGTCAGTAAAAGACATGGTGTCGGGCAACTTGTAGCACCACGATGCTGGGTTCCGGACAAGGCTGCGGTGGGCACCCTGACCTGGGCGAAGAGCAACAACTCTATCACCAACCTCAAAGCCCTTGACCTTAGCGCCAACCTTGGTGCAGATTCCGGCACACTCGTCACCAAGGTTGAAATCCTCAATGATACCCATACTGGCGGCAACGTCGCGAAAGTTGATGGACGACGCCTTGGTCTCAACCTCAATCTCATTGTCGTTGATCTCAGTGTCTATGACCTGAGTATCTTCATCAAAGTACAGGGTTTCTAGCAGTCCAACCTTGCCGATTCTGAGCGCAAGAGGTGTACGGGTCTGAGCAGTGCCAAAGGGCTCAAGGTGAGGTTCTTGGTTGGGACCGTTTCTGAGCTTGCAGTTACGCTCGTCATCTGCCTCCACGCGAGGAATGTATATTGTGCCATTTCGCTCAGTCAACTCATCCTCTGTAATTCTGGTGTCCAAAAAACGAACAATATTGACAGCTACACTCTTTGCAGGAGAGTCGATGCCGAAATCAAAAGTCACTGCTCGAAGAGTGTCATTCTCAGATCTGGCAGCGCGGACAAGCCCAATGTACATGGCATTGTCTGGACGGTTGGCTTCGAGGGTAGCACCCTCAGTTGGCCAGATGACGTTCTTCTCGAGGGAAGTGAGAAGTGCTTGGGCGCCTTTGAAGGCCGTTTTATCGGAAATAGCCTCGTCCAAGCCTGCAAGAACGACGACATCCTTGGCCAACGGCGCGGTGCCCTTGGACGACAGCTCCGAAAAATCTGTCAAGGTGATCTTACCACCATGAGTGGACTCAAGCTCCTTTAGGATGGATGAGGTTCGTGCAGAAGGCTTTCCGGTAGGCATGATGATAGACAACTCGGAGCTGAGACCAAATGGTTCTGCAGCTTTGCGAACAGCAGTACAGGTTGGGCTGGAGAAGAGCAGTTGGAAATCAGCCGCGCTGAAATCCTTTCTGCCATCGAACAAAATGCACCCAGCGTTATTCATCAGTGGAACGGCATTGACGCCTGCCTCACTGACAATGACGAGGTCATACAAGCCGGGAGCCGGTTCTGTCACATTGACCAGACCCCGACACTCCTTCGCCAACTTGTCGGCTTCCTCTCCAAAGTCATAGCTCTGAGAATGCCAGATGTCGAGCTGCCTGAATCTTCTTCGCTCTCCATTCTTCGCTCCTAGTTTCTCAATGAGCTCTCGCGTCTTGTTGAGGTCAGAGGTGATGTGCAAGATCCTCGTGTTAGGATACTGGTGAGCGAAGATGTCAACAATCTCAGAGAGAGACCTCCCCTTGATGTTGGTCATCATCTCAAAGCACGGTTGCCAGCGCTGGCGGTAGAAGAGCGTACGAGGGCCTTGACCCTCAGGATCTTCGCGCCCAAGGGACGTAACCTCGAGTCCGGCAATCTCCATCATGAGTTCCCCCTTATCATTCTGCATAATCATGTCGTTTATGGCAACACGCGGAGAAGGCAGCTTTGTGAAGGACCCGACCCGGAAGTTTTTGACGTCGGTAGAGTACCTCGAGTCGAAAAAGTTACCAGAAATCGTCAGAGCTCGGAAGAATGACGGGACATAGGGCTCGTCGAGAGGGCGGCCAAGACGATTTTCAACAGCATGGAAAATTACGTGGAAGAAGGAATCAAGTAGAGTTGGGTGCAAAACCGTCTCGTCGCCCGCGTCCAAGGGAAGATGCTTAGGATCAAAAACGAGATTGGACATGGCGAATCCAACACCACTTTCGATGCTGCCCTTGAGAAGGCGGAATTTTTCGCCATAAGCAAGGCCAAGTTCGGCCATATTCTTGTAGAATGTGCCGGCGGCCATGGACCGATAGGTCTTCTTCCGAAGCTCATTGAAGTTCGTACCCTCAGGGTAGCGACCGGTATAGTCCACAGGAGCAGCATGACCCTTCTCAACGCTAATGAGACCGTGACAGTGACTCGTGCAGTTGGAGCTTTCATCATAAGAGAAGACGTTGAACTCGTACCAAGTATCCGAGTGGCTCTTGGCGGATAGAGTGACTGGCTTGAGCTCAAGAAGTACTTCAACTCCCTCGTCAGTAGGAGGAATGAGCAGAGCATTCTTTACAACAATATCTTTGAGATAAATCATTTTCACGCTCTCAATATCTTCGGTGCGAATGGCGGCCTCGATGGCCATGCTGATGTAACCAGCTCCGGGAAAGACGACCTTATTCTCAACCACATGCTCATTGAGCCATGGTAGCTCACTGAGCCGGAAGTAGTTGCGAAACAGAGGGTGTCGTACAACAGAGCCAGCAACCCTGTGGCCCAGGGTGGCATGGCGGAACTCTCGCTGGCGATGCTCTCTGATGTAGCGAGTTTCCGACCAGTAGCGACGATGCTCCCATGTGTACTTGGGAAGATCATTAAGCATCGTACCCGTAGGAGCAGCGACTAAAGCACCCTGCGAGTTTTGACTGAGATTCTGGTTGGCTGCGACAATATCCACGGGATATCCAAGAGAGAAGAGAGTGCCGGCCATGGTCAAGAGGCCTTCAAAGTCGGGCACGCCACGGGTAAGGGACGCGACGTAAGGAACATCCAACTTAAGAGACTGGACAGTCTGACGAGCCGGGCCCTTGAGGGCAGGATGAGGGCCAATTTCAACCAAGATATCCACATTCTGCTCATCCTCTTCATTAAAGAGGACACCAGTGAGGGCATCAGAGAATCGAACGGCCTGAACCATATTAGCGGCCCAATAAGATGCCCCCATCTTCTCGTGGTCAGCCACGCGAGAGGTAACACTGGAGAACATGCGACACCTGGGGGCTTTGGTCTTGAAGGAATAGTTGTTCTTCAGAGCATTCTCGTATGCTGGGGCCAGAGGAGACATGTGGTGAGAATGGAAAGCCTGCTTGACAATCAGCTGTCGAACAAATATCTTCTTCTCCTTGAGCTTTTCCTTGAGATCAAGAATAGCCTCTTCATCTCCGGAAACAGTCATCGTGGACGGACTGTTGACAGCAGCAATGGTGAGTCGACCGGCGTAAGGCTTGAGCTCCTCAAGACACTTATTTTCGGGAAGACCGACGGCCATCATGCCCCCAGGAACGCAATCAGTGCGACTAGCGGACATGTAACGACCACGATAGTAGGCGGCGATCAGAGCACTCTCAAAGGAAAGAATACCGGCAGCATAAGCAGCGCCCATTTCACCTGAAGAGTGCCCAACAACAGCGGACGGCTTGATGCCCCAGCACTCAATCAGGTCGATGATGGCAAGCTGAAGTGCAGTGCAAATTGTCTGAGAGTACAAAGTCTCGCCAAGTAGAGTTGTCTCTTTGGACTTGTTGAGTTCAGCAACAATGGACCACTCAGGGGCGTCAGGAAGGCTCTTGAGAACAGTGTCACAACGCTGCAGAGTCTGGCGGAAATGGGGACACTCTTCAATGAGCTGTCTGCCCATGGCAAACCATTGAGCGCCCTGGCCAGTGAATATAAAGCCTAACTTGGGAACAGCATTTTTGGCGAGTGTCCAAGGAGCAGCTGGACGCGGCGAGGAGAGCTGGTCAACAAGGCCAGCCTTGTCATTCGCAACAACGAAGGAACGCTGCTGGTGCAGTGTCCGGCGAGTAGACAAGCTGTAGGCAAGGTCAGCAATCGTGACATCTTCACCGCTGTTTAGATAGGCCTTAAGATTCTCCTCTGACAGCTCGCCGGCTTTGGGGGAGTGAGACGTCAAGGGAACAAGGTAGGGTCGAGAGTGGACTCCGTTGGCAATAGGCTCAGAAGGAACAGGGACAGGTAGCTTTTCATCCCGAGCATACTCCTCCAAAACAACGTGAGCATTGGTGCCGCCATAACCAAAGGAGTTGATACTGGCTCGTCGGGGAACACCATCGGGAACCTGCCACTCGATAAGCTTGGTGGGGACAGTGATCTTCCAGTTCTGAAAGTCTATCTTGGGATTTGGCGTCTTGAAGTGCATATTCGGGGGAATATACTTGTTTTCAAGTGCCATTGTCGTTTTGATCAAACCAGCAAGACCGGAAGCGCCTTCAAGATGGCCAATATTTGTCTTGACAGAGCCGACAAATAATGGCTCGTTACGGCCAGGGGAGAATACAGCACCAATGGCACGGGCCTCAATGGGGTCTCCTGCAGCGGTACCAGTGCCGTGAGCTTCAAAATACTGAGTATGGTTGGGGTTCAGTCCAGCTCGCTCATATGTCGTTCGAATTAACTGCTCCTGGGCAACAGAGTTAGGGAGAGTGATGCCATTCTTCTTGCCGTCGTGGTTAGATCCAGTAGCACGAACAACAGCCCGAATGTTGTCCCCGTTAGCGATGGCATCAGACTTGCGCTTGAGAATAGCGCAAGCGATGCCTTCACCTCGGACGTAGCCACTTCCAGATGCGTCAAACGCCGCACAGCGGCCATTGGTGGAGAGCATACCAAGGTCGGTCATGGTAACAAACACATTGCTGTCGTAGTGTAGCGAGGATCCAACAACTATGGAGATATCGGCTTCTCCATTTTGCAAGGTCTGGCTGCCGAGATGAAAGCAAACAAGTGACGAAGAGCAAGCAGTATCGATGGTGACACTGGTTCCGTGAAGATCGTAGAAGTAGGAAATTCGGTTTGATAGAATAGCGTCACCAGTTCCAGTTACCTATATCGACATGTGACGGTGAGAAGTTGGAGCATTTCAATGTTGAAGAAGGGCGTTACATAGTATGGCTTACAGTATACTTGGGATAGTACTCTAAATCCTTGGTCAACATGGCATTATAGTCATTAGTAAAACTACCGCAAAATACGGATGTCAGCGAGCCTCGAATCTCTTGAAGAGTGATGCCAGCATTCTCGAGGGCTTCGTAGACTACTTCGAGAAGTAAACGCTGCTGAGGATCCATAGCCTCGGCCTCCTTTCCGGAGATTCCAAAGAAACCCGCGTCGAAGTCTCCGATATCTTGATCGAGAAAGTATCCGAAACGGGCATTGGTCTGTTTACAGAGAGCGTTAGCTGACTTTTCCTTAATCCTGGTGCATTGCTTATTATTTTAGTTCACATACTGTACCCTTATGGGTGGGCTCAGGATGGAAAAAACTGTCCACCTTCAGCCGATCCTCGGGCATCTTCTGCTGAACATCGCGTTGTTCGGCGATGCTCTCCCAGAGCTTGCTGGGAGAGTTAGCTCCCGGTACTCGGCAGGCAAGGCCGACAATGACGCTGGGGTCATCAGCACGTCCATTGACTCGAGCTGCCATTTTCGATCAGACGAATGAGATGAGATTATTGAGCCAGGACGAATTTCTGATCGTGTTTGAACTTGATCAAGGTAGATGAAGGGACCAAAGTCCTGGTCGACTTGTACAAGTAACCTCAAATTTGAGGATGAATTGGAAATTCTTGTCGAGAAAAAGTATGCCGGTCAATGAAGAAGACCGTCAAGGCTCCTTGGCCGTTTGTTACGGAGCTCGAAACTTCAGAATATATCGTTGCCGGTTATGGAAGGTTCGATACCTTCGTTGATACGAACCAGAAAGTACATGAAGGTTCGGACTCGTCTCCAAATATATGCTTCGGTACAACACCGAATATTAGCTGATCTTCTAAAAATGCGACCTAGCAGGGCTCAGTTGCTGAATGAAAGTAGGGAAGATGCGTGCTGGAGTGTCAATATGCCACAAACAATGCAGTTGGGGTGATGCTTTGTATAAGAACTTGCCAAGCGACTATAGAACACGGAACACGCGAGATAATCCATGTTGATTCTACAGCTCTTGCTTTCATCCTCTGAGGGGCATCTCGGAGCCGAACAGCCTTGGTTTCAGGGTGGCAGCTCCGGCACCATTCGGAGCATTCTCTCTACCACGCCGGCCGTCACCGAACGGCCCCGGAGTGGGATTCTGAGACTGTACATGGTAGATATCGTCGACTACTTCCCACAGAGCCCGGGTACACCCTAAACTGCAAACTATGTCAGGAACCACACAGGTTTCGCTCCACATCTCTCAAGACGGGTAGCCACGAGGCAGGAAGCAGGGATCGTTGTCCATGTGGCTGCGAGTCATTTGATCTGGGGGAAGTAGTAAGGGACACGCCCTTTCGTTCTCGTCAGGGTGTAAGTCGGCCAGGTCAGGACCGTGTGCCAGCAACAACTGGTATGTATAGCAACGGAGGAGGTGTCTCGAGTCTCGACAAGAGAGGTGTACCTATTGACTGGCCGACGGCCGTTGTATGGGTGGGAACTAGAGGTACTTATCGGTACCGGAGTGACTCGAGGTCTGAAGTACCTTTGTTTTGCAGGGATTCAACTGGCTTCGACAAGGTTCGCTCAACTTTTTGGTCAACGATGACGGAACAGGGCGGAGAGGCCGAATCCATCTGTAGCGGTAACACACATTTGCCCAGTTTCGTTCCAACCTGCGTACTAACTAGTTAACTCAGCGCTGCAGGATTCGAGTGGGAATAGTAACTACCTGGGTAGTACTAGCAGTTTCACTCGTTTCCCGCCTCAACTGTGTTCTGAGCTCAAGGCTCCGCTCTGATCCCCAACATTGTTCTTCAAACACTTCGCCATCCTTCAAAAGCGGTAGTGTATATTTACTTCTTCGTCGGGCCCCAGAGCTAGCATACCGGATTTTGATGACCGTGGGGGCAGTTTGCCGCAGTCGGCCGAGACATTTGAACATCTTTGTCATAGTCAGTAGGCTAGCAACGGGAAACATTAGATGACAAAGACAAGGCAACTCACAATAATCTCAATGAATTCATGAATTTTAGCCGTACTGTTCCACTGCGACTGTCACAAGCTCGTTAGCTGTCCAGAAGTGTCGATACTGAACTCGTACAGACCTCTTCTAACACCATCCCGCGCCGGATCCGCGGAACTTAATACAAACCCCTATGCATAGCAGACATCTTTTCAGCTTTTTGGTCTTCAACATGCGTAAACACAAAACGATGCCCTCGAGGCTTTTGGAGTCATCAGTTACTGAGACATTTGCCACACGGCTAACCGGCAGATCTGCATTGAATGTTGCCACCGGGATTGCGTCGACGCAACCAAACGTAGTAAGTTGCCCCAGAGGAAATGTTCACCTGGTGCAAGAAATAGCCGGGAGACATGCTCTAGCTCTCCTTTCCCAACCCTTCCTTGGTGCACATTGCCGCGAGAAATACTGCACAATCTGATCTACATCCGCGCCTCGACATGCTTACTTACTGTAAACTGTCCTCCAATTGCGGCAATACGCGTCGCTAGGTGCACCCGCGGGGAGGGTTTTGTTGTATATTCCTCAAAATAGATTGACATTGCTGTCTCGCCCATTCATCTCGCTTGTGATACAAAGACGGCTCACGTGCGCTGATATGCAGGGGACTCTGCCTCAATGCATCAAGCCTGATGTAGAGAGTGCAGGCTGGCTAGTGTGTATTACTTCACGCATTCGTGAAAATACAGGTTGACTTTTCTCGGTGAGTTGTAGCTCCCGTGTGCGGAAGTCATTTTTGCGGGTGAAGATCTCAAACCTTGGTAGCCCTTCACAAACCGATAGTACAAAGTCCAAGCAGTTGGGCACACTACCACATCGTCGACGCATGCCTCGGAGTGAAAACTCGGGCGCTGGTTGCTCAAACGCTTTGGACACAATTGTTTGGCCGCGTCGGACAAAAGGCGATTCCAGAGGTTGTGCCAAAGCGAATGCTGAATGGGCCCCTCTTCGGAACGAGGAACCTTCCACCGACTAGCTCATCTGCGAGCAGACAAGCAGGCATGCTCGTATCGGTTCTGACCTGGTGATGTGGAAAGTCTGGTGGCCCAGACTAACGTCAAGCCATCGATCGACGTTGACGTATTCTTGGCATTGTGAGCAGGCACATTTGTTTGGTTTGCCCCGTCCCGTGGCAACATTGGGGGCTGGCTGTGGAGGCCAACACGGCATGCGCAGCATGGGGACAGATGGACTGACGGTAAGAAAAACATGAAACGGCGACTCGGCGCAGACGAGCAGAAGACTTCGTTGACCAGTACCTTGTATCGCATGGAAAGAAGACAAGGGATGATCCTTTCCGTACCATTGATGCTCACACTGACCATTAAATCAGCTTCGTCATCAAGAGTACAACCAGGGGCACAATGCCAAATGGCACATCAAACATGAACAAAATGCCAGGCACCTTCACACAAGACTAGGATGGCGATTAGTCCAAGTCATCTAAGATGTGATGAAATCATTGGGCCGAATCCGCAATCTCACGGCGGAAACATACTTCTCTGTACGCCTCGCCATCACAGCAGACAATCGAGGCGGGGCCAAAACGTCGATGGTTGTAACTTGTGGCTCTGCTGCCCTGCCAGTGGTGCTGACAGAAAGCTCCAATGCAGGATTCGTCGCCGTTTCAAGTTCAGATGACCAAGATTTCACTAGCTGGGCTAATTTTTACGAGGCTTAAAATGCGCGAGCATAGGCGAAAAGTGGTAATGGTCAAGAACGAGGCGCAAAGTCGTGTTCGTTCACGCTGCCTACGCAGAAATGTTGAGTCAATGTGCCTCTCCATCTCCATGGCAGGGCCAGGTTGGGAAGGTGGCACCGACTCCCACCAAGTGGTGTCTCCAAACGTCGACGGGCCCTTCCTTACATCTACATCTTCTTGAGCTTGCTGCCGTCCAATTTGTGGCTGCATCATTATTGAGAGCCAGACCTACCAAAGTCGAACCTTCAGAAACGACTTTCGACATTTTCTATCAATTGATGGCTGTTGCACAATCCCTGCTGAGCCAAAGCAGCGACCGCATCTTCCCATTCATCTTGAACAGTCAAAACTGGGGCTTTTCGTGGCCGCAACATCAGCAAAATGTGGAATGCTCACCCAAAAACAAAAAAAAAAAAAAAAAAGGCACATGGCCCGCCACCACCATCATCATCATCATATCGTCGGCTACGAGTCCAAGCTGTCAAACCTAGAATTAAAGGCGAGAACTTATACTTGAACGGGCCTGCCTGCCTTTCGTCTGAACACTGCAGATCATTGCAGGTCCCTCTCGAGGTTACTGTTGCGTGCGACAGACGCATCAGTCTGATCAACCTTTGCCTTTCCCCTTTTCTGATCAATCATTCACGGCTGTCGCGCCTCGCTAACGAATGAATGGCCATAGCCCATTACTTCCTCTGCTGACTCCATGTTACTCCGTATGGCTTACCATTTCGCCAAGGAAAACGGGCATTCCATCTCGGTGACTGCCCTAAGCACAATGATAGATGCCGGCCAGCAACCAAGCTGTGGAACTGAGCCGAACAGCTGGCGAGTCAACGGCCTAAAGAAGCAGTCATCGCAGCGGATAACCGCCCAATTGTTGGGTTGCATCGCATCTGGTGTGTTGTCGCCTCAGGACTTCACAGTTGAACCACGGTAAGCAACAGGGTACGGCGCATGCAGTGAAGCCCGGGCTTCATCGTGTCTGACCTGCATAGGGTTTCAAGTATCACGAGGTGTCATTTCCCATTTTTATGTCAATCATACTGATCACGCCTCAATCCCCCTATCGGACTAACCTCAAGACAGCCCCAGGGATTGCTCAAATCACGACGCGATCAATTCATGAATTGTGCCAGGGAGGAAAGAGCCAGACGTTAAGGCCATGGTCATGGTCATTTATACGAGATGATCTCAGCAAACCAGGTAGTCGTCATTAAACGCGGCCACCAGAACAGGAGTAATCACCTCTGCCGTTCCGATTCGACAGCATAAGAGGGTAACTGGATCAGCGTGCTTTGTACAGAGCAACGCAAGTACACAAAGAACTATTATCTGTACTACTAGTTCCATTTAGTGGAAATGAATGCCAATATTTTGAGAATCTCCGCAAGGGGGAGGCCGATGGTGTGGCAGTTCAAGTATACATACATATTCATGTAGGTTTTACGTCCAATATCTGAACAGAACACCTCTTGGCGAGTTATCTATTGGTCGGCGTTGAGACTTACGTATATCTCGAGGTAGCTATTCGGTGTAGATTTGGATCGTCGCCTAACAATTCCCGTCAAGTTATAGTACACCATACTAGTTGGTGATGCTGCGCCAGCAGCAACTCAGAGCAGCCCCGCCCACCTTTCCCTATGGCCATTCACAAATCAAGCGAGAGCCGGCAACGCGTCAAACGGCTTATTTCTTCTTCTCGGTTGAGCGCTCTCCGACACTACAGTAGAGCATATGCAGCTTTCGGGTTTTGTTTGAAGGAGCAGCCCGGTGACCAGGAGTCATATATGATTCGGTCTGCGCGGAATTGGGACATCGGAGAAGCTAGCTCCAAACCGTGGCTCGCCATTCAAGAAACGAATCCCGTCGAATAACAGATGAGGAGGGTAACTTAAATAAGAACGGGTCGATAGTGACAATCGAAATGGAAACGCGGGGGGGGTGATTCGGTGGGCCGTTCCCATCTTCCCATCCCAAGTATTCTTACGCGGATTGCTCGGGCGATGCCATTCCTAATCGTCCCAAGAACCTGGACTGCAGTTAGTTAACTTACCACGTGCGTCAATGCGGCAACATAGGGCTAACAATGTGGGATCAATTAACTTACCCGCCATGTCGGGAATCGGGCTACGACCAGAAATAGGCATGTCGCGAATGTGAGCCGCAGGTTACGGCGGCAGGGTATGGCTCCGACAATCCATGGATTACTTGCAGCCGCATCTCTCGCAATCCTGGCCTGCCCTGACGGTTCTCAATCCGACGTCCTGGGGTGAGGCTAGTTGTTTGCTAACGCCGCCCCCGATGTCCTTCTCCACCGTTCACTACCGGGCCCACAGCTTTGTTCCGTTCCCCATTCTTACTTCTAGTTTGTAGATCCCATTGTTGCGGTTAGGCAGGCGGGTAATCGGATAATCTACCAAATCGCAAAAGCTCCATACAAAATTGCCTATTTGGGTTCTGGGCGTCCCGCTCGCAACATTCCGGATATCCGAACGAGTGGGCAAAAGGGACGGTGAGACGACGGCTGCAGTGAGACGAGGCGCAAGACATCCAAACTCCTTGAGCCGCTTTCTCTTTCCTAGCCGAGCCTTACCGCTGGCAGCTCTACGGCTCAGGTCGTCGTCGTGACGGTCAAGTCGGGAACCCTGCGTGGGTGGATTCTGCCACGGCCAAGATGAAGCTCGACCGAGGAGGCATCAAAGGCTCAATTGACATTCTTGTTCTCTTGAGCCGGACGCCAACGCCATGCCACGCCATGATCAGTCTATACTCTCGGATCCACAAAACTGCAAGATTATGCCTTGTCGCTGCAGCTCTTTCTCCCGACCAAACTGAAAATGCCGTCCAACACGCTGCCGTTTACGATCCCTCGTGTTTCATCTTCACGTCGTCTCCAGCGCCGGCGGCTGATACATACTTACTCCCTGATTATGCATGCATCTTGGATCCTTCGCGTCATGCTTTAATCTAAGACACGTGGATGAATTCCCCCCCCCCCCAGCGGCTGCCTCCTGTGTCGGCTTGCAGCCTGGGCTGCTTATTTGTGTAACACCATCATCCTCGCTCACTGGCCATGCGCAATCCTCTTGTCCGTCCGCGCCGCGGCAACGATGGACCAGGCGGAGATAAACGTCATGCCCTGTAGGATGATGCTATTTTGGAAGCGCTTCCCAAGAGGTTCCTATTTTGGACTCGACGTTATCTACGTACCTGATCAGCGGCGTGTACCGCGGCCATATTTCTGGCCAATAATGATGCGAAGCCGTCAATGGTCAGCTCCCTGCCCCAACAGCCGCTAGGATTTTGAAGTTGGTCCGGGGTTTTCTCGACGGTTCGGTGATGGCAGTTCATGTGGTTCATGCAGTGACGTTGCAGTCCCGCCTGGTCTCACCGCAGAACCAAGAACAAACGGACAGTTCCAAAACATTTTTTTTACAAGGTTGATGCCTCAATTATGACTAGACGTGAACTGAATAGAGTGCAATGGACAGATGCCATAGTATCTTGAAGAAAAAATATTGCGCCAACCGGATTATTCGCAAATCTCCCTCCATGTGAAGGTGACTTAAATAAAGAACAATAAATAGGCGATGCATTCCTTCACTTCTTGGACACGTCACGGAAACATCGTCACCGCAGGTCGACCGCCTCATCCGGCATCAAGTACAAGAAGCCAAAAAAAAAAAAAAAAAAAAAAAATTCCTCTCCCTCTCCTCCATGATTATTCCTTTGAGAAAATTAGCCTACTCATAGGCTGTGAACAAACAAGCCAGGTAGTGCTAGTTAGTGCAGCCGTGCAAATGTACAAAACCGATGGTGGGTCGTCTCTCGCATAACAAAGCGGTTCAACCGCGGCGTCATACGGTCAGATCCAAAGGAGTACATCAAAGTAGTATCGACAATTGTTGGTTCGTCTTCGGGCGTCAGGTTACCTCGTGGACTGATGAAATCTGCAGTCAATGTGCGAAGAGGAGAGTCATATTTTCCCCGAGATTTTGGGGGCTGTATCAACAAAACCGGATGCCACTTTTTCTTGGCCCACCGTGCTGGGGGCGCTGAAGTTGCAGTCAAGGCTAATTGCCAAGCTAAGCTTGCAGGGGAAAAACCGGTGTGCTGAACCATGTATACAGTTCCAGCCTGCTCCATGTTGGATGTCGGGATAAGCTTTCGGTGTAATATTCTCAGCGTGGCCTCTTGTTAGTGGTATTGTCGAAATAATACAAGACAGAATCCATATCGGATTCGGCCGTTGCCGTCTCGACTCCTACCTCGGACCACTCCCATTGCCCTCCAGACAAGGGTCCAGACATGTCGAAATCCATGACCCCGTGCATCTGTGGATACCAGGCGTTGTGCATGTCAACCAGCTCGGAGACACTGAGATGGTCTCCCGCGGGCGCACCGAGGGCGTTTGGGTCAAGTACAGTGTGGAATAGCTCGTCTGCAGCACTCCAATCATGTTTGTGGAGCTCATCTATTGGTGTGTAGGGGACGGAGCCTTTCACCGGGGCTGAAGAAGGCAGCGATGGGTGCATGGATCGCGGAAGCACCGATGTGTCCATGGCCGGGATGAACGAAGACTTGGAATCAATGACAGTAGCTGTTGCTGTAGACATGCAGTCTGATTCGGGACCCGGAATGATTGAGGGACCATAGTGAAGAGGGGATTGTGGCATAGAATTTCCAGACCTGCTGCTGTCGTCTGGAGATGATACTCCAGAAGATGCAGACCCGCATCCAGTCCCGTCAAAGGCTCGTATGCAAGCCTTTAAGTGCTTTCGGACCAATCTCAGAGACCTACCCTGATTCAGGAAGTCATTTTGACTGGTCGTGTATAGCTTCTTGGCCAACAAATGCAGCCTGCTGTCGTAAGTGTGCGTCATGGGCGAATCCATCAGCCAGGTCCCCATCTTCTTCTTCGTGTGAATGTGATGAAGCCCCCGCCCGCAGGTGTCCAATGCCAGACAAAACAGCTCGGGGAATGAGGATCGGAGTGATGGTGTTAGGCTAAATAGGTCTTGGGGCTGCTCTGAAATGACCGTGAAGATCTGCAAGATCTCTTGGCTAGAGGCACAGAATCTGTCCACCACTTCGGCTGGAACCCCTTCTTCAGCTTGGTCCTGTGGCATAACTGGGAACAGAAAGTGAATAGCCATGACATGGTAGACAAGTAGAACTAAGCTTCTGGACGATGTCTCCGTGACCTGCCTGTTGAGAATATGAATGCTCTCCATCAAGACTCGGTTGATCTCACGGCAAACTGATGCCACGTCCTGTGAAGGCTTGCCCTGTTGAATGCGTTGCAGTGCAAGTAGTGGCTGTTCTTGCCAAAACTCTGTTTTCGGGGACTCTGTCGTGTCGGTTTCATGTGGGTAAAGAGCAAAGATGTAGGCAATAACACTGGCAATGTGGGCGAGCGGCCACATTTCCCGGATGACGGATTTCTGTTTCTGCAATGTGCTGAAATTTTCGGACACCATATCTAGTTGGATAATCACAGATGATGCTTCGGTCACGGGAAGGAATATAGAGGTTAAAGAAGTAGGCAGAAGACCAGAGAAATAACCGTTGCCCATCTGGATAAACGCCCAGAGGCTTAATGAATAGGTAGTCCAGTAGAGATAAGCCACTATCTCCTTTTCAACATCGAATACGTCAATCCCATTTATTCGACTAGAAGTCAAAGGAGCCGCGGTGCTGGAGATTTGCTCTTTAATTTCGGTGGCAATCCTGCCCGCAAGGCCAATATAGCATGTGGCACGGCGAATCTGGAATGAGCACAAGGCATTCCAAGCCAAAAGCATCAAAGCTTGAGCCGTTGAGATGCCGCTGAATATTCGCGTCGAGATTCCACTGTACTGCGCGGCGCCGCCTGAGGAGAATTGGTTGGATCGAAGAGGTCGTGTCCGCAGCTGCGCCGTGGCCCATCGGAGCAGAACGTGGCCGCGGGCCATTGCGACCTCGTCACCGATGCTGAAGTTGGCGTCAGCCAGCATGGCGGCGAGGAGGATTTCATCGTGCGTTCCGTCACGGAGTTCTCTTAGGAGTAGCGTCTTGGAGACAAGGAATGATAGTGGGTGTACAGAGAACCAGACATCGATTAGCTGCGTCTGTTGGCGTTGGCCATACTCGGAGAGCGGGTTTCCACTCAACGGACTGTTGTCGAACATGGTCTGAGTCTCGTCGCTGATCAGCCCAGAAAGGAAGAATCTGGCCCCTCCATCTTCGACATGATGGCAACCGAGTGAGCCGAATGGGTCCGTTATCAGACCGACAAGATCATGTGTTAGCAGATGGAGGATGCCGGTGTACTTGACATTCTTGGGGTTGAACTTGGCGGCCATGGCTTCGGGGCGTTCTTTAACGGAATTCTGTATAGAACGGTGATAGGCTGCAATCTTTTCCTGCCATGAGTTAGATCGTGGACCAACATCTGTAGAAAAGTTCTCATAAAACTTTTGTTCCAAGACTAGGGCGATGTTGTCAAGGTCGTCCATTGGCATGGGCTCCTCCGAGAGTGTGCCAACAGAGCTCGCATTTGGCGATGTGCTGCCAGTGGAGGACCTTTGTCGACCAGAGACTCCATCAGATCGCGTCGTTGGATCTGATCGAGGGCTGTCTTGGCTGAGCCGAGTCTTGGGGCGAGGAGGTTCAAAGTCATATATACAGTCTGCTCCCTGCCTTCGACATGCTTCACAAATCGTCTCATTGGAGCACTTGATCTTGCGGGCACGACAAAATGCGCACGACCGTCTCAAGGGGTGTTTGGAAGCCATTGCTGTGCAGTGCCGGTAATTATGGTAAATGATGTAGTCTGCAGCAGGTGAGGATCATACGGCTCGGACAGGCAAGGAGATGGTAGGTATCGAGCAAAACGGTCTGTGCCCATCAAAGTGTTGGAGGTGTGCGATATAGCCGAGCAAGCGGCAAGGCAACTAGGAGTATGGTTGAAATGCCAGGGCGAAAGCCAGGTTTGGACCGGCTATCCAGACAATCCAGCTTGAAGGCAAAAGGGAAGCAAAGAAATTGTAATCGGGACAGCAACAAAAGACGAGGGAAGATAGGGCCTTCGCTGCTCCGGGGATTTCTGGTCGTAACAGTAACATGAAGAGAAGCGCAAGCATTGATATCAAAGGGGATTCTGGATATTCAAGTACTCGCTGTGCTTCAGCTTCGATGTGCGTTGGATTACCACATCCCCTCACTACCCATCGAGTTATGTAAGACACACGCCCGTCTGCATGGTCGACTGGATGGGATTGTGCCTTTGACGGCCAGGCGCGAGGTCGACCCATGTTTGGACGTCTGCCGTGTTCTCGAGGAGGTAAACGGCCAGGCCAGAAAGTCGCGCCGACATGACCATCCTCGAATAGACGCTCCTTGAACCTGTCGAGCTTGTCTTGGCAGCCCATTGTACCACGGACTATGGCGGTGGCCGTGACGTTCCCGATAATCAGGATCTTCACCCTGGTGTAACAAAAGCGTCTCTAGTGCCGAGCCGGTTTGGACGTAATTGTGTGTGGTGGATGTGTCTACCTTGCTCCAAGTTGAGAGGGACTCGTTGAGCGTCAACAACGCAGTTCAAAGGGGGTGGATCAAACAAAAGGGGGGCGGTTGGGGGTGTGAGAAGTTGAGGGCCGGCAGGGCAACAGGAAGAAACATGGAAGGGGCCATCCGTCCGTACAGGGGAGTCAACGGTGTGGCCTCAGGTGACAGCTTCCTGCCCCACAGTACTCCGTTGAGACATGGGGGAATGTAGCTCAGAGTTTCCCGGCCCCAGTGCCAGCTTTTTCTGACTCCTGCGCCGTCATATCATCTCACTCACCCATAATTACGGCTAATAGGCCTTGATTACGAGCTTGCCAGCGCCGCCCTACGCCAGACACCATAATACTGCAAGCTGCCTCGGGATGGTGGATGGCCTCATCTGCCGCGCGGTAAGTGGGCATTCCGCTGCCGTGCTTCGGGTCTCAGCATGGCAGCCAGGGCATCAGATTTGTTCAGCACATGCAGGATTCGACATCGAAGCCGGGCCCGTGCCATCGCTATCTGTCCGTACCTGGATAGTTCCCATAGTCTTACCTTTACCCTATTCTGTCTGGTCAAACAGCCTCAAGCTGATGGGATTGATAGGATTCGGCTGTCAATTAAGCCTGGTATTGCCAGTTGGGCACCCGAAGAACCGCTTCCAACGCCACCAGAGCCACCCGTGCCAGAACTTCGAAGTTCCAGGCAGCAACAGCCCCCTTTTCAACATATGATGATGTCATCGCAGGCAGCAGACACTCCGTATGTGGCTGTCTCGTGCTTGATTGTACTGAAGCTGTAATCACAACGAAGGATGAGTTGGGAAACGCCCGGCGCCTGAAATTCTACGAATTCCCGAGCTCCCGCTCTTTCAATACGAGAAAGCACCTGAAGGCCATGACCAATGGCGCAGCATTGGTCCAATTCTGACGGCGTCTAAATACCCTTTCGTTTGTTGTCAAACATCACTACACACCAATTGTCTACGAGGGAAAACAGCAAGGCAACGGGCTTTCACCCCGAGTTATGCGTTCTACGCCCAGAGCGCCAGAAACTATGAGTGGAACTGAAGAAATAAATTAAGCCTGACCAAGAGTTAGCACGGGGCGAAGACAATCCTGGTACTGCATAAACACAATAAGACACCCATCCACACGCAAGAGGCGCTCATCGACGCCAAGGGGAACCACCCGGAAGCCACACCCCAGCTGCTTCATCCTATGACCCTGAACAATCCTTGCAGCCCTCCACGCTCACCAGGTTATACTTTTTTCCCTGCCGGTTCAATCATCTGGGATGTCCAACTTGAGCATATCTCGGACTGAGACGGCGTATTATTATGCCTTCTTCTTTCCGGGGCCAGGCGGTGTACCCAGAGCGGTCACAATTGGCTGGTACTTGTACAGCCAACCCAAATACTTTATCCAGAACCATGTGGGCACGATGGTGTAAAGTAGCCATCTAACGAGTGGACCGGTGCCGTACGGCAATCTCGCTGTATGCAGCAGAGCGAAGTTGTCGCTAAATTTTGACAAGTCTTTGGTTCGAGGCTCTCTGATCTTTGCGTAGGTAGAAAGAATCAGTTCAGAATCCTCAGCGAGGGTCTTGCGATTCTCAGCCATCAGGTTGCCCAACACGGCGGCATCTTCAATGGCTTGACAACCGCCTCTGTTTCGCGAAGATGGTGTTAGTGTATTGTTCTTAAGTAAGATTTCCCCACGCTTCACGGTATTTGCGTTTTCTGAGCCTCCCATGTAGAAGAATGAGGCAGGGATAGGCAACTCACTGTCCAAAAAAGCTCGTCATACTATGAGCCGCTATAATCGTTAAAACGAATTGTCAGCAACGGCACGTCTTTCAGCAAAACGTGTCTAACAGGGATGTGATGAAGCGATTGGGGCTTACCGTCACCTAAAAGTGCCACTCTTCCATTGTGCATGGACGGAAATTCCACTTCCTGGAAGACGTTACTGGCAATAAGCCTCTCCGATTTGTCAATGACTACAAGTGGTCAGCTTCGGTAACCTGGACTGTTTCTGCTGCACACCCCCTTGACAAAGAGGTTCTGCGCCGGGACGCTGGAGACGTTCTTACTGCTTCCAAACTGACCTCCCTCCGCAAATGGATGGAAAGCCCGTCGGTATACCTTCTTGATGTCTTCAGGCGTGATAGAACCCCACACGGAGCGGTTCTTATCGACGTCACCGTCCGCCTTCTAAACCACGATCAAGTCAGCAAACCATGTAGATCCTCATGTTCCATAGCTTATGGGCTAAGACAGGTCTCGTGTGATATGTTCGATGCAGTTTGCCTATGTTTAGGCCTAGAGCTTCATACATCATCTCCGAATTCGAGGACACGAACGGAGGTCCGGCCACGTCTCCCTAACTTGCCCTCGATCGCCAGATGAAGTGGGATTTCGACTGAGAAGACGACTTGATGTAGGACACTTTCACCAAATGGTAATCTGAACTGACCTTGACCCCAATGTACCATTGCCTATTATCCTTGCACGGCCAGGTTGTGAGAATGGTTTGATCGTAGAGCATCCAGTTGGCCACGCCAAGCTCCTCAGGGCCACAGTTGGGAAGCGGACTGGTTATTCCAGAAAAGTGTACACGTCCAGTGAACTGTATGGTATTGGCCGGTGCGTCGTGAGTAGTGTTGCGCAAGAGGGCTCGTCGGACAGCTGAGCGGATGCCATCTGCTCCGACAACAAGGTTTCCACGATACTCTTTTTCACCGTCAACAATGACGCGCACTGGCTCGCCGGGTGTGTCGACAATATCGACAACCTTGGAGCCAAGAACTACGTTCTCTTCCTCGCCAGCCGCCTTATAAAGAAGTCTGTGGAAGTTGTGTCTCTCAGCAGACAGGATGGGGTAACCATAAGTCGGCTCCAACGAGTCTAAGCTCAAGCTATTCCACTGAGTAGCATTGCGCCAGATCTGTAGTTTTCGCAGCTTCTGGGCCGTCTCCTGGAGCTCTTCATAAACACCAATTTGATCAAGAACCCGAAGAGCGTTGGGCGCCAGAGAGATCCCTGCACCAACGGGCTGCAATACCTCGGTTCTTTCCAAGACTTTGTAGGTGATGCCCAGTCTTTTGCAGATCGCAGCGAGTGTGAGCCCACCAATACCGGCCCCAACAATGATGACTTCAGCATCGACCTTGGACATGATTGACAAGTATTGATATCAAGTTGTGCAAAAGACGCAAGGGGCGATGAATGGAGGGAGAGCTGGATGGGGGTTAAGACTGATACTGTTGGAATGTTTCCGGCGAATGAATAGAATGTGCATTTGCTGCTTGATTTCTTGTTGACGATGAACTCGACAAGCCTATTTGTAGTATGTTACAAGCTCGTAGACTGCTGCTGGACTCGTGCGATGGCGTCTTGGCCGATGGAAGGCGGAGGTTCAAGCATGCAATACGGCGGATGGAGGGGGATTGTCCGGGTTCGCAGGCGGAAAGCGGACACATGAGTCAACTTCGACGAGTCCTTTCGGACCACTGATGTAATATTCGGAGCTTTACGGAGCCTTGTACATGAGATATTTGATGATGGAGTGGTGCGGTAGTGGCACTGATCGTTGTCAACAAGATCTTGATGTTGGACGTAGAGCAGCTACAGCAACTTTACATTGACGTAGAGACGACGTAATGCATGCGGCGACGAATGCAAACATGTCAGACCGTCGCTCATGAGCCTGTGCCCTCATTCACAGAGCTGCTAAAAAGAAGAAGAAGATTGGTAGACCTATAAGGAATGTCTATTTGCACAACTACGTTGCCTCGAGTGCCAACTTGTGGATTACCATGATACCAATCATGAGAACATCTTATTTATCTGCGACAGGCGATGAAGAAATATTTCTACTATATCAAGGCTGTATCTAAGGAATTTTTCACATCGACTTTTTTTGTCTCATCGTAATACATTTTTTTAAGGGACGCCAGCTACCCTGCACCAACTACCCTTTTAGTGCAAGCGCCGATTGATGACTAACCACTTCTTTGGGCAGCTTTATGGAATTGCTGTACTGAGGAGACGAGCGCATTACTTGACGGATTCATTTCCAACCACGTTTCTGTCTAGGCGACCATCAGGTGACTGCTGCCCCGACCACGCGTGGCTGTTCCCCGAGAGAGCAACACCCACGTCGAGTCTCGCCATGCGCCATGTTAGGTCGACGAGTCGACGCGAGGGGATGGCCTGCCGTACTGATCAGCGCAAACCTTCTCTGTTTGCGATGTGAGACGAGCTTACCATTCCATATCGGCAATGCCAACCCGATTCTTCTCAAAGTCGAGAATGATGTACTTATCCTTGGCGAATGTCTCGCCAAAGGTACCAATGCTGTGGACGGAATCACCCGGTCAGCTCTGGTCAAACGACGTTCCAACGCGAACGCCTTTCGGTTGGGACTCGACTCACAACTTATCACCGCTGGCAAGAACTCGCACGTTGAGCACACAAGAACCGTCCTTCATCCTCTCGACATACATTTCGGGAGTGACAGCCCATTCTCGGCTACTGCCGCTGAACTTGTACTTGATGCTGGGGAACGACGTGAGCTTGGAGCAGTCGACGGAGAAGAACTTCTGGGGGCCATTGTTGGGGGGCTCCTTGAGATCCACGGGCTTTCCGCCGGTGATTTGGGCCAGCCTGGCGTAGGCGTTTGGCGTCAACGGGATGCCGCGACCGTAACTGGCGTGGTCAAAAATGGCCCCCTTGCCAGAGCTGTTCGAAGTAGGCTCAACCTTCTGGACCTCTGTACCGATCCTAAGGCCCTCAAGCTCGACGCCCCAGTAGTTGTACATGGGAGGGCTATACACAAAGGCTAGCGTGTTCATATCGGGGTATGGCCTCACATTGTACCACCAGATCTTTTGGTCCTTGATCAGATCGCGGCGGATGCCGCCCAAGGTCTGGATCCCATCGTGCCCGTTGCAAACCGACTTGCGGGATTTTTCATAGCAGTACACAAACCCGGTCAGTGCTGTCCTCCAGTGGCCATTCTTCCATTGCTGATAGTAGGCGGACTGATAGTCAACTGGAGGCGAAATCAGCAAGCACAGCTCACCCTGCACAATGGAGGCGAGGCTTCCATCTTACCGTCGTCGCCACGAAAGACCGGCGACATGCCAAAGATGCCCGTGAAAGGAAATGCGGTCCCATACTTGGCGGACATGTTGAATTGGAGGTCTGTCAACTGCTGCACGGCTTCACCGGTAACGGGCCCAATATGCATCAAATCTGAGCCATACTCAATGTTCATGGGGTCTTGCATGAAAAAGTGGTTGGGCTTCCATGAGCGGTCTGCATACTCGTTTGTCAAGTTCTTGAACGACGTGGAATTGCGAGGATCCCAGTAGATTTGCTGGGGATCGAGGCAGAGGCTCGGATCCCACCGGCCATAGCACAACGGCGTGGTCACGATGTGGCTGAGCCAAGTCCAGTCGACGAAGATTTTGTAATCGAATCTGGGCGATCCGACACCAATCTTTGAAACGAAGCCAAACGGATCCCAGTCAAGCGGCATGTCATACTGAGCTCCTCGTGGATTCAGGGAACTAGGTCTATCGTTCCATGTCCACACGCCAGCGGGAGGAACGGCGGCCGGCACTGCGTGGGCAGCCCCGAGGAGGAGGATGTAAGCAGCCAAATTAGCCCTCTGCGGCATTGCTGCTGATGCCTAGCTAACAAAAACGTTTAGCTCGTGGGCGTAGCACGTGGCGGTTCTGAGCGAAGCATTCCGTTGCCGCCAAACCCGCATCGAGAACCGACACGGACAGCAGAGCAATGTAGCAACTTACTTTTCTGTGTTCTGACTGGTCAGTCGATGACGGGTGGCTTGTCCTCTTGAGATCCGGCGTACCGCTACCACGTGGGTGACGAAAAGACAGATGCAACGCTTCAATCGTGCTCTTGCACTCTCTTTCGATTCTCGCGAGCTTTTTGCCACTCGACGGACTTCAGAAACATTCTGACGGAGACTCCCCGTCCTCTTGTACTCCTCTCGAGCCCGGCCAGCTCTCCGTCCAAGAGTGGCAGTAAGCCTTGGTTCGCCGCCGCCTCCGCGGGCTGGCGGAAGGACAAGCCCAACCCCAGGATTATCATGATCCACCACCACCATACAAGGAGATGTCTTCAATCGGGCGCGGGAAGATGTGGATCTTTCGCCATACCCGCACTTGTTCAGTGAGAACAGGGGACGCACGTTCTGCCTTCCTGCTCACGCCACGATGGCGGACCACCTTGGCCGTACACTCGCCTCACCCTCGTGTGCACTTCATCTTGATTCTTTGCCACCCACGAGCTACAGCAGCGTACGCCCGCTGGACTACATGTGGAGTTGACTCAGTCCGGACCTCCTCCCGTGGATGGCCAGCGTGCCTCCGATTCGAAAACGGGCCCCGGAGCTTTGTCTGGGACGTTGTCCGCCTCCGCCGCACGCACCACGCATTCACGAAGGCCCTTCTGTGGCCACTGACTGCACATGGAGCTGGCTCAACGGGTTGCGCCGAGGGCTATTTCCCATTTGGGCTGCAAGCTCTCCCACGCAGCTGGGTAGCTTGACGCGCCGTTGACAGAGAGATGGATGGGCCATCTCCGCCTCCTCGTTTCTAGACACGTACTCGAGACTCACTTACATCGCTCTCGGCATTCGCCCGTATGCTCGTGGTGGCGAATTGATGGGGGTGTTATAAAGTTGGAGGCCTGGAAGGCGGGAACACATGAGTTGGATTTCAAATCCTCAATCGTTTCCTTTCATCCACAGTCTTAGAATCGCTGGCCGCAGCTTTTGATCAACCTCTATCGTTCATTCCATGCCTTTTTAGATCTTGGATCTTCAGGGAGTAGGGCTTCTCTCGCGGGCTACTGGCCTCCCAAAAAATTTGTGTAATACGTTCAACCGGCCTGGATTGCCCGTTGTTCACCGGAAAGTCATCACAACAACACGGTTCCTCACATTGACATTCATTTGGCTCTATTTGACAAGGCAGACATTCCCAAGCCCTTGTATCATTTTTATTTTGTATTATTGTCTTCTTCCATTCTTTCGATCTCATTTTTTTCATCTTTCCTGGTCGAAAAGTCGTGCCGGCTTGCATTTCTTTTGAAAGGCACCGCGTGTTTATTGTCATGCTCAACCCGCCATGGAAGTCATTGCTTTGATCCAGGGCGATGAGATGTCTAATCTTACCCCTCTGTTCCTTGTACATGCCATTTCTGGACTTGCCCTGCCCTTTTTACACCTGGAGTCTCTAAGTGATGACGACAGACCTGTATACGGCATCACGAATCCTATCCACTGCCCCGGTGGCCATGGCTTCAAACCTCCCTCCAGTCTCAAAGATGTGGCTGCCTTTTATCTCGACGGCATTCGTGGAATCCAACCTGAAGGGCCGTACCTCCTGGGGGGGTGGTCCATGGGTGGCATGATCGCCATGTTCATGGCGCAAATGCTGGAGGCTCAAGGAGAAGAGGTTCACAAAGTCATCATGATTGATTCTGTCAATCCCGAAGTCTTCCCCGAATTCGAAAGCGCGGAAGAACATGGTGAATTTGTCAAAGCCACCTTTGAGCGCACTATTTCGGCTGGTGGACTACAATCCGACGATGAGGGCGACGGCGACGGCGGCGGCGACGACGACTTTCCCGTCTCGTCCGCCGTCGACGACACCCACGACGCGGGCGACTACGTCGCGACTCGGTCTCGGCGCTCTAGTCTCTGCAACAGTCCCTCAAGCTCGGGGACATGGAGTGCTCGATCCAGCGCAGCCAGCATCTTCGACGCCAACAGCCCCTTTATGTCTCCGAGGTCTCCGAGGTCTCCCCTTTCCGACGATTACTTGACTGATGACACTGATTGCAGCTGCGACTCTGACTGCGATGAGCCGCCCGGCATGGAAGTCTTCTTGCAAAACATCAAGACCCATATCCATCGCGGTCTCGATCTCGTCTCCAGCGTCAAGCCCGGCGACCTCTTTACCCCCGGGACCAAGTCCGATTTCGACGCCATCCTCGTCAAGTGCACCACGAGACCTGTCGACGTGGAAAGGAAATACAAAGAGCATGCGGGTGCTCAGCTGATTGAGACGGTCATGCGAGAGCAGAACATGCGATGGAACCCTCTACAGTTTCGCAGCTTCCAATCCATCCCATTCAGCGGCGACCACGACAGCGCGTTTCAACCGCAATTTGTTGGAGAACTGAGTGCCATCCTGCGGGAGTGCATTGAAGACGTCGAGTAGCTCGATACCCCCGGCAGCATGAAGGATTGCGATTACAGACCCAGACATTTCGGGCCCATCTAGAATCTACACGTTGGACGCATGACGAAAGGTCTCCAAACATGCACGGCGTGAAGTGGGGGTGTATTCCTTTTATTTTTCTCTTCTTATTATTTATTGTGTTTGGGCATACGCTGGCGTCGGCTTCAAATTTCGTCCCTGACCATCTTTCATATATCTTGACGGAGGAACGCACAACGTAATGGTGTACTGGTCAGACAGTTCGTTGCCCTCAACGCTAGCTTTTCGTGAAAATAGGCTTCCTTGAATCGAGAACCTCGTCTTCTTCCCAGGCAACAACCAATTGCAGTTCAATAAGTTGCTGCGCCGGGCTTCTCAGCTTGACACTTGGGGTGGTGTTTGCCATCCCAGAACGATGACGTCTCTTCACCTCTCCCTCCGTGAGCCCGCGCCGGTCACGCCATCTCTTTGGCATGCGTCCGCCGGCTCGTAACGGGTCCGGGGATTTGCAAGCCCCCCCTTCCTTCGCAGGGATGTCGCTCTCAAGGTCACCTGAGTGACAGTCATGTACGCTCTCCGTTCGCCGACGAAGCCCCCAACCTTGCGTGACAGCTTCAGCCCTACCAGGCTACCACCCCCCCCCGGCCCACGGGGACTCAGACTTGAGCCACTTGCCAAGTCCCCTGGTCAATAGCGACTGGGTAAACGGTGCAAGCGCCCCGGCAGCCCGGACCTCAGACAAACGCTGGCACGGCCTGGCCGCCGCGTCGCCGATATGAGTCGGAGAGTTGGCGTGCGGCCTCGGCACATCACCAGGCCAATCCGAACGAGTCTGACGGCTCAGCACCTTCTCGCTTTCGGATGTCCGGAACACGCCATGGAAAAAAGGGCCACATGTTTCATTGACTCGGGGCCGCGGTTGGGGGTGAGATGGGTCCCGACTCCCGGGGGATGCTGTCAGCAGTGCCAGCACCGCCGTTTTCGATTTCTACAAGTCTCGGACACTGGGAGTAGGGCCCTCGTCGGTATTCACGAGCAAGGTGCTGTATGTTCTCCTCGACCGCCTGGGCTGGGCTGGGTTCTTGTACGCCGTCGGCAGGTATGGTGGGCGCGCGCCCCCTTGGATACAGGCGAGGGAGGACAAGGCCGTGGCATGGCAGGATATCAAGTATGCCTTGGCTCAATTATGTGATCAAGAAGATGCCGCTGAGAGTTTCTGGCCGTGTGACGCTTGAGATGCGGACACCTCGTATACCTTGCCGCGTGCAGGACCGAGACGCATGCAAGTCGTGAAGGAAAAAGAGGCACAGCGGCTTTAATATTTAGCTCTTTCTAGGGTGTCGTGTGAATCATGTTGGTCTGTATTACCAAGTAATAAGAGAGTGGAGAGTGAAGGAAAGCATTTGCCTACACGCAGTCATATCATTGGGAAGCTGGAAGCTCTGCTCATGCGGACGCGCACGCCGCCCCGAAGCCAGGGCGTTCCAACCTTGTCAAAGTTGAGATTCGAAAAGTCCGTCTTTTCCGGAACATGCTGGGTTTCCCAACAAAAGTCGTATTCCCGGAGAAGTGTGGCCACGGTCTTGGTCACGATTATCATGGCCATCTTCTCCCCGACACACCTGTGGCTGCCGCCGCCGAAGGGAAGGAACTTGACGCCATCCGTCTTGTTATCCGCTAGAAGCGTCTCTCCTTCGTTCCCGATCCACCGCCGTGGATTCCAGACTTGGGGCTCGGGGAAGTTCGCTGGGTCGAGGTGGGTGAGGTATGGACTTATGGACACGACTGCTCCCTTGGGGATGCTCACGTTGGGCCCAGGGATGTACACGTTCTCGCGAGCCAGGCGTAGAAGCTTGACGCCGCAGTAGAGTCTGGTCGTTTCCTTGATGCAGGCTTGGAGGAGAAGCGACTCTTGCCCCTCGGGCTTGGAGCGCAACTCGGCCGTCACCTGCTCCATGACGTCGGGATGGCGCAGAAGCTGGGGGTCGGGACTACGTTAGTTGAAGGGCATGGCGACTGCCTCCTACTCGCTCCACTTACAGCGATTATGGTCCAGGAGATACTGGCCGCAGTGCTGGTATGGGCAGCAAACATGAGCATCGTGTGGTGACTTGGCATGAGAGGCTCAAGCGGCACCGTCGCGTCATCTTCCATGGTGAAGGCAACGTAGTCCCGCAGAGGCCGGGCCCGACCTGTCCCGCTGCTATCCCTAGCCCTCTCGCGGAGCCGTTGGGTAAATATTTCCTTGAAACGGTCTCGTGCCCTGTGCAGGCGGCGGGCGGGCGGGTGAGGCACCCAGTCCGGCAGGATGAAGGACAGGAGACTGCCAATGTCGGCCTCCATGGAGTGCAGTAGGTCAAACAACTCCAGGACATTGTGCTCGTAAAAGTCTTGGCCCATGAAAGACCGGACGATGATCTTGTGTACAAGGTAGGAGACCGTGTCGAAGAGCTCGAAGCCGTGCCTCGACGACCACGCGGCTGCGGCCCTTTGCGTCTCCTCGACAGACACTGCGGCAGCGTGTCTCTGTGCCGGGCCGCCGCTCACGTAGCGACTGAGTGAGGACAAGAGGGTTCGGTAGTGACTCCAGTAGCCGCGGTCGATGATTTTGTTGAGGAACAACCCCTGATGGATCACGGTACTCAGTCTTGACTCTTGACTCTTGACATCACGGCAGAGGCTGCGGCCGTGACAAGTGTCTTACCATGCCGCCAACGAAGGACCAGACGTCTTCACGCGTCTCGAGGTATACTTTGTTGAGACTGTTGCCGCGCAGCCAGACATTGTACACTGACAGAACCTGGATGCTGAACACATCGCCGCACTGTCTCGTGGCCTTTTGCAGGAGTCGGATGGGCGTCGTGGCGAAGTCTCGGGCGTCACTGAGGAATGCAAAGCACCCTTGGCTCTTGTATCGGGGCAAAGAGGCCGTCGAGTTGCGTCCGCTCAAGGCCAACACGGCAGCAGCAGCAGCAAGCACGATGGCGGCCGGGACGAAGAGTGCCATGGTGATGGCGCCGGTGCTGGTGCTGGTGCTTGTACGCAACAGCCTTGTAGGGCTGCGATAGTTTTATTTGCGATTTATTCAGAACTCTGTGTTCCATGAGTGTGTACGTCAAGGTAGGGTCGGATGCTTAAATACGAAATCGAATCACAGGGTGCCGCGCTGAAGAACGGCACTACCAACCTCTGGCGTATTCGAGGCGTATTTCCGTCATTCGATGCCACGGTCTGATGAAAGATATTCGTCTCCGTTGAAAGAGCATGATGCAGCAACACAACGGTCCCATCGGGTCTCCTGTATTGGCACCCCCGGGGAGAGGGGGTGTCTATATCGGTCAACACCGACTTTCCGTGGTGGTGCGGACGGCGAAAACTTGGGATGACTTTTGCGTCAACTCGTCTGCACATCAACTCGCAGTCATGCACAACGAACTGACGCACTTCAGGTTTGCAGGCCCGTGATTGCTCTAGCTTGCGTACGGTTAAGCTGGGCCTCGACAGGGCCGTCAGGCCGCGGGCAAGCCAGCCTGCAATACCATGAGCAACATCTCGGTGAGTTTCTTCCGCCCTGTCTGTCGAGGAGCGTGCGTGGTAAATCGGCGCCCGCTTGGTCTCTGATAAATCTGCGACGACGAAAATATTCGCGCATGGCGATGAGCGACGAAAAGTCAGCACTGCAGGGTCAGACTGGTGTGTAGTTAATCCTGGTTTAGCTCTTCGTCGCCATGGTGCCGAGTCGCACGGCAATCATACGAGGCATGAACATCATCGCCACCCATCGTAAACTCGGCTTCGTTCCATCATTTCGTCCTCCCAACAGCCAACAGAACAGCTCGAGTACAGATTTTCAAACATACCTCCCGAGGTATCCCGGCAAGAACCATACCCAGGGAGACACCCCTTCGCTCCTTCTTTGGTTGAGCAAAGTTTCGCTTATACGCCGTTGCCTCCGTCGCCCGCTTTTGTGTCCGTCGTTTCCTCTGCGAAATGCTCCTCTGAACAGCACTCGAATGTGGAGAAACGATGCTTCGACACAATCCGGGTGTCAGCAGTTTGTATTCTTAATTGTATTGTGTCTTGTTTCTCATTGTCACTGGCTGCCTGCGGCGCCGTTCCCTCGTCCGTTCGATCCGTCCTCCTTCATCTCTTCAGCATGTATCCCTCAACACAGCCTCTAAGATCCCTTGTCTGGCATGAATCGACATTATTTTCACCCTAGTATGGCTTGCGGACGACTCAGGTCGCGATGCAACACAACGAATCATGATGACACCCGCGTCCTCCCATCGACGACGCTGTCGTCTCCTGACGGAGAGACGGACGAGCCTCAACCCGGATCAACGACGATAACAATCGATGTCTCATTTTCTTGGTTGCCGCGGAGGATATGGTCCAGGGGCAGGCAGGGTTCGTTGCCAGACAGTCCAGATTCAGGCCAGAGTGCTGAGAGCGGCGAGAGCGGGGAGAGCACCGCGAGCACGGTGGATGGCCAACCATCTCATGTCATTATCCCCGATGGCGGTTCGAGGGCCTGGCTTACTGTGACGGGCGGCTTCTTCATCTGTTTCTTCATGTTCGGTGAGTCCTGGGCCTTCAATGTCTCCAGACGTAGGGATGGGCCTGACGTGACAGGCATTTTAAACGCTTTCGGGAGTTTCCAGAACATGTACACTGAAAATGTCGCGGGAGACTTTCCGTGGACGGACGCTTCGCCTGTAAGTGTTTCATAGATTGGCTATACTCAGGTATTTGAAACTGATCGAAGCGTCTGGCTTCACGTGCGCTCACATTTGTCTAGGTTTGCCTTTGCTTTTGCGGCGGCCTCGTGTCTGGGCCCCTGTTTGATAAGTTGGGTTCGCGTCTACCCATGACCATGGGTGCTGGACTCGTCTCTGCGTCCTTGCTAGGTTCTGCCTTCTCTACCGAGTTCCTGCACTACCTGGTCTGCCAGGGAGTCTTTTTTGGTTCAGGCATTGCGCTGCTGTATGTACCTCTCTGTTGTCTGGCGAGGCCGCACAGAGACGTGTCTCTAATACACCACGTTGGCTGCATAGATATTACCCGGCGATGGGCGCCGTCACCGAGTGGTTCAGTACGAAGAGGCCTTTGGCATTGGGCATAGCCGCATCGGGGGCCTCTGTCGGGGGCGTCATTTGGTCGTCAGCTCTGCCCGTGCTGGCTAATCAGATATCGCACAGGATTCTGTTCATAATACTCACGGGCATCGCGAGCCTTCTTCTCTGTCTTGGTTGCTGGCTCACTATAGAACGACAAGGTGCGGCCGGTTACGACGAGTCTAGCGAGCAAGTTCAACCATCTCAACGAACTATCCAGAGCGCCATTTTTGAGTCGCGCTTTGTAGCATTGGCTTCTTCCCTAGTCATTCTCTACACCGGCATTCTTATTCCCTGTCAGCTCCTTGAGGTCTATGCCAAGGAACTAGATATCCAAGGTGAGGTAGCATCTAATCTCATTGCATTCACGTACTCGGGCTCCGTTATTGGAAGAATTGGCTCAGGACTGCTCGCAGACACGCTTGGCTGGTGAGTACAAGGCGTGCTTTGAATTCCTGTAAAGAAAATGGCTGATCAAAGCAGCTTCAACATCCTGGTTTTGACGAGTAGCATGGCCGGGGCGGTGACACTGGCGTGGATACCGCTGCGCTCTGCGGCAGGACTGATTGCATTCTCTGTTCTATTCGGCATCCTCTCAGGCGGCCTTGTACCACTGGCATCTGCTTGTGTGGCACGAACGACTCGGGACATGGGACACATTGGGCTTCGGATCGGCGTCTTGATGGCTTTCTGCGCAGTCGCCGCCCTTGGCAGCGGACCACTAGGGGCTTTCATCCTGCACAAGGCCGGCTAGGTAGCGGTTCAATCATTTGCTTCAGTTGTCACTCTCGTGGGAGCCTCCTGCACTTGGTTGGTGAGGCTGAGGTGGGAATCCCGCTGGCTGGCAAGGGTGTAGCCTGTAGAGTTTCCGAGGGCACATTCGTCTCCTACGGAGGGTTCTGTGACCTGCGAAACAAAGAGGGGGCTCAATGCCTCCACCATGAATATAGCAATAATACCGGGCAGATATTTTCACAAACGGCCAAGCAAGCCCGATCCGTCCATGCGTACCGGCCTGGGTATCTGCGTAATGCATGCATGTCGCCGCCCTCCGCCGGACGTCGGGATCCAGCATACGTTCCGATCGGCGGTGGGCATGTAAAAATGTCACTTGCCTACTGAAAAAGAGAGACTCGGGGGTATTAAACATGGCTCTTTGCAGACGCAGATAGAACAGGAAAGGGTATTCAGGGCATTTCACGCTGTTCCACTCACACTTGCGAATTCCAGGTCCGGGCAGCATCAGGGAAGCGCAGTCACTTGAGCCCTTTGACACACGGGCGGTGCGCATCCACGCACTGACCAATACGCGGCTCTGAAGAGTTTGTCCCATCCGTGATTTACGCCATGAGGGGGTTGCTGGTGTGCATTGCCTCGTGCGCAGGTTTGGCTGCTGCGAGTCCACGGCTGGGTCGCGACCTGCGAGCCTGCGTGGCCGAGGTGCTGGGTGAGGGAGCGGACGGGCGCGTCGTCGGGCCAGAAGAATCGACGTACACCGATGCCCGGATGGGAGAATCGATCCAGTGAGTCGTCTGCCGCCGAGGAGGCGAGATTGGGTCCGGGGCACGAGGCTGACCTGACGGTCGTAGGTTTGAGCAGATGCCAGCGTTGATTGCGTACGCGAGCCGCGCCTCGCAGGTTGCGCCTCTTGTTCGGTGTGCGCGGAGGTCGCGCGTCAGAGCTGTTCCGAGGGCAGGAGGGCACCAGTAAGTCACGGGCTCCTTCCCCCGACAGCAAGTCGAATGTTTGCCGACGGCGACCAGCTTCATGGCGTAGTCTGCCCTCGGCGGCAGCCTCGTCATCGACGTGACGCACATCGACTACGTCCGCGTCTCGGCCGACAAGGCAACCGCCCGGGTCGGCGGCGGGATACGTCTCGGAGCCTTGTACACTGCTCTTCATCACCATGGGCGCGACTGGCCGGGCGGGATCTGCCCCACCGTCGGCTTGTCCGGGTTCCTCGGCGCGGGCGGCTTCAACATGCAGATGCGCACCTTGGGCCTCGGCGTGGACCACGTCGTCGCCGCAAAGGTCGTGCTCGCCAACGGTCATCTCGTCGACGCCTCTGCCAGAGAGAACAGCGACCTGTTCTGGGCGGTGCGCGGCGGGGGCGGAGGCTCGTACGGCATCGTCGTCGAATGGACCCTCGGGCTCTCGCAGTTCCCTCGCTCCTCCATGGTCCGCATCAGATGGGACGAGCCGGAATCCAGGGTCGATCTGGCAACTCGCTTCCTTGAGTGGGCGCCCAGAACGGACCCGGCATTCATGTCCTCTGTCAACGTGTACAAGAACCGGACCGAAGTCTTGGGCTGGTGTCTCGGGTGCGCACTCGACCACGCGAGGGCTCTCATGAACTCGTCCGGCCTGCTGGCCATCGGGAAACCCCAAGTCAAAATCTCGGGAGGTTGTAATTCCGTCAACGCCCGCATCTTCGGGTACGCTGTGGGTGACTGCATCCCAGACGCAGAAGTGTCCAAGTATGCGCCGTTGGCGATGAACGTGCTGCAGCAGCCATTCGCCCGGGTGGGCAAATATCCGACATTCGCATGGAACGAGACTCGTCAGGACCCGAGAGCTCCCCAGGCGCAGCCCTGGCCCAGGTTTAGAAGAATGAGCAAGAGCTTCTTCATGCAGAAGAGTAAGAAGCTGGGCAGAGAAGCGGTGCAGAGTCTGGTGGACAGGCTGACGGAGCTGCCGGATGAGGTGAGCGGTTGGGGGGAGTGGCATGCGTGGAACATTAGTCGAAAAGGAGAGGATCAGGCGGCATTTGCGTGGAGGGGGGAAGCGTATGCTCATCTAGAGTTTATATTGACGGGGTCCGAGGACGCCGAGAAGCAGAAGTGGCTGGCCGACTGGAACAACGACTTGGAAGGCTATCTCAGGCCATTGACCGGGTAAGGACTTTCTCGTCAATCCTTTGTGTCGTTGCTTGCTGACTGACTGACGGCCAAAGTCCTGCTTCGTATGCTGGCTATATGGATGCCGATATCTCGACAGATCCGCTGCAGTCGTACTATGGGCGTAATGTAAACAGGTTGCAGCTGATCAAGGCCAAGTATGACCCGTCCAACTTTTTTGATAACCCGTTGGGTGTTGTCCCTGGTCGATAGGCGTCGGGAGCTGCAGTGCAATGCTATGTATTCTACTCTATCGTGTGCCATACCCAAACCATACTTCGTACTAGGGCAAATCGCCATCCACAAATTTTTACACACATATGTTTGCCTCAAAACGCCAGCCTGCTCCGGAACAACTTGTCATAGTGGTGTCGGTATCCTGATGAACACCATTCATTAACCTATCCTTTTCGGAGGATAACATCGTCATTATACTCGACTGTCCTTGCGTATTCTTGTCCGTCAACCTATCGTTTCCGTCCCTTTGAGGGCTTGCCGCCGCCGTGTTCAACAGTAGCAGCTTGTTCCTCTCCCCAGTGCGCATCCTCTAGACACTCCATGACGACCGGGTTGACGAAAACGTGACGCTGCAAGCCGCCCCGGAAAAGAACCTTCATCATGTTGACTCGAGAGAAGAGCGACCAAGAGTCAATTCGTGTGCTGTGGTTTCCAAGTCGGAGACGACATCTGTAGCCGTACTCGGCCTGCCCATCTTCGGTCCGCTGCGAGGGGGGAACATGGGAGTCCTTCTCTGGAAGATAAAGCGCAGTGGAGTAGTAAGGCCCAACCCCTCGCTCAAGGGATGTGACAACGCTACTGAGACTCTCGCGCAGGTCACGACGGGCCTTCCGTGATACAGCCTTGCTGCTCACCTTGGCGAGTTCACCGATGCGGCCAATCAAGCGCTGTTGGTCGTACGGGAGCTGGAAAGGCTCGCCGGTTTCCTGTTCGTGACGTCGGGAGGACTCAAAGATGAGGGCGATAGCTTGTGCTGCATGACACTGGACTTCAGTGTCGGAGCTGTCCAGTTGGTCAACAAAGGCGTCCATGGCGGTGTCGGCATAATCCGAGAAATCGCTGACGTGGCTGGCAACGAATGACCAACCCACTATGGCGGCGGATACGACGGCCGCGTTGTCGTGCGATTCAATGCTTTCGCCGTCGCTGTGGACAACGTCAATGAGATACCGCATGACTTCCAGAGCAGATTCTTCCAAGCCCCCAGCATAGAGCACAGTCATACAGAGTGCATATATTGCATACGTCTTGCACTGATCGTCATCATCGTCCACGAGGACCTGCTTCAGGGCTCGTTCAGCACCTTCAAAAATCTCCAGCTCATCAGTCGTTCCCACGGAGAGGCAGAAAGCCTGCAGATTGAGCAGTCGCTCGCGGGCGGTCGGGGCGCGATCTGCATCCTTGAGAAACACCTCGACAAGCTTGGAGGCGGCAGGGTCCAGCCACAGGTGGGTATCAGCGCTGTATCTGTTGCGCAAGGTCCTCAGATATGCTTCAAGGAACTGTTCGCGAACCTCGCTGTTGTTGTGCTTCTTGTCCTGCAGGCCATCGATCAAGGCCTGGGCGTCAACTGTCGTTGCGCCGCCTTCGTCAGGAGTGACTGCACCGGAACCCCCCGAGTGAACACTGGACATCATGTCGTCGAATTCAAAGTCCTTCTCATCCTCACTGTCGCTAACATCCGAGGTCCCACGGCTGTGCGTCGCGGAGTGTGTTGGGGAGGTCAGAAGAGATGGCAGGGGGGAGCTTCTGGGTGTAATATTGCCTGAAGCGCGGCCCGATTTGATGGCCTTTTTCGAGGTGGTCTTGCCGTTGCCCTTGAGAGCCTTGACTCTGGCATGGTTCATCATGACGACGGAGCGATGGGACCTCGACTGGCCCTGTTGCAGCTGTTATGAAGAGGGTTCCGCGATGGGGTGCCCCCGATTGCGGGTGTGCTTGTGAAGCTGGATAATGGGTGTGGAATCAGAGCTGCTGAAGGGGGCTCTCATGCAAGCCTGGGCCGCCAAAGACAAGCTTTTCCAGCGGTGTTTCAACCGCTTGACAAAGGGTATTCGGGTCAGGACGGCGGGTTGAGAGTGGTGCGCAGTCGGTGGGTGCCGTAGATTATGTATGTGCTTGCAAAAACTGGTCGAGGGACACGATCCATAGGGACGCGAGCAGTAGTGTACGAGAGGAAAAGGGGTTGTAACGAGGCCTACGGTGTTTTGGCAAGTTGCAGCGTCAGGTATCAAGGCTCAAAGGAGCGGAAGGGCGTTGAGCTGAATGGTGGAAAAGCAAGAGTTGTGCAAGGCGGTAAGTTGAGATGATGAAAGGCAAGAAGAGGCAGAGACCAATGGATGGTGGGGTGGCGCTTCCGGGGCATGAGACCCATGGGCAAAAGCAGGGAATGTGGGAGTCCAGTCCTGGACTGGTCAAATGGGATGGCATGTGATGGTCAGGATCATGGATTCATGGCCATGGCCGCCCGCCCGCCCGCCTGCCTGCCTGCCCGCCTGCTTTGGGCGGCAGCCAGCGAGGACTGGTACGGGCAACGGCACGGAGTGGTTACTTGATCAGCAGAATGGCGTGCACAAAAGCATGGTCATAAAGCAAGGGCATAAAGCAAGGGCACAATTCTTTGCCTCGGAGTCGAGACGACCGGCCCAGCTAGTACGACTGATTTATCATGATTTGCATGTACAGTACGGAGTACTGGCTCAGCAGGAAGGAGCATCTAAGACTTACGTCATGGTCAAAATCTTACGGCCGCTTTGCCCCACCAGAGAAAGGGCCACAGACAGTGGTAGTTCTGCTCGCTATTTAAGTACTTTAATAAAGCAGTCATTAAATACTTAGTAAACCTGTGGAAGGTTAGTAAACTCTCGGAATTTGGAACTTCCACAGTCCAAAAGGTTGGGGGGACTTTTATCGATACCCGTCAAAGCACCAGCTGATAGCACTGGCGGATCAACTCGCTCTGGAGCTTGCTTGGCTGATGACCAGATCATGGTGAGATACGTCAAACGAACGCAAAGTGGTCTGGACCAGTCCATGTCAAGTTTTGACACTGTGCTAGCAAGTGTCAACAAGTGTCACATGGGGAAAAGAGGCGCTTGCGCAGCTGGCCATCCCGCAACCATGCGCAGGACGTACGGTGCTTGAAATGTGGTGGGCGGTCATTTCATCACCTCTTTCGACCGCAGGCAAGTCCGTCGATGCATCGAGGCTTTTGATATTTGCGTGCGGCTTGGCGGCGTCAGGAGCTCACTCTTCGAGCTCCGTCAGCATTGACTGTAAAGTACCCGAGCCACGAGGGCTCCGACAAGGCCGTGCCGCCAAGGTTGCAGCTGGCAGCCGGCCGCGTCGCTTATCAGTGACACTCACCTGGAGTCGGGGTGCCGTCAGCCTCCGGACACGAGCGCCGGCTCTCGTTAGCCCATATCATTACTCGATGTGGCCCCAAGCCTTGTTTGTGGTGTCACTGTCACAGTCATTCTAGCACTGTCGCCACAGAACTGCTGCTCCTCTCCTTCTCCTTCTCCTTGCCCCGCCTTCTCAGACTGCAGACTCTCAGAGTCTCAGACCTTGGTCAGACGTGGCTCTGAGTCACCTTATGCTCCAGTTCGACCTCTCTCTGCCCCTCTTCTCATCGACTTCTTCACCCCCGGATGTTGAAAAGGCGACTTTCCTTGGATCCGTCACTTCGTCGCGTTCTCTCGTCTAGCCATAACCTGTCATCGTCCCCAACTATTCTGCATGAACGCGGGACCCGCTCGGTCTCCGGCATGCTCGTCGTGTCGAACTCGGGTATTGCCTACGAACCCAAGGTCATCGTGAAATATCAAATTTAGCCTCGGCGCGATTATCGCCCCTTTTGGACTTTGCACCCATCTTTCTAACCAAAAAAACCCTCGTCTACGGATTGTTTAGCCCGCTTCCATCGATCGATACATGGGGATAAGATAACAAAATGACGGTGCCGCAATACAAGGACGAAGGCTTGTTGACCCCTCAATACCGAAAGGATCAGCTCCTCGTGCACATGCAAACTAACACCTTTTCACGTTACAGTCCAAGTCATCCTCAAAAATGTCGACCCAAAATTGAAGTCCAAATTTTGCGACCGTTATATTTCTCTTACGAAAGATAACCCCAAAGTAGTTATTGGCCGTAGTACGAGGCGAGACGCCAGGTTGGCAGCGAATCCAAAGAATGGCTGGTTCGACTCAGCCGTCATGTCTCGAAACCATGCCAAGATTGTATATGTTCCAGCCAGCAACGTAGGTTGATCTCGGTTTTTTTCTTTTTTCCTTCCTTTTTCCCCCCTGCTGCTTGCGTCACCTGATATTGTTCCAGAGCTCTTGAGAAAGTAGCAGAGTTGACCATATTTGCAGTCTGTTAGCCTCGTTGACGTTGGTTCTCTGCATGGAACATATCTAAACAACAAGCGAATCACCAAGATGCAGTTTCGACAGCTGCAAGAAAATGACACAATTCGATTTGGTATTCCCATTCAAAAAGGATCGGAAACCTTCCCGCCTTGTGAGGTGAAGGTATCACTCTTCCACGGTTCACAAGAGTACGGCCTCCCTTTTCTTCTGATCTTACGTTGATTCTGTGGTTACCTAACGGGAAAGCAGTCCCAAAGAACGACCCGTAGTATTCAGAGTTCCGGATTCCTCTGACGAGGAGGATGGAACTAGTGATGTTGATGAGGCCGTTGAGACTAGCGTCTCGCTCATTCAAAATGCCGGCATGACTCTCGATGACCCTCAAAAGATTGGAGCTATTGATCTCACAAGTGAGGAGCATACTGGTCTGCCAGATACCGACGACCCCAATGTAACCATCGAGGTACCTGAATTATCTACTCCGGGGCATCAGGAACCTGACAATTTACAATTTCAACAGCCCTCCATTTCCTGGCCTGACGAGGCTGAGGAACTTGAAGGCAACGATGACGCTTGTAGTCCACCAGAATCCGCTTCCTCTTCCATCTTTGACTCCGATGATGAGGACTTCTCTGAAATTGCTGCAACGGGAGGTTCTGTTGGAATGGAAACTGAAGAATCCGCCGATGCTTCGCATATGGATGCCACTCTTTATCTCGCCGAAGCAGATATACGCGATAGCCTGAGCCCAGGCTTGGCCCCATCTCACCTGCGGACTTCATCTGGTCGAGGATTCGATATACTCCCTCCACTTGCCGTTACCCAAACTGCGCAGCCTGGCGACATTCATCTGCCATCTCTTTTTGACGCGATCCCTTCGTCTTCTTACCACTCGCTACACTTCGATAAGGAGGTATCCGCGGAATCGCTGGGGGCAAAGTCTGGGAAATCTGAATACTTTGAAGCCCGCGAACATAACCGTCGAATCTGCCTCGGCCGAGAGGAAAACAAGGAAAACGACTTTCCAACGAGTTTTCAGCAGTTGGACAAGGCGATGGAGAGCTCGATACCACCTTTGCAGCATACCAATATACTCACCACAGGACTACCTCACAACTGCACAAGCGATTTGGATACTGCGGCACTGCTAGCTTCTGGTGAAAAGTTTCTGCGAACGCCTGTTGCTGAGTTCAACGCAATGCCGTCCAAGGAGGATAACCTAGACGACACTTCTGCATACACATTTGAATTGAGTAAAAGAGGCGCAGAGTTGGTGGAAAAAGTTCAACCTCGGATGATGACGGACTTCACTACATGGGGGGAAAAAGACAAGCCAGTCCCGGAATCACGCCCAGAATACTCAGAAGAGGCACCTAGAACAAACCAACATTCTTTCAAGAGAAAGTCTGACGCAATATCCGAGCTTTTACCAAATGAGACTGAGCCAAACTCGTCACAGACCATTGGCCAGACCTCCACGAGACTGACTGGACCTGCATCCAACGCAGCGCAACTCGCCGAAGTACCCCAGGTCGAGCTTTCATCGGTCGATGTTGCTGACCACCGTCCGGCAAAACGCTTTCGACGAGTTGCCGAGGTGGTTGGTTACGCTGCACTTGGGGGCATTGCAGTCATGTCTGCCTTGATTGCTACTGCGCCTGTATTGTGATGGCTGCAATAATATGCCACTTTCAACAACTATCGTAGACAATCCTTCCCGCTCTGCCCCCCATGGGCTATCTTTCTTTCTTCTTTCTGCTAGTGGCATCTGTTTCTTGTCAGGATTATGGCTTTTGTTCAATTTGGCTCTGCAACGGACATTACATGAGAATTGAGTCGGTAGGGAAATCGCTTAGGCGTTCAGAATTGCGCGACAGTCTTCTTTTGATACGTCTACCGCATTGGAATTTGTTTTATTTGCCATAAGCAGGATAGTAACTGATACCAGGATATTCGCACGCATCCGTAACACCACAGGTCGTTAGTGAATCAACCACCCTGATGGCTCTTCATTCTTTGGACCATCTGGAACATGGGATGTCATACCCATGCACCTTCGGCTGCTGTAACAACAGAGTCACGAAAACCTGTGTCGGAGATGGAAAATATTTTCTTCACTTGGCGACCACAGCACATCTATACTCTTCGTTCGACAAATGAGACAAATGAGAAGAGGCTCTCCGGTATAGGAGTAGCGTACGCGTCCTCGTAGAAGATGACGGGTTTCTCGGATATGTACGTCGTCCAGATGTGTACTTGGCTGCATTGAGGAAGGTTTGGGAGCACAAAGCTAGCGCAGGCGAGGAGATTCCCTGGTTCTTGGGATTTAGCATGTTCACTCGTATCACCTTACGTATTAGGCATATGGTCATGAGTTTATCCGGGTTCCTATTCGAGGACGCAAGTAGGCATGCGCTGGCTTTACGAGCGTAGCACCCGTTCCGACGATTGGGATCCTGAAGGACGCAGCAGCAGCTCTGATGGGGATATCGTGTCACGCCGTTTCCCGGCTTTTCGAGATGCGTGTTACTCGCGTCCCGTGGTTTTGGCTTCCCAGAGTTATTTTTAGCCCAGCGGCCATTCCGAGTTATTGGGTGTGGATGCCTGTAGTAGTTATCCGGGCCGGAGGGTGTGGAACGGGCCTTGTGTCGTGGCGGCCTTTTGAGATATAGTCGGCGCGTGGTCTGTTGCGCACGGCGCGCTTTTCCTCGTCATACTCCCGTCTTTCTCTGCGGTCTATACTTGGCGGGAATAACAGCTGGGCCTTGGTGCTGGGTCTCGTTGCCGTCATGACTTTTGTGAGTGGCTCGGGCGAGCCGTTTGCGGAGCAGTATGTTCTGGTTTCCTGTACGATGTGCAGTATGAGGTCGTCGTGAGTACTAATCCCAAATGGTTGTGGTTGTTTTCCGCGTCTACGCTTTTGGCTTGTCTTTTCTGTTTGTGTGGTCCCGAATTCTGCGTGTAGACGGCTTGTTGACGACGGCGCTAGACCCAGCTGCGTATACTGTCTCGGTACGTTGGTGTTGTTCATCTCTGTGGATGATGTGCGAGAGGCGGCGTGGCGTGCAGAGGTGGAAGCGGGTTTTCCATCCGAGAGGCCTCCGTCGCACGAAGATGAAAGTTAGGAAGGAGTCGAGAGATGTCGAGATGGGCAGGATGGGGCTGAAGAGGGATGCAGTACAGTGGGAAATTATCCCGGGGGGGAGGCTCATAGTAACACGGCTGTATTTGGGAAGTTGAGCTCGCATTGATATATTGGTCCGTAAGTAGATTCGGAGTCAAGATGTGGTGTTATCACGACTGGCGCTTTCGAGCGCATGATGGATGGCGGGAAGAGGAAATTGTGGTCTGAGGCGCCTTCATTAGTCTATCCGCCCATGTGGAGAGCCCTTTAGATAGTAGAACTCATGGGTAAGACATAGACTCTTGGAACACAGACTCGCGATGGGTCTGGGCTGTCCGCTGCATTCTTCATCTTGTCGGGCAATCGAGGAACCATATCAGGCGTGACGCTCGAGGTCCGTCCTGTCGTGAGAAACCAGTCTTGTTCTTGGACAACCGAGCTATGCGTTGGGCTGTATGGAAGAATACTTCTTTGCGTATATGCAAAAGACGAGTTGAAGCCCATTCCTTCGGCGGTACATGTGCAGACTCGGGTATCGCGGTCACGATGCTGTCGAGTCGGATCAACAATCGCATACTTAGTAGTTATTTACTTGTTACTTGCATGTAATTTATGCACTTGCACAATCGACTCGCGTGGCCACTTGCACAGGCACCACGGCGGGACAGCACAAGTGGGTCCATCATCCATGTCGGTCGTTGTCACCCAACAACCTCGAAGTCTTTAAACGGCACGCCTTCTTGTTCCAAGCTTAACTCAAAATCGTCACCAGCAACAGCCAGGCAGGCGATTCCGCCCCTTCATCAGTGATCACCACTGCGTCGGGCGCAAGTGAACTCTGTTCGCTCCGCAGCCGCCATCATGTCTGTCATCCTCTGCACGGGTACGTTGAGCACTCCGTTCGGCTCTGCAACGTCCATGAGGAGGAGCCTTGGCGTGCTAATCAGCTTTCAGCGGGATATGATCACACAATTCGGTTCGCACTCGCTCGCCCCGAGCCCGCCTCGGGGCTCACGGGCATGGGTCAAGAATGGCCTTGATTCCGGCTAACTCTCCGCTAGGTTCTGGGAAGCCCTCTCCGGCATTTGCTCGCGCACCATCCAACATCCCGACTCCCAAGTCAACCGACTCTGTATCTCGCCTGACAAGCGCTTCCTCGCGGCCGCCGGTCATCACACCGTCAAACTGTACGACATCAAGTCCACGAACCCCAATCCGCTCCTCACATTTGAAGGCCACGCGGGCAACATTACGGGCGTCGCGTTCCACTGCGAGGGTAAGTGGATGGTAACAAGCTCCGAGGATGGCACGGTCAAGATCTGGGAAACGAGAACGGGCGCCATTCAACGGAGCTACAACCACGGCTACCCTGCAAATGACGTCGTTATTCACCCGAACCAGGGCGAAATCATCAGCTGCGACAGGGCCGGCAGCGTGAGGATATGGGATCTGGCCGAGAACACATGCGCCCATCAGTTGGTCCCCGAGGAGGATGTTCCCGTCTCAAGTGTCACTGTTGCCAGTGACGGGGCTCTTCTTTGTGCAGCAAATACCCTGGTTCGTTTGTCGGATGCATCTAAACATGTCGACTCTTGGCGGCGCTCAAGGCAAAACTAACTGCACGCAGGGAAATGTCTTTGTATGGACGCTGAGGCAAACATACGACCAAACGCAAATTATGCCCGTGACGCATTTCAACGCGCACAAGGAATACATAACCCGCATCCTCCTCTCGCCAGACGTGAAGAAGCTGGCTACGTGTAGTGCTGACCACACCGCCAAGATCTGGGAAGTCAACAATACCAAGCCCTGTGACGAAGGGGAAAAGGACCCGAAGCCTTTCCCGCTTGAGGCAACACTGACGGGACATCAGCGTTGGGTGTGGGACTGTGCGTTCAGTGCTGATTCGGCCTATTTGGTGACGGCGTGCTCTGATCACTATGCTCGTCTGTGGGAGGTACACAGCCAGCAGATCATACGCCAGTATAACGGACATCACCGAGGCGCTGTTTGTGTTGCGCTGAACGATTACTCAGAGACTCGTTAGGCGGATTCATAACGGGTATGAGGGACATGAAGAGGACTTGGGAATCTGTGGTACTTGTCGTGCACTTGTCATGGGGCTTGGAGGGGTTGGTATTGAAATTCACGACAGACTTTGGCAGAGCGAAGGTTTTTCCATGGACACGGCGTTGTTGGAGAAGGCGAATACGGTGCCTTTATATCCCTTGCTTTCTTACAATGAAACACAGACGTCATTACTAAACGGTTTGCTAAATAACCGCACAGCAATCAACCTGGCGGCAAGCCCCGTTCCAGGCAGTGGTGAAAGTCGTCGAGACACGCATGGCTGTTACTCTGAACGACGATGCGTGGCAGGCTCACAGGTCCAATTGCAATTGCGTGTACAGTGTCCGGAACTGCGCGGTGTCCTGCATGGACGAGCCCACACCCCGACCTGTGTTTGAGTATACTAGAAGCATTGAAGCGCATCGCTTCGCGACAAGACCGTCCCCTGAATAGTGTGGTCTCAAAGGCCTCTGCTGCGCGACTTTACTGGTCTCTTTGGCATCTTCTTCCAGTCTCGTTACACGCATTGTCAGCTCGAAAGGTATTCAGCGGATCTTGAGATAAGATTTTACAAACCCGAATGGAGCTTCATACTCTGATCCCACTGATTCGGGAGTAGGCATTGGACGCGCGGCACGCGGCATAGTCGTCACGTAATAGTCAGCCCCCTAATTGTGTCCCTTTTAATACACAAGTCTCTGGTGCCACGGCTCATTCCCCATTCCCCATTCTTGTTACGGCGCAAGCTGAGTCGTGGGTTCTTGGCGTGTAACGTGGCGAGTATATTTCGCCTCTGCCTCATCGCAGGTAAGTCTGTTGCGGCCAGCCAAATCAATCGCAGCAGCGGGAGGCATCAGACCCTCGCGGACGTCCCCGGGTATCTCAGCCTCACGGCTCACCCACGGAGATGTGGTAAAGCCTTGTAGGCGCCTTGCAAGTCTTCGGTATAGCTCTTTGTAGGCTGGCAATCGAGAGGATGGAACTGGAATAGCCGTCTTGTTGGAAATTGCACTCTATACGACCTTAATAGCTTGGTTGTACCTGATGTGAGAATTTCATGTCGTTCCGTTGGGCAGAAGCCGAGTAAATTGTGGAGGTAATTGTTGCCGAGGCGTCCAGTGAGGTGCTGTGACTGAGGTTGGTGCTTTGGCAGCTGTTGCTAATACATCTCTCTGGCAGTCCGTGTCCTGTGCTTGTGTCATATTCGGTAAAGATACAGTCTTTCTTGCAAGGAGAGAAGCTTTGTTGCATAGGAGTCTGGGCAGACCCTCACAATTGATCGATTCTCTGCCACTTTGTTATTCAAAAACAAAGAAACATTGTGTCTTGTCTCGGCATAGAGTCTGATGGCTTGTTTGATATTTGTGACTGCGAGGCAGCAAAAAATTAGCCAGCATATTGACTGACATGTTGCTTTGGATCAGGTGCAATACTCACCTCATTCTATACGCCATCGTCTAACCAATGATGCTGAAGCCTTGCATTGACCTGGTTTGGAATGAAAAAGAAACAAGCAAACAAGTTCCAGTCTCAAGCAAACCCGAGTCGGCAAATAAAAAGTCAGTCTCTTGTGTCTTCCACCCTGGCGGCTTGCCAAAGATAAGTTTAAAAGGCTTGCCAACGGACTGCGGAACCGTCTTCTACAAATTGTACCCGCGGTCCGGGCAGAAGGTCGTATTGAAACCTGTGGAAACAGTGATACTTTGCAGAAGCCATCAGCTTTGGTCTCTTGTAATATTTTTCAATCCATCCATCATTTCACACGTGACGGGTTGCCAAGTGGGATGAGCCGCGCCTTGAAGGTACATCGCCAGTCGTGTCCATGCAAGCCCCTCAAGAAGTAACTTGGGTCAAGAGGCTGATTACGACTAGGGGCTCTGTTTCATCGTTCCAACACGGTGCTGCATCGTGCATTACCGAACGACATGCCGTTCCTTCACGGCCGAGTCGGAAATCAGGTTCCACGACACTCTGGCTGCCGGGCATAACAGGCGGACAAGTGGAATGGCTTATCGATTTCGGTGGAAACGTTGTCCTTGGATACAAGTAGGAGCCGGTCGCAAAGAAAAATATGTGAGAGATAGAAGAAATTCCAACTGATAACTTCAGCGAGGGGCGGGAGTGGCGGTTTGGGCCGAAACACGGAAAATACCTTGATGGATTAAATTCCCGATTCCAGTGAATGGTTACATGCCCACGTTATTAGACTCGGTCTAGACTATTCTTCGGCATGGACTCTCGTCTAGGCCATGGTAGGAAGAGACATCCGTGCAAGCAACGACGAGGGCCATCATTTGCTGAGGTTTTAGAGGAAATGGTGATCGAGTTGGATGTCGCGAGGCCAATGGCGGCGGCGTGAAATTGCACTGCCAAGGATGATTGCACCCAGCCAAGGAGGATTCAAAATTGAAAAGAAAGAAAAATCGTGGCGCTGAGGGTGTTTCGTCGAGGTCAACTGTTGATTCGGGCGTTTGTGACGGCAATGGCTTTTCCCTTGCGGTGCCGCCGATGCGCATGTCGCACCTTCCATTGGCGGTCGGGCGGTCTTGCCGCGCTTAGCTTCGCCAATTTGGCCAAGTTAGGCAAGGCTTGCTTGTCAAACCCAAGCTGAAGGGTCATTGAAACTCATTGAGACATTGAAAACCTCTTCTCCACACAACTCTGGACTGACTCTGGCGAGGCAGCCGTCCTGTGATCCGTAGGGCTACTCGACATGGCCGTACATCGCCCCCAAATCCCAGTGACCCAGGGCCCAGAGAGTCAGAGACACATTTGCTTCTGCCTCTGCGCCGCGGGGACACGACCCGTTGGCCCTCTGGCTGGTGGCAAGCGAAACGACGCACTTCGAAAAATGGCTGTCTGAGATCCGAATCTGTTCTTCACGTCCGCCGCATTTGGCCTTGATGCCGCGACGACATTGGTCGGCAGCAAGTCCACCATGTGACAAACCGAGCGTGGCTTCCATGCTACAATCCAGGGGCGGTTGTGTCCCCGGTGTTGCCGCCAGATGCTTACACGACAACGTGAACATGCATACCTTGTCGCTGTCTTACCTCGATCGACTACAGACGATTTGTTGCCATTTATCAGTCCAAGTCGCCACTCATCATGTGTATCCATCGTGGCCGTACCAGTCGCGTATCACCACTAATTGGCAACGAACCGTACGCTTAGGCGCAATGGAACAAAAAGGATAGGGGCCGCGGGAGCAACTGGAGCCTATGCAGCCTGGTATGGCCGACACCAGCATCTCGTTGGACGGCGAGGCTGACGGACAGTAGCTGGACTGAGATAGGACTGGGTTCCGGGTCCAGCTTTGAGCTCGCAACTGCTTGCATCGACCGTATTCGATGACTTCACTGACAATGTGCATCACCGCACACGGCCGTCGCTACCACTGGTCCCGAGTCCGCCTCGTGCAAGCTGACCAGCAAGCCTGGCAGAGCTTTCTGCCCTCCTTATGTTCTCGCCGCGGCTGTGGCCATCTGGATACTCGTGGTCCATGGATGCTCAGGGCCGCCATTTTGGCCCCACCGTCCTCCCGACCCATGGGCCATGATGCGCCGTCACTCGACAGGGACCTTGATCGCTAGCCGATTTGGACAGCCAGGCACCGAGACTTTGGGTGAGGCCCAGGCGTTCCTGTTGGATAGTGACCCAAGAGATATCCTTGAACATGGCCACGGGACGATCAGGATGCACAAGGCGGCTTGGTTCCCGGGAGGGGAGGACCCTAGAAAGAAGTCTACACCGTTGCAAGAGGGCGGCCGCAATTCCCTTTGCCATGACAGCTTGTTCACGTCTTCTCCTTGATCTCTTTATCCCATGCCTTTGAAGATGAATAAAAGGCCGACTGGTTCGGCACTCTCTTTGTCTCTGCTTTGAGAGCGTGACATCGTCAGACCTTGGTTTATAAGACGCCGCCCTCCAACACCGCATCGCTGGTCAATTTCCGCCATGTCTGCCCCTTACCCTAACTTGGGCGCTCTGGCATCCACTCACGACGCATCGTTTCTAAACCAAGGTGGCCCAGCATCTTTTACATACACCGAGTACGACATCATGGATGGACGTAAGTTGAAATCACGGCCAGCTCCCAATTTACGTTACAAAATTGCCGTTGCCTGTGGAATGACAAATTCCAACGTGTCTCATGATATGACCATGTGCTCGGCATACCGAGTCTGCGCAAAACCACGACCGTTTAGTACCCCACTAACATCAAACGTTTTATAGTCAATGAATGTCGCAGAGCTCGAGTGGCGGAGCTTCTGGACGATTTTCGCACCTTGCAGCACCACATTACAGATGCGCCGTCTTATCCCGGGTACGGAGACGACTTCTACTCGGATGGATGGACAACTTTGCGGCAATGTGCCGTCGATGGCCGCCACATCCTCGAATGTGCCGCTGACACCAGGGTGCCCGTAGCCAACGGAGGACAAGAAGAGCAAACAAAGGCAGAACTGAAGCAGTATGCTCCCCTTCACACCATGAGACTAGTCTTACTGGGAGACAGGGCAATGTTTCCCGCCCCTTCCTCAAGCCATGGTATCTAATACAGAGACCAGGGTCCTGCTAGATGCCTTCTCAAGGCGGCACGAGGCACAGAAAATCTTCATGAGACAGGGTGCTGCTAAGCGCTGGCTGTCGTATCGAGACATTGTTCTTCAAAACCAACATTCTCACCCAGCTATTCAACTTCAACAGCAGTTGGATGCCTGTGATGACGAGCTACGTGCTGTACGTGTCTCGAGCTATGCCCAAGACGAGAGGGTCAGAGAGTGTCCGTTTACAGGGTGGTATCTGACTCGGTTACAGGAACTCGCCTCAATCACTGACGAAAGCGTGTACAATGAATTGGCGGCTTCAGACTATGCCAGAGGGCGCTGGACCGACGAGGATCCGAGTTTGAGGAGTGTCCTACGCTGGCTGAGGGCACGACAACAATAGCGCGTGGATGCGGAATGACCAAGTCAAGAACCGCAAGCTTTGACACAGCTGAAAGGAAGATGTGCCGAGAAGGTCTCGCGGGGAACAAAGAGGCGAACGACGACGGCGCGAGGAGACAGTAGCCTCGCGATGAGAGGCAATACGCATCTCAGGTTGAAGGACTTTTTAAAAACCAAAAGAGAGAAAAAGAAGACCAGTCTGGCCGGGGGGAAGGGATAAGGCTTGATTGAGAAAGAGCACTTCAGCAAATTGATCATGGCATTTTCGGTTACGGAGCGAGCATTGGGTCACGATGGAGAGATGCTGGTCATCCCATGGTAACTGTTAGATTTTACGGGAGGGGCTTTACATGTCAAATTACATAAACAGGGAGTATAGTGATCGAGTACAATGTTGTTGTGCCCTGCTGTTGGGCCATGCTGCTTGGTGCGACCAGTTGAGATACAAGGGGTCACAGGGCACATATATCGAGGAACCGATGGGGTGTTGTTGATTTTCTGTTGATTTTCTTTTTGGCGTCGACTTATCCGCGTTGGATTGTTCCGCATGTGTGCCGTCTCCTGCTAGGCTATGCTCAAGGGGTGGCATTGGGTATTCGTTGACGAGGTCAAGTTCGGTTCGGCTCAACGAGTAGAGGGTAGAGTGGTGGGCGAGGCGTGGTCATTACACCAGATCGTGTCTTTTTGAGTGCCCACGGACGGGTTGACCTCTCTTTTTTTTCTTCTAGGATTTACTTTGGACACAGAGCGCGATTCCAACTAGGGAAAGCACCATTCCCAGGCTTGTGTCTGCGCTCACGGGGCCGGCGGTCAGTCAGTGAGTGAGGGTGGGATGGATGGATTGCGTTCCGGACAGCGGATGCAAGGGAAGCGCCGTCTCACCCACCTCTGCTGATGACTTTGCCCTCGACATACCATTCCCCGAGGACGGTAAAAAGGAAGGCCATGGTGTTCACGATGGGGACGGTCAAGCTCAGCTCTGCACAAACGTCAGATGTAGTCGCGTCCGGGCCGAGCGTGTAATTGAGCAATGAGTGTCTCGGCGCGAGGGAGGGAGGGAGAGAGGGAGGCAGGGGCGTGTCATGTGTGCGTCGACGGGGGAAAGACGCTCACCGGCGTGTCCAATGAGGAGGAAGAACCATATGCTCCCGGTCAGATTCAGGAGCAGGGGAACGGCGTATCTCGGGTTCCGCAGGAGATCGGCGACGGCGAAGAAGGCGCCGTAGAGGCTGCTCCGCAGCCAGCTGTTCTTGACGGAGTCCAGGTCCAGCGCGGGATGCGGAGGCGGCTGGTGAGTGCGTGCGGCGCGGCGGATGAAGGGCGTCGTGAGGCCCCAGGCGAGCCCGACGAGGATGAAGCTGACGACGTAGTTGATGACGGGGGGGTTGTCGTGCTGCATTGTGGGTGGAAGAGGGGGGGATGGATGCGAGTGCAGAAGAGTCGAAATGGTGCGATTCGGCGCGGCGTCAAGAGTTGGAGGAAGTAGTTCTATTGATAGGGCTAGCGAGGGGGCATCAAGCAAGCAGGGAGGGCGAATACGCTGCGAGTCTGTTGATGTGAGGTTAAAGTCGGACATGGCGGAATGGGGGTGTTGGGGGGGGTGCGGGTGCAGGGGGCGTAAGGGGTGGCGTTACCCGTCTGCCGAGAAGGGGATACGGGCGGACGCAGTAATCTATTGGACGGATGGGAGGGTGGGGACTGACGGGCCCCGTTTTGATTTGCATCTGGGACCCGACGTCACGTCACGTCGGCAGGCAGACGGGAAACGGGAAACGGGAAACGGGAAACGGCAAACGGCTGCACAGGCGGGCCGCGCGGAGGCTGGAGATTGCCATGGCGGCTTCGTTGGCGACAAGACAGCCCATGACATGACTACGTACTCCGTACTCCGTACCCAGGCAGATTTCGGCTGGTAGATAGGCCTCCAGTCCTTGACAATGCTTGATCCCGAGGCCGCCCACGTTGTGGCGCCTCCCCCCTCTCCCTCTGCTCTGCCTCGTTTCCCCCTGCCTCTCCTTCCCTTCCCTTTCCCTCAGGGCGGCGAGAAAGGCATGTATGTAAGATGTAAGATGTAAGATGTAAGATGTAAGATATAAGGGGGGAGATGCATGACAGAAAAAACGTGGTCCTGCTGAAAAAACGCGACGCAATGCGCCGCGCGTGTCATGTGGCGTGGCATGCCATGCCAACCGAGCCTTGCAAGGCCAGGCCTGCCATGCTTTTTTGCCTCTACTTGTGCGACGACGCCCTCGCGTTCCAACTTCCCAAGAGCAAGGCAAAGGGGTGGGGCAAGAGCTCCTAGTATTCCACCGAGGAGTACAGAGTACGGAGTACTGCGTCAAAATACTCGGCTTCGGGCGAGGTTGGGTTTTGGTTTTCGGAGCTTGCCCCGACGGCATGTGACTGGCTCACCTTTTTCCTGGAACTTCGGGGGGCGCGACTCGGCCTGCAAAGTCTGACTCTGATGAGGGAACAAAAGCAAGAAAGGGGAAGAAGAAAAACACAGTTGCCCGTGTTACGGAATTCAGGGTGACCTTTGTGACCTGACCACCATGATTGGTCCACAAGCCCATGATGTGTACAGAGTATGTAACTATGTATGTTTGTATGTAATGTTCGTCTCCAGTTGTGGCCATTAGCTTTCGGTGCGACTCGGTGTCCAAGCCGAATGTCACTGCCTAGTAATGGACATCCCTAGTGTACGGAGTAGAAGTACTACTAGAGTTTTTTTGGTTTTTTTTAAGTTGTCTTGTGCTGCGAACAGGGGACTCGTCATGGGTTCCTGGGTTGCACTTCTTTGTTTTCAAGATTTGCCGGCCACCCCTTCAGACATGGCCGCATGGTGACACCAGACTCCAGAGCAGCTTCGGCAAACGAGGCCTCCTTTAAAAAAGGAAGCAAGAAAAAAGAAGTAATGGCGACCACACGGTACTAGTACGTACTCCGTACACACATGTCTTTCGGCAACCATAGATGCATCCATGTCAATCGGCGATGGTTTCGCATCTTTCCCCGCCGTGTATTTTGTTCGGTGCCGTTTATAGCCGGACTAGGGTAGGAAAGACCATGAAGAAATATCCTGCACAGGGAAAGATGCCTTATCATGAGCCGAAAGAAGAAAAGAAAAATTCCGCATGGGAACAAAGTTGATGCCCCAGCGGTGCAAGGTGACTGGTGGCACACGCCAGCACTTGGTAAACAAGGCCTTTGGTCTGCACACGTACTCGGTATACTCGGCATATGCCGTCTGTCGTCTCTGTGCAGCCGGATTTGAGCGGCCGTATCATCGCAGGGCCTGCTTGAAGATAGTAACAACAACAACAACAACAACAACAACAACAACGACAACAAACAGTAATGAAAAGAAAAGAAAGACTCAATCACCACCATCGCCAATATCGAATAGCGCATCGCGGAAGTTTTGCCCGTCTGCAATGCGCCATGCACAATCTCGCATGTGCATCTGTGTATGTATTTTAAGCAACGCGATCCCTGTCCAGCTGGAAAGCCTCCCCGGGAGGGAGCGGGAATAGTCTGCTCCCTGATCTCGTTTCTGCTCACTTGGGATGAGGACTCGGTAGTGGTAGTGGCGCTGTCCGGGAGGAGCATAATATTCACATGGTGCAGAAAGGCCGCTTCGTCCCGCAGGCGCCAGCGGGCTTCTCCGGCCTGTCCGGTCTTGTCCAGCTTGCCCTCGTCCAATGGAAGCGCGTCACGATGGGTGACATTTGTGTGGATGATTGCCTTGCGTCATGTGCGGCCTTGTCGAGGAGGGAGGGGAAGGGAAACAGTGGCGGATGCGGCGAGGCACAGCGGCAGGGCTGAGGAGGCCGCATGTGTCGCCAGAGGCCAAAGTATATCGTGCTCGGCATGTACGCTGACATCTGGATATTGGGCGGCTCGTTGCACAGCCAGGCTTTTCGGGACATGCGCCTGGGCGTGGGCGTGGAGGGCGATGGGGTGCTCTGGTCCGAGGTTATCATGTATCATGTATAGTTTTTGGGAGTCGCGACGACAGACTGACGGGCGGGGACCAGTGAGGCTGCATCTCGGACCGACGGCACTCTGCACTCTGATGCCTGTCAGCCCCACTCAAGTGCCTGCTAACGTTACTAGGTAACGATACCTGGGCACACACAGCTCCATGCAGTTGAGAAGCAACCTGGGAAGTTGCCAGAGGGGAGGGAAGGCATTTTGTCTTTTTTTTTTCCCTTCCAAACAGCCTTTACTTGTGACTGTCTGCACGAGCATAGTGTTGTCGCAGGTATGTCACCATCATGTGACGTGCTCGCACTACACGCATGACGTTCAAAAAGTGTATGCGTCTCTGCGTCTCTGCATGAGGCTATTTCCTCATCGCAGCTCAGCTTGTAACTACACGCACTTCAAAACGCGACTCTGGTAAGTGTCTTTCCGAAACTTCACCTGCCAGCAGAACTAGGGACCTTTAATTAACAAGGAGACTACAGTTCCACCCGACCCGACCTTGTCGCCGAAACGCGCATTGCTCCGCCGTCCTCGTCAGAAACGACTGATTTCACCGTCACATCGTCAGAAAATTATTCTACAAGGGCATTTAAAACACCATCCCGATAAATACTGGCCAACCCCTTTTCTTGGTCATCATCCAGTGTTTCGAGCACCCGTCGTCTGAGCTCTATACATGCAGACGCAAATAGCTACTACAGGGTAGGCGCTCCCGCAAACCCTCGGACAACAACATTCACCCGCACCGACAAGATTTCACGACGTGCATGTCACTTTTTCCATCCTCGTATCCGTTTGGCATCTAACGCAGCCCTCCAATCGGACAAGAACATAACCAACAGAATCCTCATGACACACCAAAGCAGTCGACAAGAGCTCACGTCATGCTCCATGATAGTATTTCTCAAGTCTTCATGCCGTTTCTTCTATCAGAAGATGTATTGTACAGCGCCTCATCACCATTGGACCTCTATTCAAATCTAATCCTTCTCCGCAATAGCTTGTAGTCTTTCGTCAATCTCGTCCTCGGTGAGCATCCGGAAGGCTGGGTCGGTACCTTCTTTTCCATCAGTACGAGGACCGCCGCAGATGCCAATCTCGATCTCGCCCTTCTTGAAATCCATGCTCAGAACTGTGCTCAATGTCGTAATGGCCAGCTCCACGACATCCTCCCAAGTGCCCTCGGCGCAGTCCTTGTTGCGCAATTTCTTTTCCAGATGATTCAAGGCCTCCTGCTGCTTAGGGCCAGCGGCGGTACCCTTGTATCCAATGTAATATCCTGCAGGATCGCACTTGTACAGCTGAGGCCCAAACTCGGAGTCGAGAGAAATGATGGTTGTAGCAACACCATAGGGTCGCATATATGCCTGTAATATCGAATCAGAAAAAAAAGTTACACTTCACAGCCGGACCTGAAGCGTTAGAATACGCACTCTCTGCGTGTAAACTTGACTGATGTTGGCCAAACGCTTGGCGAGGGCATCGGCAGGCATCTCGTATCCAAACTTGTATCGAAACTCAGCAGCCTCGCCCTGGGCTCTCTGGGCAAATGCCCTGGCGTCGGCGATGGATCCGGTAATGACACAGCCGACTGATGGCGAAATCTGGAAGATGTGCGAAACTGACGCGGGATCGATGAGCTTGTCCTGCGAGCGACTTTAGCATACTGCCGCTGTTGCTGACATGACATGGGCCATTCATCTCTTACAGGCACCTTCTTTTGCGACAACACGACAGCACAGTCCTTTCCTCGAACGCCTACTGACATGATGTTTGCTGCGGTAATGGCCTTGAAGGCATATTCTAAATGGGTCAGCCATATCATTCGATCAGGCTAGACAACGAGATTTGGCGAGCAAATTTTGATGCAAAACGTACCGACTTGGTACAGACGACCATTGTCGGAGAAGATGGTAATGTGTCGATCATAGGCACTGGCTGTCGGCATGTTCTGGTTAGGTCTCTGCTCGGCTCCCATCACGAGAGCGTCAAAGCTCCGGCGCGGGACAACGAACCTGACATTGTGGATGATTAGGGCCCTGCACAGGGCGAGACGGCCGGATGTGTTGATTGAGTATGCAGAAGGCGCTTAGAAAGAAAGGGTGGCGGGTGTGCCCGATGATGACGGCGATGGAGCCGTCGATTGTATGAACGCGTTACGTTAGCATGAGCTTGCCTGGAGCTGGAGCCCGCACGAGGCAAGTTAGGCAACGGAGGTTTGGGACGCAAGGCTGATTGGTGGATGGATCACGTCGGGGCCTGAGGCCAACTGTCTAGGTGCCCGCCCGGCACGCGCACGAAACGGGGGTGGAGAGCTTCATCTCCGCTCATGCGCAGTCAGGAATTGAAAAGACCAGACACGGACACTTTTTGCTGCCCAACGCAGTGCCAAGTCATTACGTAGTCGTGCGCAACCGCGGCGGACAAGTCATCGCTGTCAGCTTGCGCTGGAAGAATTTGACTTGGGAATTGCTTGTGATTTTTACACTGGCAACCTTGTTACTGGTCAATTTCGGGTGGATGGCTATGTGTCAGGTTTTTGCCGTCATCCAGCCACGCGAACAGCAGGGGGGGCTAGCATAATAGAGCAAGCGAGTGGCACCTTCGAATGTCAAGTTCATCTGACGGAGGGGGAAAAGAGCCGCAACTTCTAAGTCACATCCCAACACCAGCCTCCGCGTTGCAACAACAACAAACATCAACTTCCAGCGTCAGGGAGTGCTCACCAGAGCTCTGCCAGGATCGGAAAGCCACGTCATGTCAGATCTCGCCTTACTGGGCATTACTAGAAGCTTCTCTAACAAGATCAACGGTGTGGTGCAGACCCGTCCGACCGCCCCGCGTCGCGATCCTCGACTTGGTGTCGCTTGCCCTCCAATCCGCCGGGTTTCCGCACCTTCGCAACCACGACGAAAAGTTTTTTCCAAGCTTTCGACCCAAGCAGAATGACGTCGTTGCAGACCACGGCATCTCAGCGGGCGCCAGCCTGGAAGCGATTGGGCCTCAAGCTCAAGCAGCCCAGTGCTGCGTCAGATGCTGCCCGTGGTGGCTCCCTGTCGGTTGGGCATCCAAGCAGCACCAAGCGCGAAGCCCAGTCGAACAAAAGAAAAAGTGAAGCCCCGCCGGCCACAGAGTCACCCGCCGCTATTAAAAGGGCTCGAAAGGATCATCTTGCTGAGAAAAATACAAATCTAAACAAGACAACTAACAAACAGGTCACGTTGGGACACACCCGGGCGAAGAACGGCACCCTCTCCGCAACATCCGACTTGACCAAGCCCCAGGCAGCCAAATCAAACAAGAACAAAGACCCGGCCAAGAAACAGTCGCCTGCCAGCCCCAAAGACGTCAAGCCGGCTCTTGGCTACCTCCAACAGTGGAAAACATCCCGTGAGGCTTGGAAGTTCAACAAGAACCTCCAGTCTCTCCTCATTGACCGGGCATTCAACGCCGATGATATCCCTGCGATACACATTGCCACTTTTTATGAGTATATACGCGACTTGAAAGGATTTGTGAGGACGAGGCTGCGAGAGACTGCTATGGAAGTAAAAACAAAGGATATTGCGGATGGCCCCTCAGGGTTCCCGCTTGACACCAAGGATGTCGATGCCAAACATGAGACCTATATGAACTTATTGTCCGACCTCCTGAGCCGCCAACACATCGGGAAAAAGCGAAAGGGCTACGATGAAGTTGAATTTGTCGCATCGTCTGGAACTGAAAATGTCATTATCCGGCGTCTTGTAAAGCGACTGCGAGCGGAAATAATCCTCGACGAGCTATCAGACGGAGAGCAGACGGACACCAGCCTGACCACACAATCTTCAGAAAACACCCTCACCACCAACGACAACCCCACGGTCAACAGGACGGATGGCGAACAGCAGTTGAAGCTGAACGACGGGACAGCCAAGCGCCGACGGAAACTACGGGTCAAATTTGATGATGGCGTCAGCAGCTCAGAATCAGACAGCGACTCTGGCTCAAGCAGCACCTCTTCTGAAGATTCCGACTCGGACTCGGATGACGACGAAGAGGCCCAGGAAGACGACGACGGGTACGAATCATCCAGCAGCTCCTCGTCTTCTTCGTCCTCTTCGGCCGACGAGTCAGACTCGGATGACGACACCGCAGGCGCAGGAGATTAGATCATGTATGAGGCGCAATACCCCTCGCGGGATGTTTGGCGCTCGAAGGGATTTAGACTGTACCATTTTGACATTTTCCAAACGGTGTCACAAAAGCAAGGCCAATAGACGGATACCCAAATGTTGCGTTGAGTACATTCTTTGCACGAGAAAGGGAAAAGGGGGGAAGGGACCGGGGGCCAGGAGTCACCGGGCTTCAATTGAAGGAAAAAAGAAAAACAAACAAACAAACAAAAGTTTAGAGCAGCAATGCGAACGCGTGATTTTGTCTTTGATTCACGCTGCTTGTCCTTGACACGATGCCCCCCCAACAGGACGACGAGTGCAGATGCGGAAGCCAACCGACGTCGTCTCCCCCCTCCCCGGATGACCTGACCTACGAATACAGCTTCGTGAAGCCCCCCTCTGGCGGCTGCAACCAGTTCCTCTCATCGTACGTGGTCCCCTCGGCCTCGATAATATGAAACGTGTAAATGATCCTCCCCTTCAAGCTCGTGTTCCTCTCGCTCTTGTGCAACAGGTTCCCATGAATCAAGACCAAGTCGCCCGCCTTGACCTCTCCCGGCACGTACTGCCGGCCATCGTGGGCGTCCACGCCGGGCGGCGGGCGCTCCCCGCCCTCGCCGGCGGGAAACCTCGCCCCCTCGTTGTCGACCATGTCGGTGCCGGCGCCGGCGCCGGCGCCCCTGCGGACGAGCCTCCTCTCGACGGGCGCCCACCTCTGCGACCCGGGCAGGAAGCTGAGGCACCCGTTCTCCTGCGTGGCGTCCTCGAGGGCGTACCAGAAGCCCGTGGCGCTCGGCGGATCCGTGTACAGGAACGTCGAGTCCTGGTGCGGCGGCACGGCGCCCCCAATCTCGGGCTGCTTGCAAATCACCATGCTCTGGAGGCACCGGGGATCCCGGTAGCCCAGGGACGCGGCGACGTCGGCGGGACTGAGCTCGCCGGCGCGCCGGAGCGCAGGGCCGTCAATGAGGCGCGCAAACGGCGGGGACTGGGCGTGCAGGCCGTGGCCGATCTTGTTGACGGCCCTCTCCTGCGGCTTGGTCAGGGCGCCCGCGTCGTCGAAGGCGTCTTCCTCGAAGAAGAAGCGGATCTTGTCGCCCGAGGTGAGGAAGTACTCGTCGCCGACGTGTTCGGATTTCTGGCCCGTGGAGAAGCGCGTGAGCGGGTGGTGCTCGAGCGAGAAGCCGGTCAGGAGGGCGTCGGTTTCGTCGAGGAGCGACCGGACGGTGGAGGGCGCGAGGGCGTTGCGGATGACGAGGTAGCCGTTTTGGCGGAAGGATGCGAGTTGTTCGGCGGTGAGGCCGGGGGTGGTCATGGTTGACGTGTGTATGCGCCAAGGTTCGAATGAGGCTCGAGCGGGTTGAGTGTCGAGTTGATGAATGTTTCGATGACGCCGCGTTTCTTGTTTCTCGGGCTCCCCGCTGCGGGGCGGACATGGCGGCTGCAGCACCCCAAACGGGGGGCTGTGACGGACCTACGGGAGCCGAAACCGACTTCGTGCCTCGGTCTATCGCCCGTTGCGGCCGGGTTTGATTCCATTCACGCTGCTGTACCATGCTCCGTGGAGGCATGGCAATCGTGGGACTTGCGGAGCTGCTTGTGCAAGGTCGGTCGGTCGCGCAAGGCAGGCTACCAAGGTGGTTTGAAGGAGCCATACTAGTTAGTATTAAGTAGGAACATGACGTTGGCTTCACACGGGAATGGGAGAAGGTGAGGTGCTCGGTCTTTCATATATTAACATCGTATCAAAGGTAGCACACGATCCGTAAAAAGGCAGAACCTCGTCTGACGCCCCTTCAAGTCGCAATGGTCGAACCAAGGTACATCTACGTCCGCAGACGGAAGAAAAGAAGCAGTAATCACCAACGCCCTCGTCGAGGCCCGCAAAACAAGCACAATTACTAGTGGTGATGAGTCTTCCTATCGTGCCCGACTCAAGCATCAACCGGGTCGTCAAGAAAGTCATACCCCTCCTCGGGGGGCAACAACTGCGCGGATACAGCCAGACCTGCCGCTGTAAGAAGAGCAATGGCAGCGCTAGCAGCGCTGATGCACCACGACACGTCGAGCTTCCAACCGGGAATGGCGAACTGGTCGTCATGATCAAACAGGTAGGCCTAACCCGTCGTCTCAGCCTATTTGCAGCCACAGAAGGAGTGGGCCGAAGAAAAGGAGGAAAAAAAAAAAGGACGGAACAACTCACCACAATAGAGATTATGACCAACTCCACCACCGACACCAGGGTGAGCATGCCGCTGACCAACGGCCAGCCCGTTTCGCGCTTGTACTTGCCGCCCTTCATGACGACCAGGAAGCAGACGAGACTGGCCAGGCACATTATCGCGGCCAGCGAAGCCATGAACCCGACCGTTTTCCACATGTCGCAAAAGTAGCGCTGCCCCGCCTGGCACAAGTCGGCCGTGGGGAACTCCCTACATGTCGGGCTGTCGAGGTTTGAGCAGGTCCTGTGCAGGCCAATGTGCTTCTCGACGACGTCGCCCTTGGGAGTCGTGACGGAGTAGGAAACCCAGTTGGGTATAAAGATGGATGCGACAACCATGCCGGTCGCTGCAACTCGGTTAGCGATAGCTGGATCCCGCATGATAATGACGGCTTGGCGGCGCGGCGCATGAGGCAGCTTGAAATGGGGAATTCTCGTCGATTGCTTCAACGACGTCATTGCGTAACCATGCGGGGGTGGGGGGCATGCGCCGACGGCCGACGGGCGGGAGCAAAGGTCGAGGAACAATTGCAGAGCCGGCAGGATGCACATGCGCCTCGTTTGACGTACCGGCTACAAAGGCCACCAGGGCCGACGAGTAGACGTAGACGCGGGTCATGGTCGCGGAGCGTTATCGTGGACGGGGAGCGGCGTTGGAGACGCGATTGATGAAGGCAAGTTTTCCCAGGCTCGGCCGTGGTTGCGTGGCGCTTTATCTGATATCGTCGTTTGGTGCAGCTTCCCACGCCTCTCGCGTGCTCGTGCGACCACTGGGATGCCAATTCTGTGGGCCAAGCCTTTGATGCCTGGTACCCGCCTGGTACCTTGTTCTCACAACATTCTGTACCTGCTTACTTAAGTACTCAAGTAAGCACTTTAAGTGAGTACCTAGGTGCCTACCTTAGGTACCTAGGTACCTAGGTGCTGAGAACTCAAGTACCTAGGTACTAAGTAGGTATCTCTTAACAACTTGGGTACTTGCGTACTAGTCGAGACCTAGGTAGGTACTTACTAAGTACTTAGATTCGCCGCAACATCACCGCCGACCCGCCGCCACGTCTGCTTGCCGAGCACTGACTGTCCTTTGTTCATAACATCCGGGATGCTGAAAATCAGCAATTGATTTTTTTGAAACAAATATTTATATACTCCAACGGATGCTGGTTCCAAGGGCTCCCCGGCGCATAAACTGCAGGTCGGAACCTATACTCAAGTACCCCGCACGTCACTATGCCAAATTTGCGTCCAGACTGCCCTATCCGCCTGACAATGCCAAACACGGCTCAAGTACATCAAGTTCTTCTCACTAATCACCACCTAAGTACTAAGTGCCTGAAGTACTAATGACCTCGATCCCTCCTTTCAAATGACCAAGTACCTAACTCAGTACTTGCTCACGTAAGTACCTTAAGTACTGGGCGCCTGGGTACCTTGTTAAGGTACTCCGTTAGGCACTGCGTCCTCGCCAAGCCTCCGCCAAACACCCCCACCCCAATCGCAGCGGCAACGTCCTCACCTTCCACTCAAACCTCCAACCTCCGGCCTCCAGTCCAAACGTCATGCGAGCTCCCTCGCTCAGACGACACCTCCAAGTCTTGACCCGTAAAGCTGTGCCATCTCCGCGAACCCCTTTCCGCCGCACAATGTCGTCTTCCGTGCTCAAAAAGCCCGTCAAGCTAGCCTGCATCCAGCTCGCCTCGGGCGCCAACAAAGCCGCCAACCTAAAGCACGCCGCCTCCCAGGTCGCCCACGCCGCCCGGGGAGGATCCAGCATCGTCGTTCTCCCAGAATGCTTCAACTCCCCCTACGGGTGCCAGTACTTCCCAGACTACGCGGAGACCCTGCTCCCGTCGCCGCCGGCTCCCGACCAAGCCCCGTCCTTCCACGCGCTGTCCGCCATGGCCGCCGACAACGGCATCTACCTCGTCGGGGGCTCCATCCCCGAATTCAGCCCCGAAACCAAAGAGTACTACAACACAAGCCTCGTCTTTGGCCCCGACGGCGCCCTGCTGGCCACCCACAGAAAAGTGCACCTCTTCGACATCGACATCCCCGGCAAGATCGCCTTCAAGGAGTCGGACGTCCTGAGCCCCGGAAACAAGATCACGCTCGTCGATTTGCCCGAGTACGGCACCGTGGCCGTGGCCATCTGCTACGACGTGCGGTTTCCGGAGCTGGCCATGATTGCGGCGAGGAGGGGCGCCTTTGCGCTGATTTACCCCGGCGCGTTCAACTTGACTACGGGCGCGCTGCACTGGAAGCTTTTGGCACAGGGGAGGGCGGTCGATAACCAGGTGTACGTGGCAATGTGTAGCCCTGCGAGGGATATGAGCGCGTCGTATAATGCCTGGGGGCATAGTATGATTGTCGACCCCATGGCACAAGTGGTGGTGGAGGCTCAGGAGACGGAGACGATTGTTGAGGCGGAGCTTGATGGAGGTGTCATTGCCGAGGCCAGGAGGAATATTCCCCTGGGTTCGCAGAGGAGGTTCGATGTTTACGCAGACGTGAGTTCTTCCGGGGCGAGCTTTGACGAGCCTGTATCATGAGTGATTGTCTTGCCGCCCGAAGTCCGGAGGCGTGGCTGCGAAGATGTGTATTCGTTCATGGTGGCGTGAAGTACAGGCGCGCAGCCCGGTCGCCATGGTGTGGATACGGCAACATACTTGGAGGGTTTATTTGGCGTCAATTGGTTATTCTATCCGTGTCCGCAGTTATTTCTGCGCAAGTACTGTCCAAGACAACGCTCGAGGGTATGACTCCTGTTTGCTTGTGTCCAAGGGCTTTTTATGAGCCTCACAGGCCTTTTTTTTTCTTTTCACCATTTTTTCCCGTCATATCCAATCATGGCGCTCATATAGAGGTTCCTGTCCCGTGTTTTGTCTTTCTTCTATATCCTTTGTTCCAAGTCTATACACCCAAAACCAGCCACTTACTCCAGAGCCTTCTTAGCAAAAGTGGGCAGGATGAAGCTGGCCTTGTGGATCTCCGCATTGTAGTAGCGACATTTGTCCTCCTCCTCGTCAGGAGTCCACTGGCGGAGAGGAACGCGGACATTGCGGTTGGCGTCCTTGCAGCACACCATGAAGCCAATCTGTCCAGAAGGGTAGGTAGGTATGGTGGTGTAGGCGTATTCGGCAACGGGGAATATCTCCTTGCAGTCCTTCTTGAGCTGCGTGATGAGAGGCAGGTGAAGCCACTGGTTCTCGGCTGTGTAACAAAACGGGACAAGTCAGCAAAATACAAGTCCTTTCGCAACATATGAGCGAGTATATTGGGAGTGTCGAGACGGCACCGGGAAAAAATGCCAGCCCAGGGTAGGAGTAGGTGTCTCATGTCATGGTCATGCTACCCGGCCGTTCCGGGAGCAGAGCTGGGCAGGGAAAGCAGGCACTAGCCTTTGGAAAGTCCCCGGGGCAGACGGTACGTTGTTTGAGTCGAAGTACCAGGTCAAGGGACAGGCAGAAAAAGAAGAAGGTCTGGAGGTCTAGCAGCTTGCCAGGCAACTGGCCTTTCAAACCAACGTCTGCCACTCCTAGGGACCATCACACTTTCCTCAAGAGAAAATGAGAACATACAACCTTGGGTAGTAATGACACCGCCATCGCGCAAGGCATCATGGAGAAGCTGGAAGTACGGTTTCTTGAAAAGGCTCTCGGCGGGCCCCTCGGGATCAGAAGAATCGGTGATGATAACGTCGAAGCAGTTCTTGTAGTCGTCGAGGAACTTGAAGCCGTCGCCAACGTGGACCTTGGACTTTGGGTGGTTGAAGCCCTCAGCCATCTTGGGGAGGTACTGTTTGGAAAGGCGGATGACGGCCTGGCCGGATCTTGTTATTATAAAAGTGGCGGCGGGATTTCTGGGGGTTCCAGTTCAATATGTACCTCGTCAATGTCGCACAGAGTAGCCTCCTCAACGCAGTCGTGCTTGACAACCTCGCGAAGGACGCCGCCATCTCCACCGCCAATGACCAGGACCTTCTTGGGGCTGGGGTGGGAGTTCATGGCAAGATGAGTGATCATCTCTTGATAGGAGAACTCGTCGCGCTCGGTAGCCTGGATGACATTGTCCAGGACCAGAACAGTGCCGTAGTCGGTCGACTTGAAGATGAGAACATCCTGGTACTTGCTCTTTTCGTGATGCAAGACCTTGTCGACCCTGAGGGTCATGGCCTGGCCTGTGCAAAGGTATAAGTTTCGTGAAATAGAGGCGTGAAGGAAAACCAGGCCATCTGTCGGGTGGCGTTGTTCTTACCGGGCCACATGTCGGAAATCTCCCGGAACCAGCCATCTGTAACCATGTCAGTGACGTTTGTCGTCTCAAGCCAAGTGTGCGTCAAGGCACGACAGTCACGGCGAAGGACGGTGCCATCGCCAACACGCAAATGAGAGGTCCAGCTAGTAATGCGCCCGTGGAATGATGTTCCGGCAGCTGTATGGACCGCCGCATTATACCTGGGGTCTCCCAAGCAGACCACTTCCCGATGGGCTCGTCGCATTGCGGTCACATTTTCTGTCGAGCCCTGAGGCGCGGGGTAGACAAACCTTTGATGGTGGGATGAACAATGTCGGACATTTTTGGCAGAGTTGTTGGAAAGTCGACGGATGGGATGCAGTGTGTCTTGAATTGAGTATTGACAGGACTGAAGACGGGCAGAGAGAAAAGGTGGAGGATCGCTGAAGCCGGGCCAGGAGCAAAGCAACTTTTTCATCCGAAACTGATGTCTATGGCCGAAGAAGCTAATAAGTTACTAGTAACTAATAAGTGGTGGGGTCAATCAAGTGTAAGGTACGTAGTAAAAAAAAATCTTGGCGGCATCCGCGGGGCAGCAAGCCAGGGAAGGACTACCTACCCTAGGCACCTGTGTACCTGGGTACTTGGTACTTGAGTAGGTGGACTATTTGCGTATTCCATCAACACGAGTAATCAATCTTGACCTTAATTTGGCATCGACAGCATGCTTTACTTTATTCCGGAGACGCTCTCGGAAAATTAGTCGTTTGGGAAGACGAGCCCACAGCTTGAGTCTGAGACTCACGGGCCCCGTGTCAGCGGTGGGCAATAAATAGTTGTGACTCGTGTGACTTTGAGTTGACGGCTAGCATTTGAATCAGAGAGAGGCCAGCCTGCTGCTTATTACTACTTAGCAAAAGTATGTGCTGGAGGAGTAGTCCTGGAAAAAGCTATGTGGGGGATAAACTAGGTCTGTTGATTCTCCTCCGGCGTATAACTCGGTAGGTTGACACCACTGGACTTCCCCAGCCGCATCCATTTTTTTAGATACTCTTTTTTCCCCTTCTTTTTTGAAGATACTAAAAAAAGGCAAAAAGTAGCGCATCTCAAACGGATGAACCTCCTGGCTCGTTGGCCGCCAACCTTGTGGCTCCAGGTCATTTGTCAGCACCGCCGTCACAAACTACTCCGAGGGATCCGCGCATACACATGCGAGTGGCATGGGCTTCGTAGGTTAGTTTCCCACGTGGTGGAAAAACATGGCGTGTCATTGACACCATGCTGAGCATGTCCCTGGCTTGGCTGCAGTCTGATTGTGTCGTAATACTCCGTAATGATAAACTGGTACTACAACACGCCGTGATGCCAGCCATTCGATATGACGTATGTATTGAATGTACGTGCCCCGTACGTATGCAATTGTTTTTAGCCCCCGAGAGGTAAAAAAAGCAACCACTCTCTTGCACTGCCCTCTGAAACCGGTTATTTCCCATTTCCGAGTCCAAACATTGGAACCAAGGTGACGCTGTTTCTGGTCATGCTTGGGAATAGTTTGGCACCATCGTGGCGCGGCTCCCCGTCGCGCCTTCCCTGCAAGCAAGTACTTGTCGTTGGCTCACCACTCGTCACCACTCTGCTCCACGTAATCGGCAACGGCCCATAGCAAATGGGCTTGCATACAACACGGCCAACTTCATGGCAAACACTTGCACCCGTGCCCCCCCAACAGACTCTCCAAATCTTCCGTCTACCGAGCACAGTGCCTCCTGTCTTGTAACTACAACTACATTCTGCCACTAGGCCTGGGATTGCCCGAGACTCGCGCGTGCCGTCGCATGAAACCCACCTGGTTGTGTCATCAACGACCGACGAGTCACGAATAATTGACGTTGTAATCACACGCCATCTGTTGTCGATGCAACACACATTTCTCACGACGTGGCCCCCTACTACTACTCTTCCACTGCAACCCGCGATGATCAACAACAAATCTCCCCCGAGCTCCATCAAACAAACCATGGGTGGTTATGGCCGCATAATTGGTCGGCTTCGACGAGATGCTTTACGCCCACGAAGCCAGCCGACGTCCATCATGCAGGATTCAGCACAGCCAAAGTATCCATCACCATCCCCCTGACTTTGTCCTAAGCGAGTTTCAAACGCCGCTGGGAAAAGACCCTGATGAAACCACCACCAGGCGAGCATTTGTGTCTCTCACGACAGCTAGCCGGCGTCTCGGGCCACATGTTGACCTCATGGTTGACGACGATTTCCTCCACGTTGAAGAGCATCAACTCGGCTTACCGCACTGCAATATCGCGTCTCTCTGTTGTGGTCAAAAATATCCAATTTCAATTCTACTTCGTGGGGAGCAATAATCCCTTCCTTTAATTCCGGCTTCAGTGCTGAGCGAGACCTGATGAAACTTTGCACCCCAGCAAGGAGATGGCCTCGAGGCAAAAAGATAACATGTCCACGTGAATAGAATATCACACTATGCGCCAAGTCCTGCAAACCTTGCATGAATAATAATACTACCCTGATAGGCTGGGTACTCCCTGCACCTGCTTGCACCATTGCACAAGTCGCATTAGGATCCCCGGTATCAATTCTACTCAGATATTATCCTGGCACGAAACTTGGAGGCTGCATTCGTCGTCGCTGGCACATGCTGATATATACTCTCCAGCTATCAGCAGTCTTTAAGCCATACCGGGCGACTGTAGCAGAAGCCTGCTAGCTTTGGCTCAAGGTCGAGAGGGTAAAAGTTTCTATTGCACGCCGGTACGGAGTACAGGGCTTGCCAAAGTCGCTTGAGCCGCCAAAAACTAGCTATGGGAGCCTCGTCACTACTTCACCAGCCGCGGCAGCGCTATCAAGTGTCGTCTCGTCCCAGTTATTGGTGCTAGTGCCTCGCCTAATGATTCTGTCCTATAGCCTATAGTACCAGAGTCGGAATTGGGGGCTCGTTGCTCATCTTGTCAGCCGTGATCCACGGACCATGGGTCCCAGGCGGGGACCACACCGATACCGCAAACTGGGACTAGGCTTTTGCTAGGAGTGAGGAACCGTCCCATGCCATGCCCGTTATTGCCTGAACAAAGGACGATGGATTCGTGCTAATTTCTAGAAGCAACTTGGCAATGGCGATAAACAGGCTGAGGTGAGGTTCGAGGTGCGCCTTGGGGAATCGTTGCGAACCGCGTAGCATTTCCTACCTTGATTCGCTCGAGGAAGTGATTTGTCCGCAGCTCTTTTCGCAAGTATGCCCATGGCTGCCGGGCAAATGTGCTGTCGCCCTGGCCACAGCGTTGGCTGGCTCGAATAGTCACCTCAAGGCAAACGGCAAACATCGACCAGTCGCAGCAGAAGGTTGCACGATAGTCCGCCAGGTCGGGCCCAATTCCGAGGCCATGTCGCAAAGGACCATACAAACTACGGAGTACGGAGTAGTGGTACGTAGGCATATCATGGTGAGACGATGGGGACAGCACGAGATGATGCCGAGAGCTTGTCCTCGACATGTCTCAGCGACTGCCTGACATGGCGTGAGGGCCAGGCACCCAGGGACGTCGAGCAAATGACAAGGATTGACTCCCGTATTACAGATTACAGGCGGGATCATTTGGTATTGCTTATTCCACGTCTTGGCATTGGCCACAGCACAGCGATTCCAACACCAACAAACAGCCAGAAAGCCGGGCCCCAACCATCCGCAGCTCGCGGTCGAGGAGCGCAAACCTTGGGATGGCAACAGGGCGGCAGACATCCGGCTTGATTCACGGCGATACGTACTGCTGACATGTGGGCGAATTTCGGCGGGCCATCCCATCCATGTCTACTGTACGGAGTACTGTACTGTACGTACATACAAGGACTGTTGGTTTCAAGACGGGAAATGACAGATGACCCGGCCGTAATAAGGAGACAGCTTGTCTGGAATCGAAGGGCGCGCGACATACTCCGTAGTAGTTATTCTCAAATACCTTGCAGACGGAGTACCGAGCAGGCGCTTGTCAATAGCCGCAAAGATTTCCGTGCAACCCAGGCTCGGAGTACTCCGTGCTCGGTACGGAGTACGGAGCAGTTACTTGGAGTGCGCTCCCTTGGATATAGTGAGTGGTTCGTTGCAGCCACCACGAAGCTTAACCAGGCATGCAGCGAGCATCTCACAAGCACTTTTGAGTGGGGGCCAAGCTTCTTCAGCGTTCCCGGCAGGATCAATTGATCTCGAGCCTCAGCATGGGGGACAGGACTTGACCGAAAACGATGATCCATCGGTCGTTCAATGCTCCATCAGGTTGCCTTGTTATTCGCATCTTTAACCCAGCCTGACGAGCAAACGGATGCCTCGCCAGTCACAAGGCATCAATCAGTAAGCAAGGCCACGTTACTCTACAGGAGTACGGAGAGCGGAATACTTGTTTAGGAGGCTGATTCTTACCGATGGCCATGGGCCATGGCGGCAGCAGAGTTGTTCTGGAGCCTGAGTCAGGTCCCCACGAGGTCCGGACCGGAGCGTACGGAGCAACATGCGCAATAAGCACATGAGCATGAGGAGGAGCAACATGCATACATGGACTCCGTACGCAGTACGCCATGTCGGACGCCCTACGGAGACGCGCGTTGGACTTTGAGAGTCGTACAGTATCAGTACCGGACCAGACTGCTCGCTACTCGCGCGGCATGGACGGAAAAGCAACGAGTGCTACGGAGTAGTTATACGTGAGCGTTGACGACCCTTGGTCCACACATCATCATCCATCATCCATGGTCTGTCAAAACCCACCCCTGCGAACGACCTCCTCTGACGCTCCACGTTGCCATGCTTCGATGTGCGATGTACCTACATATCTTCTGTCCCATGCTCTATCCCATGTCCGTCCACATGTCCACATGCCCACCATGACCAGCTGCGACTACGACTGCTACCCTTGCTAGTGCTAGTTGGTGCTCCGGGGGTGCAGCAGCGAAAGGACGGGCGAGACCTGCTATAACAACAACAACCAAAAAAAAAAAAAAAAAGGAAAAAAAAAAGAGGGCAACAGTAATCGTCTTCAAAACACAGAGTACGGTCGCAGCCTCGACCGCACGCTGGCCTGCCCTTGCCGAGTCGTCTGGGGAAAGAAACTTGCTTCTCTCTCCCCTACCTGATGCCTCGCGCCGATTCTTTCTCCTCTGTCTCTTTGACTTGGAGTCTCGCGACCTGACCTTCAGCCATCGCATCAGCCATCAGCCACCACCACCCGCCATCCCGGGCGTCGTGCTGTCTTATCCGGTCCCTCTTCCCTTTGCACAACGGGCTTGCTTCCTGGATCTCTTGGGGGGCAGTCTAAATCCGGCAGTGCCTCCATGCGCCGTGCGAGACGGAGACGCTTCAACCTCCTCTGCGCGACATCTTCTCGCCGTCGACTGTCCGTGCTGCCGTGACGAATACTCAACTCTTTCAAAGACGGGGCAGAAACGACGACCAAGGATAAGGAACAGCAAGAAGAACAGAGCCTCGGACTGAAGACTGTTCTTGCTTGGTCTGCTGCTTCCCCACCGCCGCCGACTGCTCGTCGACTGCTTACGGGCAAGCCCCCTGCCAGCCTCCCTCGGGCTGGCGACCCCTTTCTTCAGCCGATTGCGGACCAAATCCAGGTTTCCATTCCCCCGGGGCCCTGTGCAATTCCTCCTTTGGGTTTTTTTCACTCTTCTCCATGATGTGCTTTGGGGGGCGGGACAAGAACAATGGCGACGCAGCTCGCTCGCGCGAACTCGACCGCATCATTCGCCAGGATGAGAAGCGCATGCAGAAGGAAGTTAAGCTGCTGCTGCTAGGTAAGCATCAAAACGCTCGACTGCGCAGCCTCGATTGCCGCCTTTTGGCGTCCCATGCTCGCTTGTGCAATCCACCTTGCCATGCTGCTGCCGCTGCTACGTGTGTGCTGATGTTGTGCAACCTGCAGGTGCTGGAGAGTCTGGGAAGTCTACCATCTTGAAGCAGATGAAGCTCATATATTCCCAAGGTTTCAACAAGAATGAACGCCTAGAGTGGAAGCCCGTCGTCTTCAATAACATTATTCAGTCGTTCCGGACAATATTTGAGGCCATGACCGAGTTGAATTATCGCTTCGACAACCCCGATAACGAGGTATGCCGCTGCTGACTACCCTTTGCCCTGAATGCCGCTGCCGTGGCCATGTAGGAAAGGAGGAAACGTAATTCGACTCTTGGCTCGTGAAGCGTGACGGCTCACGTGCGCACTTGGATCGCAGTCGGACATGACAAGGCATCATGAGCTAACATTGCCCTGACAGAAACACATGGCTCATATTCTCGTAGAACACGAAATCAGTCCCGAGGACAAGCTTCCACACGATTATCTGGGCCCCATCAAGGTCTTGTGGCAGGACGGGGGCGTAAAAAAGGCAATTGCCAAAGGCAACGAGTATGCGCTTCACGACAACTTGGCCTAGTACGTTGCTATCGACTCGACTGGTGACCATGACCGAGCGGCATCGCTGACAAAATTCACCCAGCTTCATTGACGATTTGGATAGAATATGGGCCGACGGATACGTACCGAATGATCAGGACCTTCTGCGCTCACGGCTCAGAACCACAGGCATTACTGAAAGTGTCTTCGACCTTGGCCAACTAACGTACCGAATGTTCGATGTTGGTGGTCAGCGATCGGAGCGGAAGAAGTGGATTCACTGCTTTGAAAATGTTCATTGCCTGCTTTTTTTGGTTGCCATTAGCGGTTACGACCAATGTCTGGTAGAAGATAAGGATGGTGTACGCCTCGAATTCCCTCCCATCTCTCCTCCTTCTCAAACTGCTACACTGTTTGCTTTTGGATTGTCAAAATGCTAACCAGGCCTGCAGAATCAGATGAACGAGGCCTTGATGCTGTGGGAGTCTATTGCCAATTCACATTGGTTTACCAAGTCGGCCATGATTATCTTCCTGAACAAGATGGATTTATTCAAGGACAAGCTACCCAAGAGTCCTATCAGCAAATACGGATTCACGGACTACCACGGCCCCGAAGGTGATTACAAGGCCGCGAGCAAATACTTTTTGGACAAGTTCCGAGCTCTCAGTCGAAACCCTGAGAAGGAAATTTACGGCCATTTCACGAATGCCACCGACACCAACCTGCTAAAGATTACGATGGGATCTGTGCAAGACATGATTATTCAACGCAATCTGAAGCAGTTGATATTGTAGCAGTGATGACGCCTTTCCACTTTACCAACGTCATTCATACGATTTTCTCTTTCGACCATTCAGGTCCAAATTTAGACTTGTCTGGGCAGTTTTCCTTTCTCCTACCTGAACGAAAAAAAAAGGAGAGAAGAAAAAAAGCTTCTCATTTCCTGAAACAAGTCCTTGCGGGGTAGCAATTCTCGACATTACCCTTTCCGACTCGCCCTGTCTAGGTGAGAGCATGATGGTCACTTTGGAGTGAGCCTTCATCAACCAGCGATGGTGGCAAAATTCATCTTTGTCTGCTTCTTGTTTTCAAGTTTGTATGAGTAACATGGGTTACGGCCGATACTACTCGACACATTTATTTCTTTTGGGAATTTGCATCATTGGGGTTCTGAGGGCGAGCACCATCAAGAAGGGCAGAGATTCAATTGCCTCCCATTATCAAACGAACGGAATCATCAGTCCTTGTCAATGCCATCAACTTCGGAACGGTCAAAGCGAAGAGCATGATCAACGACAGGCGCGCCGCAAGGGCCTGACGTGCCAGGATACATGATTGCTGACCTGTAATTGCGCCATCGCATCCCCGGAAGGGCATATTATGCGAAACGAATAGTCCGTCACAAAACCAGCAGAGTCCCGGACTCATTGATACCCATGTAGCTGTTGCCTTGTGAGGCTCGAGATGTTGGTTTGTGGTTGGGAATTTTCAGCAAGTCATGGGAGGCATACCACGGGGTCAACAGGGAGACGTGATGTGATGATGGGGAGGCGGGCTGACAATGTAATGAAATTGACGGCTTTACATGTCGGGGGAAAAGAAGACAGCAGCAGTGTGAAGACGACTGGTTGATCTGTGCCTACGCTTAGCACATTGAGATATCGACGCGAATGTCTTGCCTGTGGTGGAAAGTTTTCACCTTTGGATGTTGTACTAGTATGCCCAAATTCGGACCCATTGTGTGTGGCAGAACGGCGATTGCTTCCAGGCGCAGTCCGGCTGCTGAGAAATAGGTTTTGAAAGGGCGCAGCTCGTAGACTGTCTTGGTGGTGAATCCGGCTGCAAAGACGGGTTCGGCTCCAGTTCCTTGCTCCTTCTGGTTTTGTCTCGTGTACACGTCCTCGTGGGCGCGGCCACGCCAATCACGGCAGTTGGCGTGCAAGTTGTGAGTCCTGAATCCTGATAAAGTCAAACATCAGACTTGGGACTCGGTGCCCCTCGTCACTCCCTCTTGTGCCTCCGTGCCTCCAGATGTTGGTTGTGAGTCGTGACTCTGAGCCACCGAGCAGCACTACTAGTACTAGCAACAAAGTTACCGTGGGAAACTCAACAGAGTACTAGAAAGGATAAACAAAGCGGTCCGGTATGTGTATTTCTCAATGGTGTACGTCATCAGCGGAGTTGGTCGACTGGTACTCGTCCCGTCGCTCGTCTCGTCGCTCGTTTTGGCTTGGCTTGACGGGGGATAGTCCAGACTCCAGGTCCAGAACCGCGATGCGGCGAGGAAGGAGCCATCGACAACTTCTTGAGCACGATGCTTTCCCATGCTTTCCCCAAATAACTGCAATGTCTGGCTCTCCTCTCCCCCCCCCTTTTTTTTCCACCTTTGTTCCCCGCTTTGCCGACTTGACGCGAGTTTTGTCTTTGCGTTTTCGCGTCAGATGAGACCTACTGTGTGTACTACGTATCGCATTTTCACCTCGCCTTGTCACAAGCATTGCTCAGCCTGCAGCGTCGATTGCTCTCCGAATGCCTTGCGCCCTGCGTCAAGCTTTCCCTTCGCTCTCGGCATGGGAGAGACCGGACTTTCGGGGTGGATCATGCCGCCGCAGTCCGCGATTCCCGGGGCCGTCACCACAACTTGTCGAGCGCTTCTGCTTGGGGGGGAAGTCAAGCATGGCGCATCGTTGACGTAATGGCCGTCAGGCGGGCGGGTCAACGAGACATGTGCCTGTCACGCGCAAGCGGTTGTTGATTTCCGTCTCACCGCTTGCGTGATACATACAGGAGAGTGGTATTGCAGAACATGGTGCTAGACTGACTGCCCAGGCTCTATTCTCGTATGGGCATGGAATTCGAGCCTGCCGGGTGTCGTGTCTCACTCGGGGCCATAGTTGAGGGATATACTACAACGACTACTAGTATATAAACTGTTGTTTGTCTTGTGTCTCGGATCTCGGACCTCTGTCTATTCATTATCCGCCAGGTACATTGGACTGGACGAAACGAGCGACATAATCTCTCGTCGTTTGCGATATTGCCGGCGCTGGGTTCTACTACTCGGTACACGGGCTCGGAACAAATATACACCTTCCTGGCTAGAAAGGGGTTTTTCTCTCACCACATTTGGTACCATCATCATGACACACCAGGTTGTGCTTTCGGTTCTCGCGGGGCTGGCAGTGTGGCAGAACGGCTGTCCAAATGCTGCTGCAGCTTCTGCTACTGCTGGAAAGAATGCAGTTACCAACGATACCTATTTCTACGGCCAGTCGCCGCCCATTTACCCTTCGCGTGAGTTTGCCTTACCTGAGGGGTGCTGAGTAATGCATACCTTTCGAAGAATTCAAACCTCGGGCTAATGAGATGTAACAGCTGAAACGACGGGAGGCTCAGAATGGGCGGCTGCGTATGAAAAAGCCAAGTCACTGGTTGCTCAAATGACTTTAGAGGAAAAGGTCCAAAACCATTCATGCCTTCTTGTGGTAGATACAGCCTCACTGACTAGGTGGTTGGTTGGTTGCACTAGGTCAATATCACTGGGGGGGTCAATTTGGAGACGGGCTGCTCTGGCAGCATCTATCCCAACAAACGGCTCAACTTTCCTGGAATGTGTGTCAGCGACGCCGGCAATGGCCTTCGAAATACCGACTTTGTGAATGCTTATCCTGCTGGTATTCATGTTGGAACAAGGTGGGCACTCCAGGGCTCTTGTTTCGTGACTGCATTACTTTCCCGGGATTGAAATCCCGCTGACGGCTACTTTTCCAGTTGGAATAAAGACCTAGCACGAAGACGCGGCGCCGCAATGGGTGGTGAGTTCAGAAGAAAAGGCGTCAACGTGCTTCTAGGTCCCGTCGTTGGGCCAGCTTGGAGAGTTGTTCGAGGCGGGAGAAACTGGGAGGGCTTCTCGGTCGACCCGTATCTGTCAGGCTCTCTTGTGGCTCAGACTATTCAGGGGGTTCAAAACCAAGGAGTCCAGACCAGTCTCAAAGTACAGAATGAAGGCTTGGATGCTTGAAAGGATTTTCCTACTGACCAAATTGCCAGCACTATATTGCCAACGAACAAGAGTTAAACAGGAATCCCGACGCAGGGGTCGAAGCTGTTTCATCAAACGTCGATGACAAAACCATGCATGAAGTCTACCTCTGGTGAGTCTTTTTCTTCGACCCGTGTAGCCCAAATCCACAAAGCATGCATCAGGCGGCTTATCGTTCGACAAGGCCATTCCAAGACGGCGTCAAGGCTGGCACAGCCAACATTATGTGCTCGTATCAACGAGTCAACAACTCATATGGTTGTGCCAACAGTAAAACTCTCAATGGCATCCTCAAGACAGAGCTTGGTTTCCAAGTGAGCAAACTCGAGACCATGTGCGTGCTCGGGAACATAATGCTGACAACTGTACAGGGCTTCGTCATGTCCGATTGGAACGCTCAACACGCTGGAGTTGCCACAGCGCTTGCAGGAATGGACATGGTTATGCCGAGCGGAGATCAATTTTGGGGTCGTCATCTTGTTGAAGCTGTCAGGAATGGTTCTGTTCCAGAGTCTCGAGTCACAGACATGGCAATCAGGTATCTCCTTGCTTGTCCGAGGCCTTGACTAACTTGAACTGACGGATCACATGTTAGAATCTTGACTCCATGGTACCACTTTGGTCAGGATGCCATATTCGACAAGCCAGGCATTGGTATGCCCTCTGATGTTCGACGGCCGCATGAGCCTATTGAGGGTCGCGACCATAACGACCTACCTGTGCTCCTGGACGGAGCCATTGAAGGACACGTTCTCGTAAAGAATACCAAGAATACGCTCCCCTTGAAGTCCCCTCGAATGCTTTCGCTATTCGGATATTCGGCAAGATCTGCCGATTCCCTCTCTCCCGGGCCTGGCGACCTTCTGATCTTCTTGTGGCGATATGGATTGACATCTCTCAGTCTCGGCGACGCCCTGTCAGGTCTGGTCCCCGGGCAAGGTAGCAAAGTTCCCAATATTGCTGTTAACGGCACCATGATGGGCGGAGGAGGATCCGGCGGGGCAACACCTGCAGTTTTTGTTGCACCATATGACGCCATTTCGATGAGAGCCGCTCAAGACGACACTGCGGTATTCCATGATTTTGGAATGCCGGCGCCTGCGGTAGTTCCCAGCACAGATACATGCATCGTATTTGGAAATGCATGGGCGGCGGAAGGCCAAGATCGCCCTGGCCTCCGGGATAACTTTACAGACTCTCTCGTCAAAACCGTGGCCGATCAATGCAACAAGACTGTTGTCGTGCTTCACAATGCCGGTCCACGGATTGTCGACGGCTTCGTCGACCACCCCAACGTAACTGCGATTATCTTTGCCCATTTACCGGGCCGAGACAGTGGAACAAGTTTGGTAAAGTTACTTTACGGAGAAGCCGGCTTTTCAGGGAAGCTCAGCTACACCGTGGCCAAAAAGGAATCAGATTATGGCCATTTGCTCGGCCCGGATGAGCCCGGCGGCCAATTTGCCAAGTTCCCACAGTCCAACTTCACAGAGGGCGTGTATCTTGACTACAAGTACTTCGAAACGCATAACATCACTCCTCGATACGAGTTTGGTTTTGGTCTAAGCTACACGACGTTCAGCCTCGCGAATCTTGTGATACAGCGCGTCAACGGCGGCAACTCAGGCGAATGGCCCGAAGGCGCGATTATTCCCGGCGGGCAGGCAGATCTGTTCGACAACATCGCTACGGTGACGGTCGACGTGCGCAACACAGGAAGCATGGCCGGGGCAGAGGTGCCGCAATTGTACGTTGGGATTCCTGGTGGGCCAGCCAAGCAACTCCGTGGATTTGAAAAACGGTTCTTGGCGCCCGGTGCGGCAGTCTCGGTCGATTTTCCGTTGACAAGACGCGATTTGAGCGTGTGGGACACGACAGCTCAGAAATGGCGGCTGCAGAGGGGGCAGTACAATATATATGTCGGAACCAGCAGTCGAGAGGTGCCGTTGAAGGGCAGTCTGACAGTTGACTAGTAGCTGTCGAGCACAGTCACGCAGCACGGGCCTTTGTACATGTGCATGATGCGGCCGGGTACGTACTCCGTACAGACTTGTTGATCTCGAGTGTTTGATATAAGAGGCGGCAGGGGTAAGAGGAGCATGGCAGCGACTCTGTTTGGGCGTGGCAGGATGGCGACAATTTCGATTCGTCCACAGAGTAGGCAAGGCGCAATACTCGGTAGTCGGTGGTCCCTCCGTACCAACCAAGACCTGAGATGCCACGATGCATCTGCTGCCATGGGCCCCGGACCTGTGTTTGCATCAATCAAAGCTGTCCTCTGCTCAAGTGCATCAGGGAGGGTCGCATGGATTTTGCCAGTTCATCAGCACATTGCATTCACGGTCACACGCCCAAATGACAGGTCACTCGAGTCAAACCGTGCGTTGGTTCGCGTACGGAAGCGTCCCGCAGGCCGACGGATTCCAGAACCGCTTGGCAAAAAGTCAAATCTCGGCTGTGCAATTTATCTTTTGGTCCTTTTTTTTTTTCTCTCTTTTTTCTCTCTTCCTTGGTGATCGGCAGGCCGGGGTGAGCTACAGAACGGTACATGCCGCGCACAATGAACTGGTTGGCGATGTTGGGTAACCCGAGGACGAGGAAACCTTGCGACTCGACAATAGATGGAGCATCCCGGCATGTTTCAAGAACCCATTGTCCACCCAGAATAAGCAGCAGGACAGTATGGTTCCCTAAACCAAGGAGCTGGTTGCCTTGACACCTACAAGCTGCAAGCTGCAAGCTACTCCGTACCAACCACCGGCCCCCAGCTGCATCTATGATCCAACAAGCCAAGCTCGTGAGCGCCCTATAGCGGAGACGACACAGAGCAAAGAAAACGATGCAAAACATGCAATATGGGCAGAGGGTCACCGGGGAGGGGTGGGGAGGGTCTTCTGGTCTTCCTCTGCCCATGCAATACGGAGCAAGTGACTCGTGAGTAGGTAACTACAGTACGAGACTTGCCTGGGCTCGCTGCGGAACTGACAGAGCATCAAGTTGGTGAGCACAAACACACAGGCAAGGCACGCACACACATGACGGAGCACTCCGGGGTGCCTGGTCGCTTGCAATCGACGGCCCATGCTGTTTGATGGGTTGCTGCAGCGCATCGTAATCTGACAAATGGCGTAGATCTTGACCGATCAGGTACATACATAGTCGGCACGTAGGTCCTGGTGGGCGAGGATGCGCATGAATAGTGATAGAAAAAGTGGCCACAGAGGTACGGGCGTGACGCGAGGCTACGTGGGCGGCCGCCTGTTTTGTTCAGAAGGGACGGAGCAAGGGAACGAATTGTGTATTGTGTACTCGGCACACGCATGCACGTATACATGGAACAGATGGGACATGGCGGACTGGACGGTTTGTTGGCAACATGCGATGGTGGCATGCATGGGTCGGAAGTGTATTTTGTGTTTTGTCCTCGGAAGATCTGGAGACGCTCCGAAATAACCGCGCCAGAGATCGAGATGTGTCGGAGGCGGTGCGGTTGCGTTTGTGGAAATAATAAGATGAACAGGGGACTTGCTTGTTATGCGCCTCACTAGGGAAAGGGGAGGCAAGGGTGTGGCAATGCACGAGAAGAACGGGGATGGGAGAGAAGAAGAAAACCTGCGCCACAAGACTAAAGAGACGGAGAGTGATAGAAAACAAAAGGACAACTAAATTTACTGTTTCCATCTTTGTACGGAGTAGTGGACTAGGTGTTCCCCTTGAATTCTCTGTGCCATGCGTCATGTACTCTGTGCTCTTCTGCAATGCTAATGGCAATGCAGTGATAATTTTCGACGTGGATGCGCCGAGATGCATGGTTCGATTACTTTATTGAGTCAAGGAGACCGGGGCGGGGTGCTTCTTAGGACGCTGATGACGATGACGATATGTGGGTCCCAAGGGCGTGCGTGTAGTAACGATGAAATAGCACAGACGATTGTCGACGAATTTGGGGGAAGGAGCGCGAGAGAGAGAAGGAGGGGGGGGAGAGTAAAAAAGAGAAGGACGGAAAGAGAGCAGGAGAGCACGAAACACCAAAGACAGTCGATGCAGGGTCTGCTCGTCCCACCCCTCCCGTCGACACGTTAGTCAGGGCTGGGCGGTGCCTGAGATCCCGCGATCCACGGGCCCTGTGGGCATGCAACATCGTTGATGATGCGTCAATGTGACAGGTCCTCGGTGTGTTTTGTGCGCATGCGTGCATAATGTATAATGTGTACTCCGTAGGGACCAACAGGCAGCCACGGGGCATCCCTGACGGATTCTGGCGCTGCGGTCGCGGTCGCGGTCCGTGTGCACGTTGATGGGATATCGCAATGTGAAATACGGATGTGTGTGTGTGTGTGGCCGGGCCAATGCCACGCACCCGTCAGAGCGGCGGCGGCGGCGGCGCCTCGTGCATGGTCAGCGGTCGTAGCAAGAAGTCATAAGTAATACATGGTAAGTTACGTTACCCGTGCTTGTCTTGGGCTCTTTGAAAGGCAACATGAGCATGGATGATGGATGGGGGACGAAGGACGGGAAGAAAAGGGAAGAACAGAGTGGAGCAGAGTACCCACGTGATCGTCAATCAACACAACCTTTCATCTCCAATCTCGACAACTGCCAGCCCAGCTTGCCAGCCTGTCAGCCCGTCAGCTCCTGCGACTATTTATATTGTTTGACCCTTGGTTGGTCGGGCCCAACAATGCCCCCGGGACTGAATGAATGTGAATGCTCTTCCCTCGTACGGAGTACATAGCCGAGGCTACACAGTTGACCAGCGCCTTGCTCTCGAGAAAGGTGTGTGGAGTGCCAACTCGAGCAGAGAAATAAATGCCGGCAAACGAGGCAGCAATAATTTGCCCTTCACGTTGCTGCTTCTGTTGCTGTTGCTGGCCAAGTGACGTGGCGGGACGGGCGCGCGAGGTGCGAGTGCTCCGTACTCGGTACTCTGTCATCAGATTGACACCTTTTTTTCGTCTCTTCGTCTTCTTCTTCCCCCTGAGGCCGGCCTCGCATCGCGCCGCGGATCTGTCCTTCTGTCTTGCGGGGGACGAGGGTGCGGCCCCCCGTGCAACTACCTCGTTCGTCACTGATCTGTCACAGGATCGCCGGAACCCAGTTTGCCAAGTTCAACCTTCTCTCTTCCGCGTCAGTTGTATCACTCCCCAAAACGGGACCATCTCCATGGGATCCCTGGCCGAAGATTGTACGTAGCAGTCCTCTCTCTGTACGGAGTAGTGCCTCGTTCAAGGCCCACGCCTCCTCTCTCTCGCTCTCTCGCTCTCTCGCTCTCTCGCTCTCTCGCTCTCTCGCTCTCTCTCACTCTCTCACACGCACATACACTCCTCCACGCGGACAATCCCCGAGCTCCGCGCTGTCAGACTTGATGCTTTTTTCCGGTTTCATGTTTTGGCCCTCTGTGGGCAACGACGGAATGCTCAAGCGCTCGACGGTACGGTACGAGAACGGAGTACGGAGTAGGCCTTAATAGTGTCTGTCTGTCTGTCGAGCTGCCGTCTGTTACGCCGTGACAGCTTGGCAATGGCCCGAGCATCAGACCGCCGTGGCTTCCAAGTTCTGAGAGTATGCTTTACTTCCACTCCCCTGGACCTGGACCTACCCAAGTACCTACTGCACACTTGGTACGGAGCATGCCTTCAATCATGACTGGACAAGTCAAGTCAGTCTCTGCGTACTCGACTCACTAGTTTTAAGTACTAGTTTGCTGTTGTTGGGGCCACCAACTCACCCTCACGCTCGCCGCCCATCACCATGTCACCAAGTCTCTGCCACTTCCCATGTCGCATCTCCCAAGTCCAACAATGTGCGCATGCGTCGAGTATATGTATTGTTGCACGCACTGCCGTCCCTTTTTGGACATGCAGACGGTGAAGCCTTGGCCCCCAAGAGACGCACATTGCTGTTGACTGGTCGAATGGCACAACTTTATCGCGCCATCCGTCAATCGACCATTTCCCCCGGCGGATCGGGGGTATCGTTAGGACTAATAGTACGGAGTAGCCAAGGCTGCCTATGTACTTACTAGCCAGCGCCCTTTCCCCTCGCTGTCGTCGACGGACGGAAATCTTGTACCTGTCGTCTGCCTCGGTCCACCCGAAACTGATTGCCATCTCGGACAACCAAACCCCCCGTAGTTGCACTCCACGAGAGAGAACCCAGGCGTGCTTGACAGCATCACAGGGCCAAGAGTGACCAAGAAAGAAGTCCTCTGGACCGCGCATGACATGGCATGACATGACATGCCTGCCCCCCGTTAGTACGCCGCCGTGGCCCTGAAGTGCTCGAGTCGCGCTGTTACAGGGCGGACCCTCTCCCCTCCCTCTTATTTTCAAGTAGCGGTTCGGCAGAGGAGATTTGTGTCCCAGAGCCTCATGCCTCGCCTCACGCCAACTTTTCCTTCTCCGGCAATGTCAGCAAGACCTGCTTGCCAGTCAGTCAGTCCATGGACGAGCCTTGTTCACACATGTTTGTGTACATACTCGGTGCATACGTGCCTACATATGTCATATGTTTTATCCGTATGCAGACCCCTTACTCCGTACCGAGGCGTCTGACTAGGCTGAGCGTGGCTTAGGCCATCCTTCCCTCGTGGCCGATCTTGCTTGACGCCCCTGACTCTCGTTTCCCTGAGGCGATACTCCGGATGGGGTCTCGAACGGGGCGCAGGACGGCAACGGCAACCCGGCACCGAGCAAATCAATTCAACACTGGCTGGTCATTGTGACGATGACGAATTGCCTGTTGTGCCTGCCTGTGCCTGTGCCTCTGCCTCTGCCTCTGCCTCTGTCAAGGTGTCAAGAGTCAAACTCCCAACTGATGGCGACGGATCAACTCAACAGCCACCCACGGATGAATGGATATCGGCTGCCGCGACGGCGGCTAGCTCGCTACCCACTCCACCCCATCCATGCCTTTCGGCCATGTGTATTCCATTTCCATCACCCGGGGGCCTTTTAACTTTTTGACGTCTTGG